CGTTTGTGAGTAGGCGTGTAAGGCTACTCTGTCCTCTAATCTATTTAGCTAATACTCTAGTACCTATTAACTATATAGCTCTGCTAGCTCGCAGACGGTTAATCTATCTAATCGCCTAACCGCTGTAGGATCTAATTAGGTATCCCACTAGAGTCCTTGCTTTCTTAGTACTCTAAATAAGACGATATTGCAGAGGATGTCTAGGCAGATTGCTACGTCGTGGAGCACGAGTTTCTCTACTCTCTGGTTATGTTTAAGCTGTAGGACAATTAATCTATATCCCTTAATCTAAATCTAGCTATTGCCTGCCTATATAAAATCTCTATAGATTAGTGGCCAATAGTTGTAGATCCGATCGGGGTTGTTCGTGATATAGCACGTCGATCCTAAGTTAAAGATAAAGGAGTTGCTTAGTAGGTAATCGTGCCGATTTAATAGGGAGGATACAGCGGCGAACATAGCGTCGATCTTTAATATCTGTTGTCTATTTAGTTAATTATTAATAAGATTAGGTGTAGGAGTTTAGGATTGCTTAAGTCTTAGAGTATAAGTTCTTAGGCGACCTTAGGCTCTTAGGAGACTCTAGAACTTAGCGTTATGTTCTTGTCTAAGCTCTACGAATTAGGCTGTTCTTAGATTAGGTTCCCACCACTCTAGAGCTTTCTTAGTATACACGTAGAAGTAATCACGGAGGGCATGCCTTATGTCACATGCTAGACATTTAGGGCCTCTAGCGTCTACGATCACAGTTTTACTAGGCACAGCGTCCGCTTTAGCGGAGTTACCGTAGGCGTACGATCTTACGCTTTTACCTCTTCCTCTTAGAGGGATTAAAGAGCTTAGAGGTTCGCGATCGCCTTCCTCTATAGCTGTACGTTAATATTAGGGTCTGCCCCGTTTTCTAACTTAAGAGTTTCCCGTTTCTACATAGTGGGTGTCCCTATCTACGCGCTGGTCAGCGTTACTGTTCGCAGCAAGAAATACAGATAGATTATCTACTGCAAAAGCTGCCTTTTGGCTTCTGTTTCGCGTAATCGGATAATTCAGCATTATATACTCTCGGAACCGTCTTATTACGTTCTTCTAGGTTACCCTAGGTTAATCTATCCTATTAGATTAGAAGGCTGCTGCCTATATTAAGGCTATTTTATTTACTGCCGACATAAAGTCTACAGCTACTAATCTAAACTAAGTAGTATTAGGCACTTTAAGTGTCTCCGCTTTAGTTACAGCTTAATTGTACTCGGCGAGCTAGGTATCCTAGTTATTCGCGGATCGAGGTGGTTTAAGAGCACTGTAGTATCGCTGTCGCGCTTGCTCTCGTTTAGTTTCGATAGTGATGCCTATATAGGCTCGAAGGTTCTTAATCTAGTCTCTAATCGATCTATCTGGCGGACAGCAGGTGCGCTGTAGGTGAACCGCGACGGTAGATTAGACGAGGATTATAATGTGTTAGAGATTAGTTATCTTAGTCTTGTATCTAGCGTACTTTGTTTTATATTGCTCTATTTTAAGTTTGTAGATCTTAAGATCGTCCTTGTAGGCTCGTTGTCCCGCTAAGGATAGATCTAATAGTCTAGTTAGATTAGCTCCTGCAGGGAGTCCAGTCGATGGCGCGTAGTCGGCGCACTCCGGGAGCTCCGGAGGGAACGGCTCCATCAGTGGCAGCTTTGTCCTATCAGGATTAACCTGTTCCTATATATTGTAGGTGACACAGCGCGCTTGGAGTTGGCTGTACTAAGCGCGATAGTCGTGCTCGTCGCGTAGGAGCACTGTCGCGTTCTGTTGGTTGGCTTGAGCGGTTATAGCGATTTGGTTGTTGGATTATTAGTAAGGCGGATGAGACTCTTAATTGTCAGATTGTGATGGGTTATTAAAGACGGGGATAATAGTATAACAATATGATGGGGATTGATTGTATTGTTCTGGTCTGATGTCGTGTTGTTCTGTTGTCCAACGCTGTTCGATCAGTTAGGTCGCGGTGGATTGTGCGCGCTGACTAATTTAACTGATCCACAGAATCCACAGCTCCGAACACCCGAATTTTGTCCACCACCCAAAATATGCCCATATTCTGATAAGTTGTTAGAATAGCATCAATTAGATTCGCTCAAAAGTGAGCTTATTAATTGATCTAAGGATTAGAAAGATTAGAGGGCTAGTCCGGTATTTGTACATGATAGATCAGTCCCTTGGCACGGATCCGGAGTCTCAAAGACCCGATCCGATCACGTGATCATCCGACGTCTAACATCAAGTCCATTTCCGCGACAAAGATATATAGCGATTGTTACAAGTAACAAGAAGGATTCTCTCCTTAATAGTGGGCGCAGGGTTGAAGGTCAACAAGCCTACGTTAGAAGGTAACGATCGGCGTAGGGCGCGCAGATTCCGTAACTAACATCCCGCTAAGACTAACTATCTAAGGGATAGCAGGGCGCCTAGGGATAGTAGCTATTACGAATATTATTAATATCCTAAGGATGTAAGGGATAACGTGGTTCACAAGTGAGCGCCCCACCCAAGTGAGCGCCCCAGCCGATTTTACACCAAAAAACCAGTAATCTAAGGCTTAATATCTCTATAACTACAGGGTAGACTTCTGAAAATTTTACTATTAAGCTACACCTCTATATTCTTTCTGTTTCTAAGATAAATAAACTCTCACTTAAGTTATAAAGAAGTTATTAAAAGAAAACTAAATTACAGGGATTATTTTGCTCCACTTTTCTATATCTCGTGAATTAGATAAGCTAGAGCTTCGAAATTATAGGCATAGAAAGCTTATATATAGAAAAATATTGTATTAAAGTTTCAATTTTTTTTATTAAGCCGTTACAGAGTTATTAAGCTATAGATTAATGATTTTTTGGTGTAAAATTAGCTGGGGCGCTCACTTGGGTGGGGCGCTCACTTATGAACCACGTTAGTTAGGATAGCACTTAACAAAGTAATAAGTATATAGTTATAAAGGATTCCCTTAATACGCTCGTTATAGTTAACTTTAAATAGTTTATCTCTTACCTAGATTAAGACTAGTTATTCTATCGTTTATATAGAATTAGGTTGTTCTTCTAAATACCTACTATCCCACCTAGTCGCTAGACAATGTAAAGGGCTAGAGCCCTTCTCTCTCTTGTTCCTCGTTGACAACCTTGGTTATCTCTTCCCCGGCCCGATTGCGGATCAGACGACCGCAATATCGTTTCTCCGCCCACAATCCCTTAGGTGTATATAGATAGCTACGTAGCCTAGAGCTTAGCTCTTGTTACGGATCCATAGACTCGCTCGGCCCATGGCCCCCATATCGATAAGATCCTTATCTTATCGGACTAGCGCCTTGGCGCCCACAGCATAAGTTCGGGCTCACAACGTAGATAGCTCGATAGCTTGTATCTTGTCAAATCCAATCTTTCTTGATCGATCCCCCACAGCTCTCTGTCAATACAACTGCAGTATACCTGTGCGATTGCTCCTTGAGCGTAGCCCCTTACAGACAACCCACGCGGAACCAACAACATAAGACTCACCTGCCTTAGTGCGGACCAGGAAAGAGCAGTATAACCCCTCCGTGTAACAGCGATCTCTTTATAGTAGACGTTAGACTTAATAAAACTAACTTTATTACTAGACTTATTAACTTAGAATGTGTCGTGGAAATGGACTTGATGTTGGACGTCGGATGATCACGTGATCGGATCGGGTCTTTGAGACTCCCGGATCCGTGCCAAGGGACTGATCTATCATGTACAAAATACCGGACTAGCCCTCTGATCTTTTAGATCCTTAGAGCAATCAATAATCCCACTCTTGAACGAATCTGATCGGTGCTATCCCAACAACCACATCATGTTATATTATACTATATAGGGCTAAAGTAGGCTGTTATGCGCCAGAATAGGGTGGAGTTTAGTGGAGGCTTGGCAAAAAGTGGCGGCTCACCCGTAGTGGCGACTCGCCCGTGAGGTTGTCAGATTGTGATGGGTTATCAAAGACGGGGATAATAGTATAATATTATGATGGGGATCGATTGTATTGTTATGGTCTGATGTGTTGTTGTGTTGTTGTTCCAACGCCGTTCGATCAGTTCGGTCCCGGTGGATTGTGCGCGCTGACTAATTTAACTGATCCACAGAATCCACAGCTCCGAACACCCGGATTTTCTCCACCACCCAAAATATGCCCATATTCTGACATAGGTACGTTACTACAATTCTATTTACTATGCTATACGGTGTTGTACCGTTTTAAGTAGTGGTGGTTTTAGTGGATTCTTAGCAAAAGTGCGCCGCATGCTTGTAGAGTACGTTAATACGTTGTTACGTTGAGGCATCGCGAGGTAGGTAGAGTTTTGGTGGGGTCTTGGCAAAAGCCGGCCACTCGCTATGCACCTACGTTATTGAAGTTCTTCAAATATTGCGCGGATAAGTCGGCGTCTAAGGGACTTCGCCGACCTCCAAGGTCTTTCCGCGATCCACCGACGCAAACATTATACGAGTGATTCACAATTATGAAACGGTCCGTCAGGTACACCACAGAACCGCCACCAGCCATTAGTCTTACTACACATGTCGCATGTCAAGTTCCGGGTATTCCGCCCTCCATCCTGTCGCCGAAGACCCACAACCTGCCATGCGCCGACGACGCTCAAAGCTTAGACTCGCCGAATTGTAGGCTTACGCATCTCTCCCGTCCGTGCGCGCCATCGTTTTGCCCCTTCGACATGTCCTTTATCGAGGTAGCCACAGTTCGGTTAATGCCACGTTTGGGCCATCTGGTCGCCGACTACTGAATGCTTCTGCTGCGATTGGTGCATTGGCCGTTAGCGACGTAGATCATCTTGCGCGTGACGATCCTCGGGGACTAAATATGCGTACACAAAGGGCGTATATGCATAATAGTGGCGTTCTCCTTTCTCTCGTCAGTTAAATTCATGTGCTTGGAACTCACAAGAGGAACGAAATTTGGGAGGAGGAACATCGAAGGAGAAAGGAGAGGTCATGTTTACACCCATCGAAACCACCATTGGTGCCTTGTTATTACATCAAGCGTCTAGCAATCTGCTCTACCAGAATGGTAACATATTGGGAGCCAGCGGATTCCTACGCCAACTTCTCTCGACTCCCACGAGAGAACATTTTGCCTTTTTTGCTGGCATGGCCGCCAGCTACATTCCGCTGAAAGCGATAGCACCGCAGCTAATCACTAGCTACCCTGCTGTGCAGATTGCTTCTCCAGCGTCTCTTGCCACTGTAGCCATTGCTGCTCTGATAGGATGGGGAACGAAGGTAAGGGAACTGTTATGTCAACATGCATGATTCTAATACACATATAACAGATGTCCAACGGTTGTACTTCTGGACACATGCTGTGTGGTCTCTCGAGGCTGAGTGGCCGCTCTGTGGTTGCCGTCGCTTCGTTCTTTCCCACAGCCATTATCACGCATCACCTCGCTCATCCGGACCTCTTTACTTCTGCATGCCTCGGCAATGTGCCATGCTACACTCCCGTATACCCGACACCAGAAGCAATTGTGTCTCTCTGTTTGCTCGCAGCTTCTAGCATATTCGCAGCTCAGACAGTACCCAACATAATCGCTCAGATGACGGATTCAAACATGACAAAGTACATGAAGGAGCCTCCAGATGAGCCTTACGCAGCTGCCCGTATCACCACACAATTCTTCTCGGGGTTCCTTTTTGCGCTTGGACTGCATATCTCACAAATGTCGCACCCCGCCAAAGTTGCATCTTTCCTGTCTTTTCCTGTCTTGGAACGCTGGGATCCATCGCTCGCGCTAGTGATAGTATTCGGTGTGCTACCCAACCTTATTGAGAACCGGATCAAGGGCTTCGATCACCCGCCTTTGTTTGCAGACAAGTTTGCGTTGCCAACCAAGACCATCCGAGACATAGATGTGAGGTTTCTGATGGGAGCCATGGCCTTTGGTGTAGGCTGGGGCCTAACAGGGACATGTCCAGGGCCAGCTGTACTTCGAGCCTTCGCGCAGCCAATGTGGGGACTTTCATGGATAGGCGGGTTCTGGCTTGGCGGAAGATTGGGTTCCCTATAATCTTGGGCACATGAAGTGCCATGCGGATGCTGTGCCTTGTTCATCTGCCACCCAGCATTGATATGGATATAAACATGGATATTAGGTAGCTTGCGTTAGCGTGTTCAGAACTTGAGTCATACTCTTGTATGATATAACCCCAGGCCTCGAATCCAGATGTAGGAAGCATCAAACATCCTAGTGAGGTGATCACATTTTATTCACTTTGCGTTAAGATTTGGTTTGAATCCTGGTATGTGAACGAATGCAACCTAACGCAAAAGAAAGTGGAACCCTGAAGTTTAGGAGCCCCGCCAAAAAGTCGCGCCCCGCCACCACAGTGCAGCGACACACACACACATCATGGAGGACGACCGAGCAGCGACCAACTTGGGGCCCGAGGCCGCCTTTGACATGGCGGAAGAAGCAGAGCTGTTGCCTAAACAACCGAAAAAACGCTTCGTGGGCAGGAAGATGGCCGCAAAAGCGAGCGGGCAGCAAGCTGATGCAAATGCCAGTATTGAAGATTCCAGCGCGATACAAGGTGTGAGGCGCTCATGCATATGAAATACGTCCGATAAGTAAACTAATGTTTCTCAAGTGGCCCAGCCTCGACGTTCTGCTCGTGCACTGAACGCGCTACCTGACGACATTCTCCACGACGCCGACATCAACGAAGCCATTGCCCTCTTACCCCCAAACTACAACTTCGAGATTCACAAATGCATTCATCGCATACGAACTTCGGGCGCCAAGTCGATAGCTCTGCAGTTCCCAGAGGGCCTGCTATTGTTTGCGACAACCATATCTGACATTCTGACGCGCTTCTGTCCGGGCACCTCAACCCTAATCATGGGTGATGTTACATACGGGGCATGTTGTATAGATGACTACACTGCGCGAGCGTTGGGTTGCGATCTTTTGATTCACTATGCCCATAGCTGTTTGATACCTGTAGCCGTGACCAAGATTGCGACACTATACATCTTTGTCTCTATCAGCATCGACACACAGCACTTGATCAATACTATCACACAGAACTTCCCCGTTGGCAAAACTATAGCACTTGTCGGGACTATACAGTTCAATGCCACCATACATGGTATCGTGCCGATACTACGAAAGGAAGGATACAACCCATTTGTGCCGCAGATTGCGCCTCTATCAAAGGGCGAAATCCTCGGCTGTACATCGCCCTCGATGGCCATCAAGCCAGGCCAGCTCAATTCCAGGGGCAAAGAAGAGGAGGTGCCTGACCTGATACTCTATCTTGGCGACGGTCGGTTCCATCTCGAAAGCGCCATGATCGCTAATCCCCATTTACCCGCATATCGCTACGACCCGTATTCGCGTCGGTTGACACATGAGACGTACGAGCATGACTCACTTTACGAATTGCGCCGCAGTGCTATCTTTACAGCCCGGAAGGCACGAACATGGGGCATCATCCTTGGCTCGCTCGGCCGACAAGGTAATCCACATACGTTGACTCTGATCGAAAACGAACTTGCGAAACAGGGTATTAAATGCGTCAACCTACTCATGTCGGAGATCTTCCCCGGAAAACTGGCCATGATGTCCGATGTGGAGGCATGGGTTCAGATCGCATGTCCCAGATTAAGTATCGATTGGGGCTATGCTTTTCCCAGGCCTTTGCTGAGCCCATATGAGGCGCTTGTTACACTCGGAGTGAGGAATGCACCATGGTTGGAGGAAGACGATAGTCTGAGCAAAGTGGAAGAAAAGGGGCGAAAAAATCTCTACCCCATGGACTTTTACGCAAAGGAAGGCCTGGGACGTACAACTGTGGACCATATCAAAGCTTCAGAGTTAGCAGCTAATGCTTAGAGATATGAAAAGCTTGCATGGAATTGGCGTTGGAAATGCGTTTGGCAACATTGCACCTTGCTGGTAAAGTTTGCGCTCACTCCGGGCTAGAAACTTGTCGTCCAGTTTGTGGGCAACTTTTATGAGCTAGATCGAGAGCATGCTTTATATGTATATGGGCTGCGTAGACTATATTAAGTAATCGTCTCTCGCTTGCTCGTGGACATTCACTGTGACATCAGCAGAGCAAAACGCGTGGTACGTGCAACTAAAAAGCATTACTCCTTGCTACAGCGCAATTAGGCTACCAGTTCAGCCTAGCGCGGCCTTAAAGAGCGGTTATAGCGCCCTCTGGTATAAAGTATTCCCCCGCTTCTGTCTCATTCTCACAAGCGCGATTGTGTCACCGAGAGTACCTTCCAGAATATGCCGCAAATCGACGATCAAATTACTCCCCGGGGGCTCCGTGAACTCTAGCACGCAGTATAGGATCCATGTGTGCGATTTATTGCAAGACAATAGTGGCGCAGAGAAGATGCTTGTTGAAACAGCCCCCGACTTCTACAGTGCTCGTCAAGCTTTACGCGCCCAAACTGCCAAACTAGTCAGCGCAAGGCCCACGTGGGGTGCCACGAGCGAGTTGATCATTCGCAACACATACATCGTCTTCAACAGTGACCGACAGCCCGTGTTGCGCTACGAGATTGATGCAATATTTCCTGAGGACGGAGATGTAAATAATATGGGGAATCACGCTAGTGCAATGCCTGCTCCGCCTGTACACTACGGCATATATGCTCACTTCAAGTGTGATACCGTAGACGGAGTAGAGCATTTCTACATTGGTGGTATCCAGAGCCTAGGTGAAGCCGTTTCGGCGATGAAGCAGGCAGTAAAAGCAGCTTTACCTCATCATCATGGAGTCAACATGTTTGATAAGAGAATTGAGCTATCAGGTCAGAAGGGTCAGGTGCAACAACGCTACACCATCGAAGAGGGTACGAGGGACGAGAATGGTAATTTCCTTCGAAAAGCGGGTTCGGACACAGAGCAAGCTTTTGTCGCATCAGCCAGGCCTGGAGAAAGCGGCTCTAGAAACCCTGTCCTCCGACTGTCTAGTCCTGAGGAGCTCGAAAAGCCAATCCAACAGCATTTCCAATCATTTTTGTCCGAAGTCAAACTTCAAGTTCAAGCTCCATATACATCTTCGACTCCAGTCCCCCAGACAATGCACCAACAGGCTCAGGCGCTACAGCCAGAAGCTGACCAAGACCAACAAGAAGAAAATTATTGCATCTGTCGTCTCCCGGACGATAGGAGTTTCATGGTCGCGTGTGGGAATGAGCAGTGCCCGATAGAATGGTACCATGGTAGATGCGTAAACATCCAACCGTTGGACGTGATTGACAAGGAATGGTATCGCGAAAGTTGTAGATATGGGCAGCAGAACAACATGGGAAGGGGAAAGGGCAGGACTCCGGCAAAGAATCCTCCGAAGAGGAGTGGTGGCGGAGGGCGTACCAAGACAAAGAGCAAAAAGTGTGAATCTGGCTCGGGGATGGTTCCGGGTTGATGGGAATAAGATATCTGTGGCAGTGTAGACAGCATTGGTAAATACATAACGTAGCGAGTCTTGAATCCGCGAAGTTTCTCGCATCTTCTGGAATGATACTCTTGTTTTTCTTTGATAGTCTGCCCAAGAAGGGCCTACATACCGATAAGCCTCGTTTGGGCCAGATGTCGGTAGACGCAAATCATCGGACAGAAGAGTGATAATAATGTGCGTAGACTACGGTAGTTCGCGATCCGCCACCCTAGGCCGAGATTCAAGCGTTATGCAGAGTGATTAGCTTGAGTGACTGACTAGTGAGCAGGAAAGCTCGTTGAGATATAAGCAGAAGAAGCAGACAATGCAGGGGATGACTTTAAGACGTTCCATGATTGTGTACCGTCGCGTCTACATGATCAATCCACTCTTACTTTGGCCCGCCCGTTTCCGCAATCAAACCTCTAAAAAAGATGCTGCGTGCTAAGTGAAGTTCCCAGTGGGTATCGTGTCTCGCCAATACAAGAAATGGAAGCTTATATGATGCCATGTCTGCATATAGACCATGAGCAAGCTAAAAGTATTAGTCTATTTCCGGGATCAACTCGTCGTCATCAATGAGGTCCGGATCGATCTTGTCGCCCAGATCAGTCTCTTCCAAAAACGATCGGCCTCGAAGGGCTTCGGGAAGGTATTCCTGCTTTACTTTGCCGTCCAAATAATTGGGGTTGTATTTGTAGCCGTCGCCGTAGCCCATATCCTTCATAAGCTTGGTTGGGGCATTGCGAATGTGATGTGGTATGGGCAAGGCAGCCATGCCTGGTTCCTTGACGGCGTCGATTGCGTTCTTAAGCCCTCGATAGACTCGTGTCGATTTTGGTGCCAAAGTCAAGGCGGTAACGGCATGGGCGAGATTGATGCGACACTCGGGCATGCCGATGTTTTCACAGGCAGCATACGTGGCTGTGGCAAGGGATAGCATGGAGTTGTCTGCTAGTCCAACATCTTCCGATGCAACGACGATGAGACGGCGTGCAATATATCGCGGGTCCTCGCCAGATTCCAACATGCGGGCCAGGTAGTATAGGGAGGCATGAGGATCAGAGCCTCGTATTGACTTGTGCAGTGCGGATATGCTATCGTAGTGCTGGTCACCGGCACGGTCGTAGACGAGAGTTTTAGTGAGGCTTTGCTGGATCTTTTCCTTGGTCATGTCGGGCTGATTGGCAAGGCTCATAGCCAGTTCCAAGAGATTGAGAGCTGTCCTAGCGTCACCGTCAGAGAAGCGGGCAAAGTAAGCCAGCATGGGTTTATCGAGGATTGGTGAAGTGCAGCTCTCTGCAGTCATTGCACGTTCCAGTATCTTAACCAAGTCGTCCTCTTTGAGGTCGTCGAGAGTGAAGGTCCGACATCTTGATAGCAGTGCAGAGATGATCTTGAAGGATGGATTTTCGGTGGTGGCGGCTATCAGCGTGATAGTTCCCGACTCTACGGGCCCGAGGAAGGCGTCTTGTTGTGTTTTGGAGAAGCGGTGCAGCTCGTCGCAGAAGACGATTGTTTTCCGGCCGGTCAAGCGCAGATCTTGGGAAGCTTCGGTGAAGATGGCGCGTACCTGCTCGAGCCTTGTGCTTGTACTGTTGATTTCGACGAATCGCGAACCGGACGTGTTCGCTATCAGTCTTGCAATGGTCGTCTTACCCGTGCCCGGACGACCCCATAGCACCATTGACGGCAGTCTGCCCTCATCGACCATGGCTCGCAAGATGCCCTTTGGCCCCACCAGCTCCTGTCCATAGACGTGTTCCAGCGACATGGGCCGCATGCGCTCGGCCAGGGGCATGGCATCTTGGACTGCCTTGAGCGTGCGCGCCCGTTTCGAGGCAGACGGCGATTGAGGCTCGCTGGCTCGCTGGGCATCTGTAACCTGGTCAAACGACCGCTTTGTGCGCGCGTGCGGTGGGGTTACGGCAGATACTGGCGGTGACGAGGTTGACTGTCCATTCTTCGGCGTCGAAGTGGGAAGTTTGCGTGAGGTTGTGAAGAAGCTGTAGGCCTTGGCCAGGCCAGGCCCGGGTTGGGCATCCTGCTCCAGCAAGAAATCCTTGCAGCCGCTATCGATGTGCTCGTTGATTCGGGCATCTTTGACTTGTTTGGTGCAGATGGGGCAATCGACCATGTCGGCGGTCATGACGTCTCTCGATGGCTACATAACCCGCTCGGCGCACGCGACGCGACCGAAGCCACCGCTAACTACAGTAGTTACCTGGTTAAGTTACAAGGGTGACGCGACAACCGACATCGGCCGGGCTCGGGACAAATCGCTTGATGACGGCAGACGACCTCGCCTTGTAGCTGACAGCTTTTGCAATTGCCATGAGAGCCATTGTGCATGCCACTCTACAAAGTGTCCGTCTCCGTCTCCGTCGACAAACAAACACTAAGAGAGCAGTTGCAACCGCTTTCAAGTACACCTACCCCGCCGGCTGCAACAACCACCCCTCTTCACGCGCCATGTCGGCAACCACACGGAGAGAAGACCCCTTCAAGCCGGCGAAGAGAGTAGCAGGCCAGAAGCAGGATGTCTGGTATGTCAGCCCTGATACACGTGCATGTGCATGTGCATGTGCATACATGAGACCTCCCAGTCTCACACAAGCAGGTCTATTGTCAATGAAGCTGCAGCTGCATCGCCGGTCCAGCCCATTGTCAACATGGGTCAGGGCTTCTTTGGCTACAACCCGCCCCAATTCGTCCTCGACGCCGCCAAAGCCGCGCTTGACCAAGTAGATTGCAACCAGTATTCGCCTACCAAGGGCCGCCCTCGGCTAAAAAAGGCCATTGCAGATGCCTACTCTCCCTTCTTCGGTCGCACCCTAGACCCTGAGAAGGAGGTCACCATTACGACTGGCGCAAACGAGGGCATGCTCAGTGCCTTCATGGCCTTCCTTGAACAAGGCGACGAAGTCATCGTCTTTGAGCCCTTCTTCGACCAGTACATCAGCAACATCGAGATGCCAGGCGGCAAAGTCGTCTATGTGCCCATGCACCCACCCAAGCATGGCGCAACAAAAACCACCTCCGCAGCAGAATGGTCCTTGGACATCAAAGAGCTTGAGGCTGCCATAACGCCCAAGACGCGCATGATTGTCCTCAACTCTCCTCACAACCCTATTGGCAAGGTCTTCTCAAAGGAAGAGCTGCAAAACATTGCTGATATCTGCGTCAAACACAACATCATCATTCTCTCAGATGAAGTCTACGACCGCTTGTACTACGTTCCCTTCACCCGCGTAGCCACTCTCTCTCCAGACGTAGCCAAACTCACTTTGACAGTAGGCTCTGGCGGAAAGAACTTCTACGCTACCGGGTGGAGAGTAGGTTGGCTGATTGGTCCCGAGCATCTCATCAAGTATGTCAGTGCAGCACATACCCGCATCTGCTACAGTAGTGTCTCCCCTCTCCAAGAAGCAACCGCCATCGGTTTTGAGCAAGCCGATGTACACAACTTCTGGGATGAATCCAAGAAAGAGATGAAGGCCAAGATGGACAAGTTCACTGCTGTCTTTGACGAGCTCAAGTTGCCTTATTCTGATCCTGAAGGGGGCTACTTCGTTCTTGTCAACATGTCAAAGGTTAGACTGCCGGATGATTACGAATTTCCACCTCATGTTGCCGAGAGGCCACGGGATTTCAAGCTCAGCTGGTTCTTGATCAAAGAAGTGGGTGTCGCCGCAATTCCCCCAACCGAGTTTTTCACCCCCGGCAATGCGCACATTGTGGAAGATTGGTTGCGCTTCGCAGTTTGCAAGAACGATGATGTACTAGAGAGGGCTATGGATAGGCTGAGAAGTCTGAAGAAGTACATAAAGGATTGAGTCAATGAGCAAGATATGATGCAAGCTTGGCAGCCCTTGTGGCTCATACACCGTGTCTGGCACTTTATTGACAGAAGGACTTGTCGCATGTAAAGTACTACTTCAAGAACCAGACAAGGATGATAAAGAACTCCTTGCTTCCACAACTCCTACATATCCTGTCCATACCATTCACCTCGTTGTCCGGCCTGAAACACATTCGTGCATGCGTACCAATTTCGAGAGTTGAGCGCTTTATTCTCTGTTACACATGGATAATATGATAATAGCTTTGCTTATTATATATTGGGCCCCGATGGTTTCAGGTCCAACTCACTGCCACATTCGTTGAACGATCATTCACTTACAGACAAACGGCTTTCTTTCCCGACTCAAGTTTAACAGCAAAACAAGCATGAAGCTACACAGCGCCATCCTTGTAAGCATCCTCTCGCTGGCCTCTCTTACACAAGCACTACCGCAAGGCCCAAGCAAGAGGATTGCACCGATTCGGCGTACACCCACGTTGCCAAAGCCTACACCAGCCCCTCCCTACGCCGATTGAGAATCTCTTGCATATCATCTCCGCCGCGCTTCGCTTCCCTCCCTTTCCGACCGCCCATCCACCAGTTTTGTTTATCATGGTGACACCTGGGGGAGGAGTAGTCACCAGCATCAAAACGATAACAAGTGTTACCTATTTGTCACCCCCAGCATCGACCACGGTGGTCTACGTGACAGCAAAGGCGCGGCGCGATGAAGCTTCGGCAGTTACAAATAGTTCGACCCCGACCGCTACAGCCATGGCGACAGCAGCTCCCCTCAACCGGCGTAAAAACGGCATGCCAAAGCTCAAAACCCTCCCACCCCCCGGCGACCTCTATCTCTGCCCTGACGCCTTTTTTGCAGGTGATTGCCAATACATTCACAGCACCACATTCAAGTGCCACAACATGCCCCCTGAGCTGGTAAGAAAGACATCCTCGATACAGCCAGACGCAAATCAATCCTGCAACTTGTATAGCGATTGGAATTGCCAGGAAACCAATAAGCCCGTCATTTACAATCAAAGGTCGGAAAGTATTAGCAACCTGGCTTTCTACGGGTTGGACAAAGCCATCCTGAGTTGGAAGTGTTGGGATGATGATGGTACTGGTGTGCAGACCGAGGGAGGCTGTCATGAAAATGCAAATGGGACACCCAAGAACACTTGAGGCTAGTCACTTGTGCTGATGGAATATCTTTCGCATGTTCTTCATTCTATTCTTCTTGTCTTTCATAAGGGCTTCTAATGGCCAACTAATCCTTCCTACTTTGTCTTTCCATCACAGGGGGGCTCAAAGGAAATTGGATTCGTGAGGTCAGCATTTCGTTTCATTCAAAGCATTAATCTAAGCGTTATTCGTCCTCTGTGTAATCTTCCCTATCTTGGAAGACCAGGAATTCGCCTGCATCTTCCCCTGCAATCTTTTGCCACACATCTTTAACGCTATCAAGTACCTGATCGTCAAAGGTGAGATCCATGGAGGAAGGTGGGAAGCGAACAAAGTTGTCAAGACCAGATGGCAGCATCTCGGTCCCAGAACAAGGTCGTTGTTTGTATCTGGTTGACCAGAGCACCGTTGACCGCGGTGTGGTTTCAACAACAGAAAGCAGAGACTCAACGGCCTTTTGTAGCAATTCGAAGCCATCATCATGCGCCAATGTGGAAGCGTATAATACACCTATAATCTCGTCAGCCATGTGGACATCTAAGAAAATATGTTGACAGGACAGATGTAGTGCCGTTGTATCAGGTTGTCAGAGTTATTGTCTTCAATGAAGTTCAGACAATGTAGATAAGTATTCAAATTTCTCTTCATCATAACAGCAGGAAACGAAGGAAGAATGACCAGACTTACATTGACCTGGAGGACATTCGCCTGTATCGCTCGAGTGCACTAGAACATGGACTGGAGGCTGCTGGACTGGCGATGCCGACGGCAACGAGCCAGATGGATATACCACGATAGCAGAGGCCGGTGCTGGCGCTTCTTCGCCTATGGGCGGAAACAAATGCGACAGAGATGATGATACGATAGTCATCGATCTGCAGTACATGTCCTCAGGGGCTGTCGACGAGCTTCCACCTACAATCCACTTTGAGGTGATTACTTCGCCGTCTTTCAGGCAGAGTTTTGTACCTCTTTCAGTTGTCTCTGGTACTGCGTCATCTGGGAAAGCTATGCCTTTGCCAAGGACATAGACACCGCCCCCTACAGCACAGGCTCGGCAAGACACCTGGCTAATCTCAGACAAGCCACCCCACTTTGGTATGACGGCCCCAAAACCAGCACCAAAGACACCGATCGATCGCAGGTGCCTTGCGATCCTGGGTAGCGCGTACTCGGTCGTCGTCTGAGCAGAGCCGTTGGGTGACAGTGTAAGAGCCACAAGTGCTTCTTGTAGGGGTGCAGGAACCTTGAACTGTTCGGACAGGAAAGTCGAGAACGGAAGTCGTCGGTCCCTTTCCCAGACCTCGGCCTGCTCTTCATATCCGCCAATGAAGCGTAAGAACTTCATCAGAGAACGCTTTGCCTTGAAGTCCAGGTCGTGATCCTGGAAGACATCCTCTCGGCCATTCGGTACTTTGACCAATCTCCCATGCTGTGATGAGTCCTTAGGAGAGCCAGACGCCCGGGTCTGTGCATCTGCCGAGTACACCCACCAACTACCGACAGCGAGAAACTCAAGCTGGCGATACACCCTGGACGAGACGAGGTGACCAAGCAGGGATGAGCGCGCGTAGATGAGCTGGGGGCTCAATGAGAGGCTGTATGATCTCGAGAAGGATAGTGCGCTGGCTGATGATCCCGCGCCAGTCTCGGCTTTCGTGATAGCGACGTCGGAGAAGGCAGCATTCGATGAATCTTTGACGGGTTAGCGACAGCCATCATAACCTGCAGTTGCCTTCTATACCTTGATTTACGCGCTGAACCCATTCTTCAGCTTCCTGCAAGCTAAATGCAGCCTCGGTACCACCGTAGTAGTCATTCTCGTCGACATGGAGAATCTTCTTATCCGAGCGCGACAGAGCTCTTCAAGTGCTGCGTCAGTCAGACCGCGGCCACTACCTGGCCAACAAACAAGTCACATACAGGGCTAGGAGAGACTGTTGTAGACCAGTGCCTACAATGACCACGTCCCATTCGGTGTTGTCGAGAGTTTCCATGATGGAGCTGCAGGAAAAGTTGACCTGTCGGAAGAACTTGGCGGCGCTGTCCTAGCGCGAGTGACTAAGCGACGGCCTGCACAAATTTTGTCAAGCACTGCTCGACAAGTTTCCTTCAACATCGCGCACGCAGAGGGCATCCCGGCTTTAAGTATGGCATGTCCGTAAGCAACCTGACCTTCACTGATCCGGAAATGCGCGTGAGAGGAATATCTCGTCCGGTATCTACTGCTTTGGATTTCACCTGAATCAGCGGCTCGAATGTGGCGATACATCACTATTACGCACGCACTCACAGGCTTTAGCCTTGTGGGTGGGTGCACGTATAACTCACAGCTCGATCTAGTATGAGAAGACAGGTGCGCACGCCACGTGCAGCGAATCTGTTCCTAATAGACGAGGCGCGTTACTTGCAGCGGAATGCACTTCACTTATCACGGCACTTGGATTTGCTTGCGGGTTCATGTCGTGGCCTGTTGTCGTACGGGGGGCTTGGTTTTCAAACCTCAGCCTCTCGCCTCACCGTCAGCTTCGCGTACTGCCACCTCTTCCTCCCTGTCCCACACTTTGTGCCCTGACACCCATGTTTGGAGCACTTCGCCCTGCTCGTTCAGCACAGTCAAATCCGCTCGCCTTCCCTCCTTCAACACGCCTCTTCCGCCTTCTCCGTCAATCCCCATGAAAGCTGCTATATTTTCCGTAACAGTGCCAACTGCCTCCGCAATGCCACATCCAGACCAGTCCATCAGATTCCTGACACTTTCCTGGAGTGGGATACACCCCCCGATCAGAGTGTCTGTATCTGCAATCGTGGCGCGTGTGCCATTCTTGACCTGATTAAACGGAATCTGCGAATGACCAGGATGGGTACCATCCTTTAGAGATGCCAGTTCAATGCTGTCGGTGATGATAATCGAACGTTTGGGGCTTGCCCGATGGAGTAGGCATACAGTGTTGGGGTGGAGGTGTTCTCCATCTGCAATGATGGTATACCACGGTGGTTTAACCTTGCCTGTCTCGGATAGCGATACCAAACCTGCCAGCCCCGGCGCCCGTGAGGACCAGCTCGGCATGGCATTCAAAGTATGAGTCAAAGCACTGGCTCCAGCACCCAGTCCAGTCAGCCCCTCGTCGTATGTCGCAGTAGAATGGCCCATGGCGACCTTGATTCCTTGCGACGTGAATGATTTGATAAGTGCTGTAGAGTTGGGTAGTTCTGGAGCAAGAGTAACTAGCTTGACAACAGACTGCAAATTCGAGGATCCGAATACAGTTGAAGGTGAAGTCGAGCACGAGTGGAACAAGGAGCTATTGTGAGCTCCCTTCTTAGCAGGGTGGAGGTAAGGACCTTCAGTGTGAGCACCTAGGAGCGAGGCTGAGGAAAGCACTTCACGAGGAGCCAAAGAGGGGAGAATCTGGCGGTGCATTAGCGGGATTGCTTATTGAATGCGCATTCAAGATCGACACGTGTATTCTATAGATGGGATTTCACATTGGATGCTCAGGCTACTATCTCACCTTTTGGAACTCTTCACTCTTGACAGTAGGTATAGTCGCCCAGAAACCGGTCACCCCCTGGGTCGCATAGTACCTTGCGATGTCATCTATTTTGGCCGCATAGCTCTTCTCGTCGTCAAAATGTGTAAAGTGAAACCCATTGGCACCGTTTGTGTGGAGCTCCAAGAAGCCAGGGGCTATGATTGTGTCTTCCAAATCAATAGCCTCACCCCCAATGTACCCATCTCTTTTGAGGATGAGTCCAGTCTCGTCAGAAATGACAAGATGGTCCTCGACAAGCTCGCCATCGAGGACATAGCGGCAGTTGGTGAAGAGGGTGAACCAGCCGGACATGTTGCAAACTCTGGGCAGTAGAGTAGAGTGTTACGTACACTAGAGTACTAGAGAGCAAATATCTTGGGAACTGGTGGCGGGGATGCTCGTGTGCCAGATGCCAAGACTTGAGCCACAAAGAGAGACGAATGCCCCACCCAGTGCTAATTGGCCAATTCCAGTCAGGACTACGTCATAGGGTGATCATGGCGGCATCTCACCATGTATCGGCCAGGATGTTTGTCAAGATTCAGCCACAGTGGAGAGTTTTTGACAGCTTTTGGCGACTGACCATGGACGTACGTTGTTACGCGGGCCGCTACATGTGTAGTACGCGTCGTGCGCAAGAGGCATCGCGGCTTCCTTGTGCCAGGAACAGTTGTACTTCAGCTTGCTTTACGTCATTGACTACCACCGGCAACATCCAGCCCCGCGCGCGCAGCCTGTCCTTCGAGATCAAATTCCCTGATTTTGCCTTCCCTACCACCTGATTCCATGGTTCTTTGCCGCTACTGTCCTGTAGTTACTGTGTGAAACCCGTTGCTTGTCCATGCGATCCATCTGAGCGGCTATACAGAGAGGAAGGTCAGCAACAACATGGAGCCGCAACAGCAGCAGCAGCATGCTCCGGGCGGGCACTACTCGGGCCATAATCCCATCCCTACCGTCCGCCAGTTTGTTGACAACTTGGACAAGGACAAGAGGGCGCGCGACAAGAAGTTGGACGAGCAAGCTGCCAATAATCAACAGCCAGCCACACAGGATGCAAAACCACATCAACAGGCAGAGCGACAAGTAAAGGGTACGGAAAAGACAGTCACGGATCCAACAACGGGCAGAGAAGTCGTCATTGCCGATGTCAACAAGGATATGATCAACGAAGTCGAGAATCCCTATGTCGTCGTGCCCAACGCGAACCTAGACAAGGACACTGTTTGTACCCCGTTTCCTGCCTTATTACCGGTACTGATATCTTCTAGCCCATAAAGACAGACGCCTCACAGTCGCTCGGAGATTACAAGTACAATCAGGATGTTACGGCACCGCCAGACCCGGTTGCCGAAGGCACTACAACTGATGTGCCTATTCACGGCGAGAAGACCAATGTGCTTTTCCACCCAACACCTTCGGTCAGCTTTGAGCCCATGTTTGCGGCTTTGGAGACACGCGCCAACATGCTTTGTGTCGGCATACTCGTTACCACTGTGGTTGTCGGCAAGATTTTTGGCGGCGCTCTCAAGGGCCTCATCCCATTAGGTATGTGCCTGGCTTCTGGCGTTTATCTCTGGATGAAGGAAGTCATTCGCAGTGGAAGAGAAGTCGAGTGGGACAGCGAGAAAGTGCGGGGCCAGATGGTATGCACCCTAGCCAGCCTCCTGGGACCGAAACATACTAATCTTTGCACAGGCCTCTCTGAACTTACTACCCGAATCAGTGGAATGGATGAACACGCTGCTTGGTATCGTCTGGGGTCTCATCAATCCTGAGATGTTCTCCGGTGTCGCTGACACCCTCGAGGATGTCATGCAAGCATCTGTACCTGGAGTCATCGAGAACGTCCGTGTCGCCGAGATCAACCAGGGAAGCAACCCGTTACGCATTCTCAGCTTGCGAGCACTTCCGGACTCGCACATGGGTGATATGAAGCAATCGATCCACGAAGAGAACAAAAGAACAAAGGACCCCCAAGAAGCAGCCGCAGACGAAGAGGGTGGTGACTACTACAACTTGGAGATTTCTTTCGCCTACCATGCTAGCCCTAGCGGCAAGCGGGTATCCGAAAGGGCTCGCAACATGCACATGCAGCTGGTATTCTACTTGGGCATCAAGGGTCTCTTCGGTGTACCGCTGCCCATCTTTGTCGAACTGCAAGGCCTAGTCGGCACTGTACGCCTCCGCTTAAACATGACTCCCGAGCCACCCTTCCTCAAAACCTTGACCTTCACCCTGATGGGTGCTCCGCAAGTGACCGCCGGATGCACGCCCATGGTTGAGAAGGGGGTCAACATTCTGAATCTGCCACTTATCAGCAACTTTGTCAACTACGCCATCAAAGCAGCAGCAAGCAGTATGTATACTTTGTTTCTCCATCTCCCTCTCAAAGTATCTTTGGCCTTGCTAACAGTCATTTTAGTGTATGTTGCGCCCAAGTCCATGTCCATCGATATGCGAGCTATTCTTCAAGGTGACTCCGTTCAGAAGGACACTGAAGCTCTTGGTGTTCTCTGGATCCGTATTCATCGCGCCGTCGGTTTGAGCAAGCAAGATCGGCGTGGATCAAAACATGGTGGTAGCGACCCCTACATCACAATTGCCTTTTCGAAATACGGAAAACCCATGTACTGCACCCGAGTCATCACAGACGATCTCAACCCCATATGGGAGGAAACTACAGCTGTTCTAGTCGGCCCGGAACTAATCAAAGCAAACGAAAATCTCAGTGTTGAGCTTTGGGACAGCGACAGGCATTCGGCTGATGACATTGTTGGCAAAGTCGAAATATCAATGCAAAAGATGATTCAGCATCCGGGCAAGATGTATCCTCAGACCTCTAAGCTAGCCGGTATGGAAGCTGATAGCGAAATGCCCGGGGAGCTTCACTGGGAAGTGGGCTATTTCAGTAAACCCAAGTTCAGGAAAGAGATGAGAACTGATGGCAAGAACAAGGCCCTTCCGGATGAGCTGAAAGACCACCCCGCACTGCAAGATGAAAAAGGCGTGATAAACTCCGAAGAAGACGACGCAGTCATGCACACCCCGCCTGATCCTCTTTGGCCTAGCGGAATCTGCAGTGTCATTGTACATCAGATTGTGAACTTGGAGCTCGAGAATATCAAGGGTAGTGAAGATCCCAAAGGCCGCGAGTATGAACCTGCCAAACCTTATGGTGAGGGTAAAGAGGAGGTTGGTGGAAACCTCCCTACCAGCTATTGCACCATTCTGTTCAATGACGAGCTCGTTTACCGGACACGTGCCAAAGCGGTCTCTTCGCAGCCAATTTTCAATGCGGGAACCGAACGATTCATTCGTGATTGGCGATCAGCTATCGTCACTATCACTGCGCGAGATCAGCGAAACCGGGAACATGATCCCATTTTGGGTGTAGTACCTTTGAAGCTTTCTGACATCCTTGAGACATCCTCTCAAGTTACACGCTGGTATCCGCTCGATGGCGGTATCGGTTTCGGCCGCATACGCATTTCTCTTCTGTTTCGCAGTATCGAGACCCGCTTGCCTCCTCAGATGCTTGGCTGGGATGTTGGTACTTTCGAGTTCCGATCTCAACGCATTCTGGCCGTGGAATATGGACATCATCCCAAGCTTCGCATGCGAACTGGTGGCAGTACTGGCAAAATCAGTCGCAATGCTGCCCGCAAGCTCTCTGAAGGCGATGGGTACTACTGGGACCTGGAGGAAAACAATGGGAAAAACAATGTTCGCTTACCGGTCAAGCACCGTTACAGGTCCCCGATCGTCTTCGAGTTCCACATTGCCAACCATCGAAAGGCAGACGCCTATGCTGTGATCTGGCTGCAACATTTCATCGATAATGAAGATGCCGATATCAATATTCCAATTTGGAAGACGGCTGCTCCTGCCCGAATCACTCAGAACTACATCACCGAGGAAAACTGTCACAAAGAGCCCGGCCTTGAAGATCTGCAGGAAGTTGGTCGTCTCCAATTCCGTGCTCGATTCAAGGCTGGTACCGACGACTCCCACGCCGCTTTCGTAACCGATAATGATACACGCGAAACCTATGAAACTTGGGAAGCTTGTGTCACAGAAGGCGTACGGAACCACAAAGTTGAGAAAGAGCTACCGGACCGTGTGCAAGAGTTACACGAAAAGTCATTGGTTGCAGGTCGTGATATTCTCAAGAATGCGACCGAAGAGGAGAAGCGGAGGTGGCTTGCAAAAGACGGACAGGATTGGTCAGGCGCTTTTGGTGATAACCCCAAGGCATACATGAACACCAGACGCCAGAAGAGACGCGAGCCCGGTGTTGAGGAACCACTCCACGACCGCCATCATCCGTCCGACAATGAAGATAATGATGACTCCGACGACGATTATGGCGAAGGGGACTCCTCGTCTGATATCGGCGTTGAAGACGCTGAGACAGCAGGCAACGCAAAAGCTATGAGCGGTGGTTCTGGTGGAGGTAACCAAAGCAAATCCAACGGCCAACTCAAAACACAGAAGACGGACTTGTCGCCCACTGATGATCATCTGCCTCGCCAGTCGGAGTCTACAGCGCGTACTAGCACCACCAGCGGGACAGACGATACATCGTCGAGCAGGGATATTAACAAGCAGAACAAGAGAGCCGAAGAGAGGAAGCATCGAGGACTGATGCAATGGAAACCGGCGCGAAATGTCAAGTTTGCGAAGGATGAAGCCAAGATTGGGCTGTCTAAGCTCAAGAAGAGAGTTACTGGAGGCTTGGATGGAAGGCAGCCTGGTGTTGAGACTGGTAAGTTGGCCGCGAGATAATTCTGAGACCTGAAACCTATGCTAAAGAATTGACAGAAACTGGCTAATGGCGTTCTGCTATGCGGGATACGTGGCGTTATCCAACCACGATTCAATCCCACATGGATATGAATATTCTTCTTTTCTCTGCCTGGCACTATTTATTACATTGGTTTAAATATTTCTTCGTAGGGTGATTCTGGGAAATTGGCGAAAATGGGCTCGTCAAATGTCATTGCATGTTGTTCATCACGGCTTGCAACGTTAGGCATAGTCAAAGGCGTTTATGACAAACATGGAGATCAAATAGTTTGGATGAATTGAAATCTCCAGAACATGTTGATCAAAACACAGATTGAATATTATGTTTGTTCTTCCGCCAAGGCCCAAGGCTAGAACGTGTTGTGCACGCGTTCCACAAAAAGCTAGCAGCACTAGATACGATGAGCACAGACGATGGGCCAGAGTTGTCGTCACGATTGGCGATGCTCTATGTGTGAATCGTATCGGCCAACAGAATGATGACACTTGTCCTCCCTTCTCCGCTCGCAGCTGGCCTGAAAAGCGCATGTCAGTCTATTAAAGTATGTAGCTTGTTGGCCGTGTTGTGTCGGCTGGATTTGGCCCTCAATGCAGCATAGTGGTCGTCCAAGGCAAACATTAATCATGTCAGTTCTTAACTTGGGCTGTCAGAAATGTGGCTTATGAGCCAACTGTACCGCGCCGCAGCAGGCGCCGGCGCGTAGCTCTTGAAGACGATTTGGGGGAGATGACGTTGATCCAAGGAGTCAGGGCCAGTTTTTACCGTGCCACATGGGACGGGCGCTTAGGGGAGGATGACGGGACGTTTTTACGCCTTGCACACCTGCCTGATTGTACGAGAGGCTTGTGCTTTGTTGCAACTGAGACATACGAGTTCGACTTTGACGTTGTAAATTTGACCACGGGCGATCTCGACGCTTGGAGCGCATGGGTTCGAGGTTGGGGGCCGGGGGCGGGCGGACGTGTGTTCGTCTGTCTGCTAATGACGGACATGTGCACAGTACGCGGCAAGGTTTAAATCGGAATAGGGCCGAGATTTAAGCGCCTGGGATCCGTATGGCTGCGTCCACACGATCTTAGTGCGGCGAGAGATTCGATTTGCAACATTCCATGGGTCCATTTTGGATGACAACGAGCCGTGAGCGAGCCATCTAGATTGGGACTGTGAGCAAAATTCGATAGTTTTTTCTTTGCAAAAATTATGTAGAAGTGCTCTCGTACAGGGCAAGTTTGTTGTCGTGTTGGTCGCGACGGAAGCATGTTTATTCGGCTAACCTGCATATGCAAGCCCAGCTGTTGGGTGGGCAGTGACCGAATTTCTTGCGCCTGCATGCATTAACGTGCGGTCACATGCTCTCCACACACACATCGTCGGTTGAGAGAGGCAGTCCCATTAGTTTGGCTGTTGGAAGGCCGCAACGTCAGAGAGCAGCACCCAATGGTTTTTCTTCTTCTGGCGCCCTCGAAAGAGTTCTAGAGACCCACAACGCGAAATTATATGCCTTTAGAAGTTGGCATCGCATTCCAACCCCAAAGCTTGCCTGAGTTCATCATGTGTGTGGCCGCTCTGGCAGCCATGGACAACGCAAGCAGCCGGCGGCACGGTCGGATGACATGTCTGAGCGGTGTGTGACGTGAGTGTATTTTCTTATTCGCTGACCTGGGATGGATGGCTTGAGCAGTAAGCAGCACATCTCTTGGTGTGTGTAAGGCCCTGCGTGGTCGCAGATGTGGTTGAAAACATTTCAGAAGAGATGCAAATACTAGGGCGAAATGCTGATAATCGACACCCCATCAGCCGGGGCCACGACCTCGTGTTATTCCTCGGCGTGCGCATCTCGGCGTCCATGAGGGCTCATTTCGTTTCGTCTACATGGGGAGTGCCATGTTACTCAGTGTAAGACGATGGTTGAGCAGGGGATATGCTTTGTGCCTTCTTCTGTGAGTTTGATAGTGCAGAATCTCTTGTTTCTCTTTGGACATGTCCGACTGCGGGCCAATGCTACCAGGGCAGATTTCTGCTTTGCTCGGCAGGGTTGGGGCTAGAAAGAAAGTCATGTTGAGCTAACACTGACCTGGTGGGTGGGCAGATGCAAGCCCTACGGAGCGAAGGTCTATTGGTGACTAAATAGGAGAAGGTCGAAAAGCTTAGTGTGCCATGGATCTCATGCCCAAGTGAGAGCGGCAGGCAAGACAGCGGGGACGTGGATCCCACGCATCTGTCGCAAGCTAGAAGGTGGATCTGTTCTACCAACGGAAGACGACGCCCCCCCCCATGCGCCCAACGATCAATGCCGATCTTGACATGTTGTTTTCCAGGTCAACGTTTTCGGCTTGCTGCCGACCGATTCAGCGCATTGAATGCCGGCTTCTGGTAGTGGTTGAGTGGCGCCGGTAAAGGTACGGTGACGGTTCGCCTATATTGACCTGGTTGTCCCCAGTGAACGGGGGCTAGGTGTGTATGGTGGCTTCTGTATTTGGCATGCGTTGCGGAATATGGCAAGCCCTTCCGGTCACGGCTGCAACCATTCGTCCAACTGACGGGATTCCAACCCAAAGATAACGAATCACACCTATCGAGCTTGTGGGAAAAGACTTGGCCTGTGGTTGTGTGGGTAGTCGGGCGTGGCAAAGGTACATTGCATATAGTACGTAGCTGTTGGCAGTTGCGCCTGGCCTTCTGCTTCCTAAGCACAATCGACATGCAAATGTAGTATAGGTAGCAAGCAACAGCAACAGGGGAATGACTTTTGTTGCCTCGGGTTAGAGGTATGGAGTCTTGTTGCACATTGTTGGCTGTCGACACCATATTGGCGGCGCGCATCTTGAAACGACTACCGGACAACGAAAACGCCCCGTGCTGCTCATGTGGCCGCTGCTGGAGCAAATCATAGTCAATCATGACAAGTGCCTCAGCAGAGTAGGGGAAATATCGCAGTCATGGTCGTCGGCCCATGCGCAAGTGGTGTGAGACGGACGGAAGTGCAGCATAGGTCAGGGAGGCACCATGGCCGCTGAAGTCGCGTATCAAACAATGGACAGGATTGTGTCCGGCTATTGCCCCGCTTGATCATCTACCGTGCATCAACGGATTGACGGCTGATTAGGTCCGGCTGGGGCGCTGATTGACGAGAGAGAATGTTGGTTGCAAGGTTAATACCTCGCCGCTGCTTTGCCGGTTGCGAGGATGAAGAAGCTCCTTCCGTTGTAGCGACGTGTGAGGTGGAGCGGAAGACGAAGGAAGGCAGTCGCGGTACCAAGAGCCCCTGCCAATCTGACGTCAGGCTCCCTTACCTTGAGACTATTGCTTCATGCTAGTCAGCTCTGCTCTCACCGTGAGCCGCAACGTTGGCATAGTGTCACTCCCATGGCTGCATCTGCACATGGCGAGTGTGGCTGCTAACCGTCGGGGCTGTCATTGGCACCCAAGGTAGGGTAAGGTAGATATTTGCAATCAGTTTCTTCTTTCATTATGCTTTGCCTCAAAGGCATGCAGTGCGTTGCAGTACAATCCGGGCTTTGTATTCGGCATTAAGTGTTACAGTACATATTCGCCTGCGCCATAAACATGAACTCCAATCTTCCACCCCAGAGAAAACGGGCGTACAAGGCATATCCTCCAAATCTTCCCACAGATTGATGCCGCTGACTAGTTGCCTTTCAGCGCCGGCGGGGTGCGCACTGATACCGCAGTTAGCGTGATACCGGTCCGTGGAACTGGTAGACTGACCAAGCAATGAGCGCACAGCTGACCATTTTGATCAATGAAGTTGTAGTCTTTTGGGTGGCCTGGCTGTTGCCAATTCCTGCACGGATATTTGCTATAGCCTCCGCCCGTTGCGCCCGTGGGTCTGCCACCGCCACCAGAAGATGACTGCTGATTTTGGTGCTGAGAGGAAGACATGGTAGTCGCAAGAATGCAAGATGACTTTTGATTTGGCTTGCTAGAGGCTTATATATGCGTATATATGTGTGAATGAGTGGGCGCTGCTTGGTAGATAACCTCCTCGCATCGACGATACTGTGCACTTTATAGTCCCACCACATATCTACCTACCTCCAATCTTGCCATGTGGTCTCCGCGCCTCAATCAAAGGTCATTAGACGGAGCAACGGTAGCTAGGCAAAGTTCGCCCCTACCGAGAGCTGTCACATTGCATCCATGGTCGGGCCCGGAAAGAGGCCGTCAGGCAGTCTTGCGGAAACTGCGAATACGCCACACGGCACAACGAACGCCTCACGACAACGGTGCCTCGGAGGAAAATCCCCCAACCGTGCCTCCGCCACACTAGTTGCAACTCCCGGAGCTGCTCCAACAGCTTGCACCATCTTCCCAAAACTATCGTGCGATACCCTATTCATCCTCGGGTCCAATTCGGCAGTACCGATCCCATCTTGTCGGCTAGCGCCGCACCGCCCAATTGCACATCCGCTATCATAGTGAACCACCTGAGGCATAAAAACTTCCTGCCTCCGTAAGTAAAGTCTTGCGAGTCAACCCCATCGTTCCTGCTTCTACTATGCCCAGAACCTGTACCATGGACCACTCATACCACCCTCCATTTGAGAAACATCAACCACTTGTCGAGTCCTTGCCATGCCAACATGGCGCTAAGCAAGAGTGTTTGCATTCCCATAGAACCGGAAGTCTCTGTATGGGCTGCTGATCACTACCGTTGCACCTCAGGCCGCCCCAATCGAAGCCAGGCATCAGCACAACAAATTTTTCCTAGCGAAACTCTACCGCTTTCGATCCACCATGTCATACAACGCTTTTGCCAGCTCATGTCTAGCTAGTAAGGACTATGCATACGGCCCGTTCACCATCAGGACACGGCAGGTATCGCGCCGAGACTGATTGCCAAGGCCATTGTCATTGGACCAAAGCATGGCAAGTGAACAGCCACCCGCTACTAGTCTTCCGTTTCTTCACAAGGCAGCAAAGAGCTTTAATTGCACGTCTGGACTTCACAGGGACATAGTCGACATGATCGTGCCTGATGACACTCCTCCAAGACAGCTGCCTGCGATCCGAATAGGCGGCCTCTTCATGATTTCCTGCACAGCCGCTGGCCGTTGTAGAGGCCCATAAGAGTCGGGTGAGAAGTCTACAACTTCCATGACGAGCTTCCAATCCAGATTGCTGCCTTCAAGCCTGTATGATAAATGCGCTATACTGGAATGTAGAGCGGCCAAGCAGCATTGACACATATATTTGACATGGCCAACGCCGCCGAAGCTACCACTAGCAATCTTGAACTCAGGACATCTCAGGGTTGAACGCTAACCACTACGTATCGGCGAGGCAGAATTACCCCTCAGGAGTTCTGTCGGGTAATTACAACGTGACTGAACAAACACTCGGGTCAGGAAACCGCAGGTACCGGCAAAACGACTTACTCGTAGCAGGTACATCTGAGTTCTAGGTGCCAACATCAATACGATCGACAGCCATGTCGATTCAACCATGGACAGGGGTCTACAGTACGAAGCGGTCTGATGCAAGCGATCAGTTTCATAACCCGCATCCAACGCATGATAAACGCGCTTCGTAGTTCAAATTTTGTGACCACGCCGCATCGCTCGCCGACCACGAGCATCATAGATGCCAACCGCTTCCTTCACTCATCCTGACAAGATTATCACGGAGATCGCCGACATACCTACATGACAGTGGAAGAATACGGCCTTCGAGGTGACAGGTGTAGAAACCTAGGCAGTCCTCTTGCGGCCGGAGACATCGGTTACACTTTGTATTGGAGCAGACAAGGAGCCTCTTCAAACGCAAAGGAATCTTTCTTACCATCACGTTAGGCGGCTGCATATTGCTTTGTAATATTGTGGCCTCGGTCACCGCATCCACATGATTCACCGAAGCTTTCTTGAGCCTTAGGACCCTTCTCTTGCTGCTATATCACTACCCTACAACCATTCACATGCAAATGGTGGTTACTTGTCACTGCGCGCATGAGAGAATGAAGGATTTCTGACGGCTGCACGCGTAGTACTGCCCTCTAAGTCGGGGTTGAACACAGCCCCATGTGACCAATAGTGCAGCTGGTCACATTCACCAACATGATCGGTGTGCAGCATGCCAGTCAGAAAAGGTGTTGCAGACAGGAGAAAGTCGCAAGCTGATTGACAGTACAAGCCCTACGAAGTACGCGTCATTCTAACCCAGGGCAATAGTCTCCTGCTGAAAAGGTCGGGTATGGTACTTGTAGATTATCTAGTATTTGCGAATCTGCTGTAAACTCAAAAGCCCTCTAGCATAACTCCGCCACCCTCATCAGTATCAAAGAATTCCTCATCGCTCTCCTCCTCTTCATCTTCAACCATTTTCACATCCTCGGTATCTCGGCCTTCAAGTACGCCAATGGCCTTCCAGGCGGCAATAGTCTCAGCTTGCAACCTTTTCACCCCCTCTACTACACCACCGACGTCTTTTCCCCCAATCTTGACCTGAACCTTGTATCCTTTCTCCGGCACACCAGAATCTCTCGCTCCTTCGCTCTTTAGGTTGCTCGTGACTCGAGCATACTTGACACTCTTGTCGACAGCAAGAATGCCCAACCGTTCCTTAGGATGTAGGCAATCTACACCATCACGTAGGATACGTTCCAGGCACGATATAATTCCCAAACGGCGAACAAACTCTTCGCAGATGGCAATAGAGCCGTGGCTATCAATGTATAGGGCGCCAATAACGCTCTCTACTATGTCTGAAAGATACTTTGGTGGGTCAGTCAACGAGAGTGCATGCCAAGGAAAACGAGAATCATGCTTTAGGCCGGTGGCAATTATCTCACGAGCTTCGGCATGCTGCTGTGTAGCAACTATTCGCGAAGCGACAAGTGCGTTGCTCGTGGATCGAAGGAACTGCCATAGAGCTCGGTGATGTACTTCCGGCTCCAATGTATCTTTGTTAGTCAACTCGTCTGTGACTGTCGTCTCGAACATGCTGTAAGCGAGGAAAGAGGCGTTGACCATTGCTGTTCGTATGCCGTGCATCTTTCGATGCGAAAGCTCGGGCTTGTGTGCAAATAGTCTCCTTGAAACAATGTAGTCCAGTACAGCGTCCCCAAGAAACTCATGACGCTCATAAGAGCAGTTGGTGTTTAGCCCGCGAAATGTGACATGAGTCAGTGCTTCCAGGAGTAATGCTTTGTTGGTGAACTTGTAACCGAGCAACTTCTCGACCAGACCAAGGCTCATAACAGTGTCTTGGTGAGGGGCTGCGTCATACAGTATGTCTTTGGCCTCTGATAATGGCGTCCATCTCTCTAGAGGCAGGAGAGTTTGCACACAGGCGAAAGCTTTCGGGAAACCGCCAATGATATACGAGGCGCCAATGAGCGACTCAATAACATCGGCTATTAACTTCGACGACTTCTCTTGCTTCTCAGGTAGTGTTGATTCGGCGAGTACCTGACTAATATATCTAGGTCTCCATTTTGCACCCGTGAAGCGCTTGTGGAAGATGTATTGATCCAAGCCAGCAGCTAGTGTAGCGCGAGCTAGGTACCCGTTGCTAACAAGTTTACCCTTCTTGCCCGTCAACATACCCTCAGGCATTTGGAGATTCGCTGCCATTAGGTGGAGAGATGCTATAAACTTTAGTATACAATCTCCAAGGAACTCGAGCCTCTGGTAGTCATTGCCCTCGTTTAGGGCGGATGATGTGAGTGCGGTGACAAGTATTGGGAGGTGTAAGTTGTCGACTTCAACTGGGTTCAAAAGCGTTGTTCTCAGAGTATCTGCAACGATATATATTTCCAACTTGTGTACGATCGATGGAAACAGTAGTCCGAAGATGGCGTATGATACGGGTAGATTTTCGACAGTGCATGCTGAAGCCACCAGATTTTCGATCCTGGTGTAGGCCTCGTTCTTGTTATCATGCTCCGAGACCGGGTGAAGAAAGTCCCGGCGTTTCGGCAAGCGCACAGCCTGTATCGTAGTCTCCTCTATGTTCAGAGGTCCCTGTAATTGCGACGGGACAATAGCCTTTCCCATGAACTTTCGCATGTCTCCTTGTAGCGTGACTAGACCCCAGGTAGCGGGATCAACGTACCCTCCAAACAGAAGTTCCGATACCGATCGATGCCCCTCTGTCGCTGTGTGAAAATTGCGGAGCTCAGACTCGGACATCATGCAGTCTGATGGGCCGCAAGGGGCAATTAGATAAAGAAAATCATTCGCATCGTCTTTGATATACCCTCCAAATACGGAGCGCAGTACCCTCCACGTTATGGTGCGCAGCAATTGTATTTCTCCATCGTCCAACGTGGTACCAGGTAGCTGTGAGCTCGTCACTGTGTATTGCTTCGTCTCATTCCAGTGTAGCAAAAAAACTTGGGTAGGTGGCATCAAACCTGGTGTTAACAGAATCATACGCATTGGCTCTTCTCCCGACGTCTTCACCTCAAGCAGAGTACGGTACCATGTATGGGGGTTGAGCTCGTGATATTTAGCCATCATGCAACAAGGGTCCATTGTCAGCGAAACTGGTATCATGGAAGGCCTGTCCTCGCGAACCTGGTATTGCGCCATCTGATCTTCTTCGTCATCTCGCACAGGAAGTAGGTTGTCGTTCACGAGTTTCGTATGATACAGCGCTTTATAGGCCTCAAAAGCAACATCCTTTTGCGCCATTCTTTCTGTTACCCAAGTCTTCAAGCTTCTAGCAGTTCTCACCTTAGGATCAACGGAGATTGGAAGGGTCACTTTGGCCGTAATTTGTCCACGGTCGTGGGTGAAGTCAAATTCGGGTGTGATATTGGCATAAGTACCCGAGCCCAGGCGAGCACAGAAGTGGTGAAGATGCTGTGAAGCGTTTTCTAGAGTCAAAAGGGCACTAGATCTGCGATCAGCAAGTGAAGAAGACAATGGAGACTGTATCCAGCAAAGCTCTTGTTGTTAAAAATCCACTTACCCGGTACTCTCAATTCTGAGATGACGCTCACCGTACTCGTCAACCTGTTCTTGCTCTTGGGCCAGCCGGACTTTCCGTTTGTCGTCTTCATAAGCTCTCCTCATCTCAGCTTCAAGCGACTGCCACGACTTGACCGACTGTACGTTACTGTTGTCTGGAACGAAAACGAGATAACGTGAGCGCTGCTGTCGTGCTCTTCCACGACGTTGTACAAAGCTTTTGAGGTTTTTCGGCTGCTCAAAGCATATTACGAGATGACAGCTGGATACGTCAATGCCTTCCTCTAGCACACTCGTAGCCAAGACAAGGTTGATGATACCAGCCCGGAAGTCATCTAGTGTAGTTTGTTGGTTTTTGGGTTCGGCGAACACGGATATGTTGGATTTACGCTTCGACGACTGGGATGTGCCCACGAACGTACCCACTCGTAGTAGATGTTTAGTTCGTGGGTGGCATGTGAGGATCTCGGCGAGAGACGCTACCCATACTCGTTGTTCGACAAATACGAGTCCTGTGAAGTCTGGGTTGCCTTCAGCTTCGGCGACTAACGTATCAACCAGTATGTTAACCTTCTGAGACAAGTTATCCAAGATCCCATCAGATACCGATGAAGGGTTGTGGAGAGGAAACCTCTTGAACACATTCAGAAGATGTTGCCTCTCGTTGGTAGACAAATCGAGCAGCTGCTGGTCGAAGATACCGGCCATTTTTTCAAATGTGGCTATGCATTGGCGTAGGTAACCTTCCATAACAGATGTTCCCAGTTCATCTGCCATGGCCTCAGCTTTGTTCTTCAGTTGTTTGAGCTGGTCGTAGCAATATGTCTTTCGACTGCTCCAAAGCTTGTTCAGTTGCCGAGAAACATCGTAACCTTTGCTGTGCTGATCTAACAAAGCAATTACGTATGGATCTCTCTGCAAGTTATAAGTTTCATACGCTTCCTGCAACGCAAGGAGCAGCTGAGAGTAATGTGTACCCGCAGGCGATGATGGGTACGCAATCTGCACTAGTTCTGGCTGGTGGACGTATCGCATTAGCTCAGACCTGTGTAGTTTCGGGGTTTTCGCGGTAGCATGCAGGTTTTGCTCAATTAGCCTATGACTGTTAGCTGATTGCAGCCTCACAAGGGCTGAACTTACTCAAGACCTTGCCTGGTAGCTACTGCTTTCATGACCGGGCTGGCAGTCAAGCCTAGAACTTTGGGTAATGAGTTGCGGTTGTCGTGCAATTGAGGCATGTAGAAATTAGTCATTAGCTGATTCGCCGGATGGTTCAAGGTACAATGATGCGCTAAAGAGCGTTAACCAAAGATGGGCTTCTCAGTTTAAATTAAACAAACCTTCGTCAAATATAAGCAAAGCCAGCTTGGTGAGCTTGACAAATCCATGTGTGAGTGCCTCGAGGAGCACCTGATGAGTTGACACAACAATGCGGACGTTGGTCAAGATACTATCCCAGTGCCTCTGAGTGGTCCAAAACTCGATGTCGTCTCTTCCGCAAAGGATTTGGTGACCAAACCCGGGCAAGTTGGACAAAAAGACTTCATGTTGCTGTTCGCACAGCGAAACCGTTGGGGCTAGAAACCACACGATCTTCCAAGTTGGCTACATTAGATTATAGTCTAGCGCAAGGGCCTAGCGGCAGGTATCCGCACCTTGTCGGGTTGGCACGTCTCCAACTCGGCTCGTGTTCGTTCGATGGCGCTACGGACTGGTCAGTATACTGTTCTCAAGGCGATTCAGGGAACATGTACATGTGTGTCTTCCCGGAGCCAGTGTCCATGACAACGATGATGTTGGCTTTCATACTCTCTTCAACCATTTCAGCCTGGTAGGCTCGCAGCTGGAACGTCTCACACGGGGACGCACCGCTGGCCGTAGCGGTACTATCAACATGCATTGGAGAATCCATGCTAGAATGCGAATGATGAAATGCGATGAAGATGTAGGCATGAGGGTGGCAACTCTCGTAGCCGTCGCTGTTCGTTGTTGGAGACAGCCCACCAGGTTGCGCTAACCACGTTCGCTAGGCTGTCGTAGGCGGGTTGACGAGACCACCGCGGCATGCAGGTATAGCCTGCTTGATTTGCGCACCAGCTGGTGGTCTATAGACCAAATTGGTTAACCGAAGGAGTTCTATGACTATGAACTGCTGTTGGTTTGTGTCTGATGGTACGGTTCAACTCCATTTGAGTACCACGGTTGTTTAATGACTCTTGGAGGTCTTGTTGTAATACGATGGACTAATCTCATGCGAGCAATTGAAGGTAGATGTACCTCATCCCACGATATATAATTGTGATACAGAAAAGTGCATCGTGAATCGGTTGTTGCATCACCTCACGATATTGAACAGTGGCCAAACAATTGGGCATTTCAGGACATCATTTTCGTAAATGCTACGTACGTGATTGGCTTCATGCAGTTGCTCATAACTTCGCACTTGCCTCCCGACGCTCTTAGCCGCTCTGTACTGACTCGTAACAGGAGAGTGCTACATGACTCATAGTCTCCTACAAGTTTGTAAGGTAATCCTCTACCTCGGACGGGCTCAACTTCCTGAACCGAGGTCCCACGGCACCTTCAACGCCCTCGACTCCAAGGAGCCGCTCCTCTGGTGGCCCCACGATGCCGATCTCGACAGTCTCGCCGTTCATCTCTCCTTCTATGGTTTCCTTGAGAGTGAGAAGAGCAATGTGGATTGCGTCCTCGAGCTCTAGACCATCCGTGTATCGCTTCTCCAGAAAGGTTTTGGCGCTCGTCGCACTCTTTCCTATCGCCGTCGCTTTCCATGGGAAGTAGCTACCGCTGGGGTCGACCTGGTAGAGGCTAGGCCCACCCTTGAGAATGCCACCAGTCTTGTCGCTGACCTTCTTCTTCTCCTCGCTTGTCTGCTCTTCGCTCTTGCCTTCAGCTTCGGGCTCGATACCATCGTCCCATCCTGCAATCAGTAGACTAACGCCGTACGGCCGCACACCACCTGACTGTGTAGCCTCCTGCATCACTCGCGCCACGTCTTGGACTAATATCCTCGTGGGCGGGTATTCGTTGTAGACGCGCTTGTAGCCGGTATGTGAGACCTTGCGGGCCTTGTCGACGAGTACACGGTAGTCGGGGCCCATGCCCGAGTAGACCATGCCGATGTTGGGGGTTATGAGACTGATCTTGGATGACGATTGCGAGTCAATGAGCGGCGATGATGATTTCTTCTCGGTCGCGAGCACAATGCCATTGGTGGCTGCCGCATTGGGTCAGCGCGTTGACGCTACGTGAACATGGCCTTGCATTACGTACCCTTGATACCCAATGAAGTCACACCCTGGTTGACGGCATTCAAGGCATACTCTGTTTGCAACAACGTTAGACACTGCTGGGATTGAAGCCGACGGGATGGTGAGCATCCCCACAGCGCATACCTATCTGCACCAACTTTCCGCTATACGAGTGTTAGCAAACAGGTCAGATGCAGCTGCTGGTTGTAGTTGCTATGTTTACCTGGGGGAGAAGGTGGTGAGGGAGAAGGAATATCTGTCCGCCATGACGACTGTTTTGCGTGGTAGAGAACAGAACAAGTATAGAGAAGCTCGTCGTCGTCGTAGGCGGTTGCAAAGGGGTCGGTGGGGTGGATAAACGACGCAACGACGCAAAGTAACTGGGGGCGATTGATCTGCTAGAGCTCCAGGCTACCTAGAGCTTCGTTGTTAGAGCGCCAAGGCCGGCCATCGGCTTAACCACTGCTCCGGCCCTGCTCAAAGGAAGCTGCAACCTCGATTTCTTCCACTTTCCAGAACCGTTTCTTCAAGCTTGACACGACAGCTTCCGGCCACCGTGTCCCCCCTGTATCAGCCAGCAAAGGCGGCTGTGTCGGAATATGACCCGCACTACCGAGACCCTTAAGTTGGCCATCTTCCCCGCGGCTTCTTGATTGATTACCTCGTCATCTTCATGTACACACCCACATGCTTCCTCCTTGGTAAGAACGCATTAACCTCCAACTCGCATTTTGACCGTTTGCCACCGCGCCATGTCTTCTTCGTCAGGCCATCAGCCTATGCCAGGATGGTACTGGCCAGATGATGTGCCAAAGAATGAACCTTCGCATGCGACGTCTTCGTCTACGGCATCGGCATCGCAGCCAAACCCGTCAAGTGCATCAGGCGCAGGCGAGAAGCAATCGCGAAAGCGCACCCATTGGCCACCGAGACAGTGTAGGATCTGTCTCGAGACGGTCCAGCCTACCTTCAACGCCCCCTCGCAAAACCTTCCTGGCTTCTTGCAGTCATCTAATGTGGTTTACGAAGACGAAAGTGGCCGTTTGATCCGACCTTGCATGTGCAAAGGTTCGTCCAAGTATGTACATGAGGCCTGCTTACAAGCTTGGCGACATGCCGACCCAAGCTATGGACGCAGAAATTATTGGCAGTGCCCTACCTGTGGTTTCAAGTACCGTCTAGCGCGCCTGGGTGCTGGGCGCTTCATAGGCAGTGCTGGTAGGAGACACTACCCACAGTCCACCAAGACAAGCTGACATGGTATACAGCTGCTCAAATTGGCTTAACAGCCCTAATATTGATTTCCGTCATCTTCGTACTCGGATTTGTTGCCGATCCCATCATCAACTTATACCTTGACCCGTGGAGTTTTCTCTCCCCCTGGTCTGGCGTGTCGGGTTCCGACTACGCTTACTACTACGAGGACGAGTCGTCTACTTGGTATGAGCATTTTGCAAAAGGCTTCGCTAGTATGGGCGTGCTTGGTTTCCTGAAAGTGCTTTTAGCAAGTCCATTATCGTATTTTAGGATTGGAGGTGGTGGCCGAGGTCGAACCACGGGTCGAGATCGGTACGAACAGGTCAGCTGGATCATCATCCTAATTGGAGTGGGCACGTTTCTAGCGGTACGTTTTTTCGTCTCTCTTTCTAGAGGCCATGACTAAGATCACACAGGCAATCTACAAAGGTGTCCGTGTCTGGAGTCGTCGAACGCTTGAGAGGGCGGGCGAGCGCGTCATGGATGTACAAGGCGACAATGATGACGAAGACGAATAGCTGCGACTCAAATGTATGTGCATGTTGCATGAACCATTGGCACCTCATTTGTCCAGTTGCTCTGTGAGGCCAAGTCCGCACTTTCTTAAATTGCCACAAGTTATTCCTCAATACTGTGTCAATTAGTCTACGTGCGAAGAACAAGCCAGCCCTCGTTACCCATATCGGCAATGCGCGTTTTGTGCTAGCCGGCTTCTTGGAACTTGGAGCTACCGCCTTTGGCACTCATTTTGTTCAATCTTGCCTGCTCCTGGAGCAACCATGAATGGCTTGAACGACATCAGGCCTTTGGCACATTTTTAAACCCCCAAAATACGTTCTGATAGATTGTGATCGATGGAGCGAGAAAGTAATCGTGATGCTTGTAGTAAAATGGTTGGTCGAATTGTAAGCCATTGTCATGGCCCAAGAGCTATTGTGCCCTGCTACAAAAGAAACAAAGAAACCCTGGGTATATACAGCCTCCGCTTAGCTATGCCATGAGGCCTGCCTGTCTATATATGCCCTGGCTTACCCGAAACGCCGTATTGCCCAAACCGAACTCTGAACAAAGGGAAAACCATGCCAACAATATGTACATGCCCGGGGTATCAAATATTAGAATGTAAAATGCCTCTCCACACTCAGCAGTCGCCAAAAGAATGGTTACTACCCTTCATGAAGACTCTCTTCGTTCCACCGACCTTGCCCAGGTCTCCAAACTCAGCCTTCTTGGCTACTCCAGGGCCTGTACGGCTCCCAGGACGGCTAGCCGGACGACTATCGCTCCTGCTGTCTATGCGCTCGTCGCGCAGAAAGGCCGGATGGGTTGTGTGAATAACGTTGCTGCTCACGGTGCGAGCCTGCTTCATCATGCCTTCAATCCACTCCAGCTTCTCGCCACTGAGGTCCAACTTCTTTGCCTTTGGCCCCGCAAGTCCGACTTCTCTGCCCTGCCATGAGTTGTGTGATGAGGCAGTTGAAGGTTGATTTGGATCTTCGGGCCCACCAGGTGAATATGTGGCAAAATTCGGCATTGGTGGGGGCGCTTCGTCGCCCAGAATGCCGCGGCCCACGGCCGACTTGACAGGCGTGGTGACTGGACTATTCAATGGATAACCACTGCTGATGCGTCTTTCCCGCTTGCCCATGCCACTTTCAGATCGGCTCGGTGAACCGTCGGGGTTCTTGACTTCAAGGCCAACAACTTCGAATTTGCCTTCGCTTGCCGTTCGGCGCCCATGGTGCTCAGCATATTGACGCAGATACTCGCCCAAGTCGGACCAACCACCACCCACACGCACCATAACGCGCTCGCCATTCTCCCCAACGCGGCGGATGAACAGCTTGATGGGTAGCTCTTTTCCGGGTTGTGTGAGGTGATATAGCTTAATGTCGTTATCGCCCCTCGCAGCTGCAGCAGATCTTCGCCCGGAGGGACCGTTCATGGTCTCGAACTCGTTCCTTGCAGGCGATAGTGTAAGCTCAGGAGACTTGAGACCGCTCACTGAGCGAGCAGCACGCAAAAAGCCTGGTCTTCCTTTAGCCATGAAATTGCGCGTTGATTTCACCTCGGGAGCATCGGGACCAGGGCCTGAAGTGAGCCTGATGTGGGCGGGGATCGTAGTGAGGATATCGGAGATTTTTCGTTCAAGCTCTTCTGCGCTACTGATAGCCTTTTGCGCAAAACGCGACGGGGGCCATGGTGCACTTGAGGTATCATCGGGAATGGCGCTGCTCGTCATGGGCCGACGTTTCGCCATGGCAGCATTGAGCTCTGGACGGGGCGCCCTCATCGTACGGTTAGTAGCATTGCGAACTGACGGAGACTCCTCAACAGCACTACGAGGACTGGAGTCTGGTGAGATATCTGTTGATAATGAACCAAGGCTGCCTCTCCAAGAGCGTGGTGTTTGAGGTGGCTCCATCGAAGCTCCATGGTGACAGTCGTCTGCAGTGATGGTTGGGTTATCAGAAAGTGACAATGTTTTGGGTCGGATAGGCGAAGGGTTTTCTGTTTCATCCGACAAGAAGGATTCGGAGGCTGACTGGATAGCGGTGCGTTGTGGGCTCTGGTCGAGGTCGTGGTGAACAATGGTATCGCCCTCGTCGAACTCGGAATCGTCCTCGGATAGCAGTTCAGATTCGCGACTGATCTGCTCTGGGGCCACATACGTGATGGGTTCTGGGTGATGGCTTAGAATAGTGGCAGAAGCAGCTGATAAGCCTGTGCCATGTGGTAGCTCAACTTCAGTGGTGCTAGTGTCGTTGATAAGTGGGAGTGTGTCTTGTCCGGCGTCGGGGAAATCTAAGCTTTCTGGGCCAGTTTCCGGTAACGAAGCGTTATCTGTAGAACCAGCAGAGTCAATACGAGTCTTGAGCATGTCTGGCCTGTTGGAGCTCTCTGCCCGCCTTCGAAGGTCGAAATCAATGACTCTCCTCCTTGACTCATGTGTCCAGCGTCCGTAGTCAGCCTCGGTAGTCTCAAAGGTGTCGATCCAGGTGTCGGGCAAGCAGTCCTCTCGTCCCTCTAGTGTGTCCAACATCCTGTCCAGACGCCTGCCCAGATCACTGACTCTTTGGTGCAGCACAACAGAGATGGTATCCACTGCCTCTTTCCACTGGGCAAACGCTTCGTCAGAGGTATCTGATGGCGGCTCGATGGCGTCCCAGCCTGACTGCATAGCCCTTTGGGCGGTGTCGAGTTCGGCTATGTATTTGGGGGCTTCGCGGAGGATGGAGACGCGGGCAGTCCAGGTGCTTAGGCGGTCCTTGAGCAGGGCGTGATGGGGCAAGGCACATAGCAGAGTTTGTGTGATGAGGAAAGAGAAGTCGTCCATGATCCTGTAGTGCTGACGGGTGGCTTCGTAGCCGGCAGAGGTTGGTCTCGATCTGGCGGTAGGGTGCATGTCCAGCACATGCTCCTTCAGTTCCTCGACGTCCAGCTTGAGCATCTCATCTTCAATGTCGTCCAACCGTGCCTCGTGTTGCTCCACCTCGACTGACAGGAGCGAGCCCCAGTAATCTAGGGGTGGCAGGACATTGTCCGGGTTCGGGTCGGCGACGTGTTCCCGGATGTGCAGCTCAATGCTCTTCCTCCTCTTCTCCCTTGAAACCTCGCTCGGCTGCTCAAAGGTGCCCGACCATCCCCACTGCTCGATTTCGGCGCACCACGTCTTCAGCCGTTGGGCGGCCTTTGCGACGCGCGCGCCCAGATCCCGCTCGGCGACGGTGAGGGTCTCAATGCAGGCAAGGATCTTGTACTGGTCGCGTGTGGTATCGAACGGCATGGGCGTCTCGGTGAAGGCACGGAGCGTTGTTTCGGGCGACAGATCGCGCGGGCGGCTGTCTTCGAGGTTGCCGTATGCTCGTCCTCTCCGGCCTCCGGGCGACATGACGGGCGATGGGACGCGACGGGGGGTTAATGAAGGTATCATGCGCATAGGCGACGTGAAAGTGTCCATGACGTCCATGGTGGTGATGGTGATGTGATGCCTGGCCGTATTTGCGCACGGCGCGGGAAGGAGCGATTGCGACCGATGTCTTTGGCCCGTTTGGTGGTGGTTGCACTGAAAAGGAAAAAAAGGTACAAAGGAGAGTCGACGAATGGAGAGGTCAGAAAGGCAAGAGGGCGGTGTACCGCTGTTTTTGTTTGCTGCGCGACAAAACTCAGCACTTCCATGTACCCAGTCTTATCCTCAGTCCTGATCCCGCTCCCGGTGCTGGAGCGTTTGCGCTGCCGGCAGCTGGCATGTGTTTATTGACTGACGCATCTCTCGCCGCACATGTTGGTGCCGGCTGGACATTGCGTTCCATCGTCCCAGCTTTCACCCTCAGCCTTAGCCCCAAACGCGTTAGTCTCACCGGCTGCCCCATGTCCATCAATACTTTGCCCATTTCGCTCGCGCCTCGACATGGCCACGGCCCGCCATGACGCCCAGGCTGTGCCTGTGTGTACGTGTGCGCCAGCTGCTACGCCGTCATCACCTCTTGTCCGGTTCGGGAAAGGGTGAATCTCTCCGCACTCCCCCGCTAATGGCACATGGGGCCGGACATGTCCTGCCCTGTGCCGTTGTCCCATGTTGGTCCAGATCGTTGTTTCTGTTCCCCATGTTTCTGAATCTTTGGCATTGCCGCCATCGCCCGGCCTCCGGACGAGGAGGAGCCTGCCCGCTTCTACCCAACCCTGTTCTACCGCAAAAAGATACGCCCACGCCCATTTCTTCCAGACGCGACCCCCACCAGATATCCAAGTATATCGTCATTTGTTCACTGCCAAGTCTTCCAAATCCCCCGCCCCACCTAAATCTCTCGACGACCTTCCAGAGCGAGTTAGCGAATTGCCCGTCTACAGTACAGTTACTCGTATCTGCCTTCCTATGATACCCATGCATGCAAAGAATCGGCAAGACGTCACTGCGAATCGCCCTCGGATCAGCAGATCATGCTCCGAACAGCCAATTCACGTCTGCTTTGCATGCAAGGCAAACCGTCATCGGTCCAAAGCTCATCGGAGCTGCCACAACCTACTTAACTTCACCATGTGCTCGACGTCTGCTTTGTACCCTAAAATCTACCCTGCTGCCTGTCCAAGGTCCGCATTAGTCAGTCAATATGAAAGCTATTCTTGTCCTGTTTGCCGCAATTGGCGCTCGAGCCTGTCAACGTGAACGTGCACTACAACACCACCCCCACAAGCATATCAAGCGACAGTCTACCTTTCCCCCAGCCTTGACCCCAGACGAGGAGCTTCTGCTGAACTCTTTTGACACAGCCTCGATATCTGACTGGTCATACTACTACAGTACATCTCTCATCATAACGTCGAGTGAACATGACGCTAATTCACCGCAGCTCATGGCGCTCATTTGGCTGGTCGTAACAAAACCATGGCAGAATGGACTGTCATGAAGTGGTCCGAGTATGGCTTCACATCGAGACTTGACGAATACTGTGTGTTAGGCTGGGAAATATACATCAGAGAATCTGCATTGACAGTTATCAGATGTCTTCTTAAACTATCCCGTCTCTCACTCCTTGGAACTCACGTACAACAATGGCAGCACATATACTCCGACTCTGCGAGAAGCTGTACTTGATGAAGATCCAACGACCAGCTACGCCGACAGTATCCCTACCTTTCATGGCTACTCCTTCACAGGCAATGCATCTGCCGAATACGTCTACGTTGGGCGAGGCCAGCAAGTCGACTTCGACCGCTTGGAAGCACTTGGTGTCCAACTTGAGGGCAAGATCGCACTCGCCAAATACGGCGGGCCTTTCCGAGGACTCAAAGTCAAAAACGCCCAAGAACACGGTATGATAGGCACTGTCATCTTTAGCGACCCTGGCGATGATGGCAATATGACTGAGTGAGTAATGGCCTGTCATACCTATATCCCATGCCGCTAACCTATACAGAGCGAAAGGAGTCGCCGCTTACCCTCACGGTCCAGCGAGGAACCCCACAACTGTTCAACGCGGATCAGTTCAATTTTTGAGCACATACCCGGGAGATCCGACTACCCCTGGCTATGTCTCCAAGCCAGACTCTCCAAGAGCAGATCGCAGCAGTATTACCCCACAGATACCTAGTCTGCCAATCTCCTGGATTGAGGCACAGCCGCTTCTGATGGCTTTGAATGGCTTTGGAACTAACGGTACTGAGGTCAATAGAACGGGCTGGGTCGGCGCTATTCCCGGCGTCAACTATTTCACGGGAGAAGGATCTGGCTCGACACTCTCCATGTCTAATATAATGAACGATACTTACGGTAGTATCTGGAACGCTGTAGGTGTCATCAATGGCACAAACGAAGACGAAGTCGTCATTGTCGGAAACCACAGAGACGCGTGGATCGTTGGCGGAGCTGCTGACCCCAACTCTGGTTCTGCCGTGCTTATCGAGCTCGCAAAGGCATTCAGCGCTCTCTCTAAGACGGGATGGAAACCACTGCGTACAATCGTCCTCTGCAGTTGGGATGCCGAAGAATATGGTCTCGTTGGAAGGTAAGGCCTGTCAGGTGTCATGACAAAGTATCTACTAATGTTCCTTTAGCACCGAGTGGGTAGAAGAATACATTCCGTGGCTGAAGAATGCCGCTGTTTCCTACCTGAACATCGATGTTGCTGTCGCAGGCCCAGTAAGCAATTTCACTGTACACGATAGGCATTACATCTACTAACCTGGTGGATCAATATCTAGATCCCAGATGTTTCAGCAACTCCTGATCTCCACGCCATCGCCACCAACGTGATGAAGAAGATTGTATACCCCTACCGTAACAACACCGGCCTCACCATGTACGATGTGTGGTCCCATGAGAGTGGCGAAATAGGCGTCCTCGGCAGCGGAAGTGACTACACGGCCTTCTTGCACCGTGGTATCGCATCCATCGATATGGGAGCTGGTGGTGGACCTGAAGATCCCGTGTATCACTATCACTCTAACTATGACTCTTACCACTGGATGACCGCGTTCGGCGATCCTGGCTTCCATACGCACAAGGCCATTGGACAGTACCTCACGCTCTTGTTGTACCACATGGTTTCTGACCCTGTTCTGCCTCTAGAACCCGCCGACTACGTTTCCGAACTCAACACCTACCTGGCCGATTTGGAAGCCGACATTAATGCCAGCCACTATACACTTGATCTGTCGAATCTCACAGCCGCCATCTTGCAACTTGAGGATTCCGCAAAGGAGTTCGTCGACCTGAGGAATGAGGCGATCGCTGCAAACAATACTGCCCTCATTGCGGTGCAGAACCACAAGGCTCGTGATTTCTCGAGAGGCTTCACAAGCCAAGGCGGACTACCTACCAGAGAGTTCTTCCAAAATACCATTTTCGCCCCTGGGAGAGATACGGGATATGCCCCGGTAACATTCCCGGGTATCACGGAAAGCATCACTTTTGATAAAGATGTAACACTCGCGGAGAAGTGGGTGCAGAAGACTAGCGATGCCATTTTGGTCGCTGCGAGCATTCTCAAGACATAGAATACGTCTCTGAGATGACCTACAAAGGATATATGGCAGGGATGGTTTTGATGGAGGATAAGGTGAAGTCTGCTTTGGACGATGTGATGACGATGACGATGATATGAGCCTGTTACACTGCGAAGAGTAACGATAATATAATATATTGCATGAGTAATGAAGTGTTAGGGCTTTGTGCTCGGAAAATCATAGCTGGTAGGGTTGGAGACGACACCCAGGTATCACTGCAAATACTGTTCCCAAGACATTGCGACCAATTTTTACTGTGTAAGTTCTGCTAGAATAATGAGAAGTATCAAGAGTAAAATAACGAATGTAGGCGACTCCTACATGTCGCGATTGATTTGCGTAGTACGAGTTTTTTTATTACAACCAAATCGAGCTTAGTTGTATCATCTTACTTCGCCTTGTAGAAATATACAGCATGTATTACGTAACATAGCTATGAAACTGAACAGGGAATATCATCTTACGAAAGGCTGAGTGCCTGTAGTTTCCGCCTGGCAAGGTTAGTTCGATCTATGACTGCCTGCGGCTGAACCTCGTAGGATACAAATACCCCCATTTTCCCCCAACAAGACCTTTCCCCAACACTATCTAGTTAAGCCCGCATAATGTGGCTCATCTGCACTTCGACTCTCAAACTTCGTCTATTTATTACCAATATACCCGATTATGTTATGTTATCTCACACTTGGGGTGACGGAGAAGTCACTTTTGATGACATCGACAAGCCCCACGCAAAAGGCATGGCTGGTTATTCCAAGATCGTGGAATGTTGTGCTAAAGCACTGAGTACTGGGTTTGAGTGGGCCTGGATCTACACGTGCTGTATCGACAACAGGAGTAGCGCTGAACTATCCGAGGCTATCAATTCCATGCACAAGTGGTACTGGGATGCTGCAATCTGTTATGCATACATGTCCGATTGTACGCCGGAAACGTTAAATGCTGAGCTGTTCAGGCTTGGAATTGTAGCGAGAACTGAAGCAATGTACGAAGCCAATGCATCTCGACGGCGGGAATTCCAAGCATCGCGATGGTTCAAACGAGGCTGGACATTACAGGAACTTCTCGCACCCGAGGTCATTAAGTTCTACGACGCGGATTGGATACAAATCGGAACCAAGTCGAGCCTTCTGGAGCCGATATTTACAGCAACCGAGATCGAAGAGCAACATATTAGCGATCGCGATACGATACAGCATGCTAGTATTTCAACAAAATTCAGCTGGGCATCTAGTAGGACAACGACGCGTGTGGAGGATGTGGCGTACTGCCTCCTCGGCCTCGTCAATGTGAACATGCCTATGCTTTACGGCGAGGGGGAAAGAGCTTTTTACAGGCTACAGCTCGAAGTTATCAAGCATAGTAATGATCACACGATATTTGCATGGGAGTCCAGTAACGAAGCATGGCTGCCCACAAGCATGTTTGCATCGTCCCCTACACAGTTTGCGAGTGCTTCTCAGCTGCTACGTACGCCACCTCAAGTTCAGGGCCAGCTTGAACCATACGAATTGACAAATCACGGGTTATGGATGACGTTACCGTGTATCCCCGTAGGCGATAATCGGATCGTGACTGTCCTGGACTGCGCAAACACCAGCAGTGACCATGTTGGAGTTTGGCTACGGCTTATGAAAGTTGGTCGGTACGAAAGACTGCCAAACCTGAGAGTCTTCATATCCAAGGCTGAGCTGATTGATGCCTCTCAAAAGACAATATACATCCAAGCAGACAAGCAGATATCCCTAAAGCGCAGGAATAGAGGGTCAGTAATGAGGCTATGTGCGTTTCCAAGCGAACACTGGAAAATAAGCTTACTCGACTTGGAGACCAGACTAAGAGTTGAAAGGGGCCCAACATGGAAGCTGTATATACCTGAAGATATTATTATACAGGAGGGAGAATTTGCAAGTGGCGTTTTCTCTCTCCTGTTTCTACATCGGAGCCAGATTTACATTACTTTTGGACTTGCACTGTATGAGGGCCGACCTTGGCTTCATCTTCGTCATTATTTATACTTGGAATCTGTTAAGAATATGTTAGGTTCAGTCCAGGTCGGCGAGGTGAGGTTCGTGGAGTAAGCCCGAGCAGAAGGACCGACGCGGAATGATGATCTGTCATGTACGTCCTAAGATCATCATAACAACAAGTAGATAGAACAATAGCTCTTAGTGAAGTTCAATCCAATACAGGGTTACCTTTCGTACCTCTACTCGGTCGCCTATGGTAGTCATACCACCAGAGGAGACCTTGTTCTAACAGGTTATGAGCCCGGTTGCCTAACCCAACGTTATTGTTTTCAAACACCTACCCGAGTCACGAAGGACTCAGATTCAAGAAGGAATCAAAACATCCACCCAAGTCACGAAGGACTTAGATTCAAGAAGGAATCAGAAAAGAAAAGAAGTCGTGTACAACGCGGTTAACACGCAATCACACTTAAATACACCGTCTCTACACCCGAGAACCGATAACGACTGCACCGCCCGCAGAATATCACCCGGATCGCCCGCATCGCCCGCATCGCCTGTATCGCCCGCATCGCCCGCATCACCTACACTCTTAGCATCATACCACGTACCTTGCTCGCATAATAGTCTCACCAACTCAAAACACACAAGATGGCTGTAGAGAAGGAAGAATGGAAGATTCCCCAACTTACAGCTGAAAACCACGATACTTGGTTCCGCCGAAACAAGGTCAAGCTTAAGGGGAAGAAAGTCTTCTATGTCTGCGAGAAAAACCTGGTACAGCACTGCCAAATAGCAATAGCCGGTGAACTAACGGAGGCTATGGAAGAGTTGGAAATTGCTGAAGCAGACAAGCATACTAAGATCCGCGTCAACATTGAAAAAAGAGACAAGTACCTAGAAGATGAAGCCACTGCAATCGATCTCTTGTTTCGGTCGCTTACTGAAGATGACCAAGCCCTTATTGACGAATACGACACTGCCTTCCAGTTCTGGGCCTACCTACAAAAGAAGTACACCCAAACTGACGCCACAACCGCCAACATTTACATGACCAGAATTCAAACGTTCACATTCAATCCTGGGAACACAATTGTTGGATCATGGGAAAAGCTAAAGGAATACCGACGCAAACTCGTAGCAGCAGACGCTGACACCAACGGAGCTTACAAGGACTCTGCACTACTACTCGTTCTTATTAGATCACTCCCGAAAGAATTTAAGACTACGATTGACACCTTAAACGCCCAACTTAACCTTACGGTTGAACAGAAACTTAAGTTTCTGGAAGAGAAGGAGGTTCGAGACCAGCAAGACGCCGACGAAAAAGCTCTCCCAGCATTCCGGAAGACGGAGAAGTATGTTCCGCCTTACAAGCGCCGAAATCACAAGAGCTCACCACTATCGTCTGACTCCGAATCTGGTACTAAGTTTATGGTCCAATGCTTCCTTTGTGACGGAGCCCATGGCGTACGAGACTGTCCAAGACGTGAGAGAGCTCGAAAGCTCCTTAAGGAATACGACGCTAAGAAATCATCTAAGCCGCCTATTAAGACACTCAAGCAAAGGAATGCTCACAAAAAGACTGGCAAAGCATATGGAGCCGAAGAAGTCAATTCAGAGTCAGATGAATTATCCGAGACCTCAGACTCTGAACCCGAGGAAATTGAGACATGCCGTCTCTCAAAAGACATTGTCGGTAAGGCCTCTCCATCTACTTGGGCTGCCGACACTGGCGCCTCCTCCCACATGTCTGACCAACCCTCATTGTTTAGACGAATGATCAAGATCAAGCGAAGACTAGTTCGGGTTGGAGGGGGAGAATTATATGCAGACTGGAAAGGAGAAGCTCAAGTGGTGTGTAAAGACGGATCGTCGACATGGTTGTCAGAAGTACTGCTTGTACCTAACCTTGGAGTCAATTTGTTATCAGGGAGAAGAATTTGCGCAGCAGGCCTGAAGGGTCGTTTCAATTCACACGTACTATGCTTCAAACTAGGAAAGGAGATCATTATTAAAGCAACTATGGACGACGGCCTCTACGTAGTGTCACACATTGCCGATGGATACCACGAGACAGCATTCCTAGGCACGGAACCCCATACACCAGTTAAGAGCGAGCTTAAGGTTAATGAAAAGGAGAGATACCTGCTGTATCACAGACGTTTCGCACACCTAGGACCTACAAAGATTGCCAAACTCCACGAAGTTACAACTCTCCAGAAGAAGATTCAAGTTCCAGAGAAGATTGAAATCTGCGAAGTGTGTTCCCTGACAAAGATGAAGAACAGCATCCCTAAGCAGCTAAGAGAGCACAAGGCCACGAAGCTAGCCTTAGTACAGTTTGACATTGCTGGACCCTTTCCAACATCTCTACGAGGAAACAGGTGGTTCCTCCAAATTATTGATAGCTACACGCGGAAAAACTGGGTTATCCCGCTGAAGAAAAAGGGAGACGCACAACGGGAACTCCGAATCTGGAAGACCTTTGTAGAACATCAAACTGGCGAGAAAGTCAAAGCTGCTGGAACCGACAATGCACCAGAACTTCTACAGCAAGCTGAGGAATGGAGAGTTACACAAGGCGTGGAAATTCAGCCTACAACAATTGCTTCCTCACACCAGAATGGACCAGCCGAGCGAAACATCCAAACTGCTGAAGCTGATATGAGAGCAATGTTGAAAGACGCTGGTTTACCAATTGAGTTTTGGGATGAAGCTGTCGAAGCAGACGCATACCTACGCAACCGTACAAACACAGGACCTATGATCAATGGAAAGCAAGTCAGTCCTGAAGAGGCATTCACAGGAACGAAACCATCCATTGACCACATCCGTGTATGGGGGAGCAAATGCTATTCGTACATCAACCCTAAAACGATTCCAGCAGACCAACGACATGACAAGCTCGTGGACCGTGGCAGAATTGGAGTATTTATGGGATATTCTGAGACAACAAATAAGCAGTTCAAGTTCTATTCGCCAGAGCTTGGATACACCTCAAGGACAAGCCGATTGTCAGTGGACGAATACACCCCTGGAGGGAAAGTTGAACTACGACTGCGAAACATACCAGCTGGACCACAAGGAACGCAGAATACGATGCCAGACCGAAAACCAAGAGGAAGACCTAGGAAGGATCTAGAATTATCTCCTGCCGAACGAATGGAACCAACTCCTACCGAACGAATGGAACCATCTCCTGCAGAACCAATGGAACCATCTCCTACCGAACCAATGGAACCATCTCCTGCAGAACCAATAGAACCAGTTTCCGAGAACCTAATGGAACCATCTTCGGCAGAGCTAACTCATGAACCAGTGAAGCGTCACAGAGGAAGACCAAGGAGGCTAACTACTATTCCTCCTACTGCACCATCTGATGAGCGGGTTCCTAATCTTGTGAACGAAGAGGGGCCCGAAGAACCGTGTACCCAGTCTGTACGAGAAAAGGAGATTCCACGATACTTCACTAGACAAGCCAAACGGAAGAGGTCTAACGAAGAGATTGTTGAGGACGAGAGATTTAGCAAGATCGTTAAAGCTATGCTAGCCCAAGTTGGCCTTACAGAAGAGCAAACACGACTATCTGAGAAGGCTTTCGCAGCAACCGAGATCGCAGGAATCCAGATCCCCCAGACACACGAGCAAGCTATCAACGACCCAAAGTATGGAAAGCAATGGAAAGCAGCAATACTTGAAGAGATAATCGCGTTAATAGAGAATCGAACCTGGGAGGAAGTTCCAAAGCCAAAAGACGCGAACATGGTTGATTCAAAGTGGGTTTTTACAGTCAAAACGAATCTCGACGGGACTGTTGAGAGGTTTAAGGCACGCCTTGTGGCAAGAGGTTTTACGCAAGCACACGGAACAGACTACAACGAGACTTTTGCCCCGACAGTCCGCATGGACACCTTACGTCTGTTTATGGCCACTGTCGCAGCGGAAAACCTGGAATGTTTCCACTTTGACATTAAGAATGCATTCACAGAGTCGCACTTGAAGGAAGAGATCTTTCTTAAGCAACCCCAAGGAGTAGAAGTCAAAAAAGGATACGTCCTTAGAGTTCTCCGCAGCTTATACGGACTCAAACAGGCTGCTCGCGACTGGAACTTGTTGATAAAGAAAGAACTTCTGGCATGGGGATTCGTACAAAGCCTCGCAGACCCGTGCATGTTTATCCACAAAGAAAAACAACTCCGTATCCTCGTCTACGTTGATGACATTGCTGCTGCTGCAAAAGATCGAGCTCAAATTGATTGGTTCTACGAGAAGCTTTCTGGAAGATTCAACACCAAGAACCTGGGGGAGATTCATAAGATCCTTGGAGTACGAGTTACGCGAGACAGAAAGCGCCGCACAATCTACCTCGATCAAGAACAGTACCTACACGCAGTACTTGACAAGTTTGGAATGTCTAGCAAACAACACAGAGACAAGAAGATTCCATCTGCAGATTACACTTCATTTAGGCCAGCCACTGACAACGACACCCGAATCGACATCACTGAATACCAGCAAGTGATAGGGAGCCTTATGTTTGCTATGGTTCTTACACGTCCAGACATTGCATTCACCCTCGGAAAGCTAAGCCAATACATGAGCGATCCAGCAGAACACCATGGCCATGCGTTGAAGAACCTGCTACGATATCTAAGGTCGACAGTGACATTGAAGCTACGCTACGGACCAGGGGGAGTACACTCGCAATTTGTCATCTACTCTGATGCTGACTGGGCAAGCGACATGGTAGACCGAAAGAGCGTTTCAGGGAGCACTGCAATGTTCTACGGAGGTCCAATATCATGGTCTAGCAAGAAGCAACGGTCTGTTGCAACGTCAAGCTGCGAATCTGAATACATCGCACTATCAACATGCTGCAAGCAAGGCCAGTGGATTGCTCAAATGTTTAGAGATCTTGGGTTCCCAAAGTACATTGGAAAAGACACCAACAAGGTCCAGATGCTAGGAGACAACCAGGGTGCCATTGCACTTACAAAGAACCCTCACCTTCACGAAAGATCAAAGCACATCGACGTCTGTTATCATTTTATCCGAGACCTAGCAGAACAAGGCAAACTCGATGTGGCCTACGTTCCAACTGCAGACATGGTGGCTGATGGAATGACAAAGCCATTGCAGCGAGTCGCATTCGAGAGATTCAAGAACCAATTAGGAGTTGTCCTTGGACCGGACCTGCCCTGAGGGGGAGTGTTAAGAATATGTTAGGTTCAGTCCAGGTCGGCGAGGTGAGGTTCGTGGAGTAAGCCCGAGCAGAAGGACCGACGCGGAATGATGATCTGTCATGTACGTCCTAAGATCATCATAACAACAAGTAGATAGAACAATAGCTCTTAGTGAAGTTCAATCCAATACAGGGTTACCTTTCGTACCTCTACTCGGTCGCCTATGGTAGTCATACCACCAGAGGAGACCTTGTTCTAACAGAATCTGTTTTTATAGAGGATGTACGCAAAGAATTCTGGTTAGATACCCAACGTCATGACGGTGCGACAGGCGCGTCAAGCAATTTCAGAGATCATTTAGAGAGGACAGTTCGATGGGACCTTACACCCAGAACTGGAGTGGACATTGGCACGTTAGTAGTACATGCTAGTAGGCGTCGTGGAAAAGAGGGCATTCAATGGAGCATTGGCTTATCTTTCGCGTGGTCTATTTAAGCATTAATCATATAAAAGATCCACGACTTAGTTCGCAATCACATGCATTTAACTCTATCAATTTTGCACCTTCATAACATCGAATCCAATCGTTTTGTATCACATTCTGCCCCACGACATACATGATAAAGTATAGCCATGTTAGGACATGCTATAGATGTCCATGTTCAACAGTGATATACCCAAAAATAGAAGCGTGAACCGACTCCAAAGCCAGGCCCATCATTACAAGTTTATACAAGTTATGCAAGTGACCACTAAAAACCCAGTTGATTATTCGCCAGATGGTTGATACGCCAGCCTCTACATGACAACACAATTCTCTTCCTGTTGCTTCTGGTTTGTCCTGCTAAGGCGTTCACGCTTCATCTGTACTTTGCTACCACCACGCTTGAGCTCTTCAAGGCGCTCTTGTGCTTTGGGGAATTTGTACGCTACAATCATGTTAGTCATACTCTGTTTCTTTGTTCAATACGTGTTCAAACTTACCAGCAGCTCTTCCATACCACCGTTTCGCCTCGTCAAGACTCCGTGGACACCCTATACCCACTTCTGTGAAATAACCCATGGCGAAAAGCGCCTTTGGTAACGGTGGCTCTGCACAGGCCGCCTTACGCGCCCAGAGAAAGGCTTCGGTGTCACTTTGTTCAAGAATACCGGAGGTACCTGTCAAGTACCAACCTGACAGTGCGAGCTCACTCTGGTGTTCTTCCTGGGCAGCAGCTTTGGTATACCAAGCGATACTTGTGCGCGCGTCAATTGGACAGCCAAGCAGCCCGTATTCGTAAGCTTGTCCGAGACGGAATTGAGAGAATTTGTACCCAAGGTCAGCTGCTTGACGGAATAGCCGTAGTGAGTATGCTTCGTCTCGGATTGCGCGTTCGCTGCCAGTTTGCGCCTCGTAGATGAGTGCTAGCTCGTGAAGCGCATGTGGATTATCTCGATCGGCGCGCTCAGCAGCTCGCTTGAGCATAGTGATGGCTTCACCAACATTCTTCTGTTGGCCCAAGAGTCCTTTGAGAAGAATCATACCCATCTTGTACATCGCAGGTGTGTCGCCCAGTGTGGCTGCACGACGATACCACTGCACGGCCTTGACTGGATCCTTCTTTGTTCCACCACCCTCTTCATGACCCATCTCACAGCAGACAGCTGTACGATACGCACTTGCTGCATGGCCACCTTTAGCGGCCGATTGATAAAGCGTGAATGCCTCTTTGGTGTCAACCTGGAGACCGAGGAGTCCTTGGCCGTAGCAGTCTGCAAGGTAGAACATGGCATCCGGAGAACCGGCGCTGACGAGCTTCTTAATAATCTTGTAGGCTTCCTGGGTGAACTTTTCCCGATTTTTGTTCTTCGTTCGTGCGTCAGCTGTGCCTCCTTCGTCAGCAAGTACATTGGACGCTTCCACGAGCTTCTTCGATAATATCATTCCTGTAGCAATGTCGGCTTGATTCGATTTCTTCCATGTGTTACGGAGTCTGTTCAGTTCATCGTAAGTGACTGGGTGTGATACGGCACTTTGTGCGCTGTTGCGCTGTGTGGACGAGGGTTGAACTTCGTGGCTAGTGCGTCCTGGCTCGCTATTGTACTGTCTGACTGGTGGTGGTCTTGCAGTTTGTGGAGCTGGAGTATGTGATGACTGTTGCTGGCCCTGTTGCATAAGCCCAGGCCGTACAGGCGTTGGATGCGCAGGTAGTGCGTCTGGGTTTGACAGTGCCTGAGCGTTGACAGGCGCCCTACCCATTGGATCACCAGGCATACGTCCAGACCCAGGCCCTGCTGTTCCAGGTCGTTGCATTGGGTTTCCAGGCCCCATCGGCGGCGCAAAGTTCCTCGTGTTGGGTGGTGGCTCTGAATAGGCAGAGTCGTCAGAATGGCCTCTTTGAACACCCGGTGGATGACGTCCATATCTCGGGTCAAAGGCTTGGGGTTGTCCAGGCATGGACCCTTGGTTAGGAGGTCCACGCGACATACCGTCTGTTGTCATACCTCTTTGGGGTGGCCCACGCGCTCGAGAGGCATTTGGTAAGCCATTCGGACCAGCGAATCCAGTATTTGCCCTGGGCAAACCTGGCATTGGAGGAGCATCTGGAGCTACCTGGTGTGCGGCATTTGCGTACTGGCCATTAAGATCGGGCTGGGATCGACTTCTCAGCATTTGACCCTGGGATGCGCCATTAGGCCCGGCGGAGGCGGCAGGTGCATAAGCGGGTTTGTTGTAGTTGGGAGATAGGTGTTTATCAATTGAATCACCTCTACGATGCTTGTTGTCCGTTTCTGGTATGGCGTCAAAGTCGGGCATATCTATTGCGGAATTTAAGCTCTTGCGATCGGGTTCACCGTAGTAGTCGTCGTAGAAGGTGTTGAGCCCCTCCTGTTCGTCGGCTTGTGCCTGTTGATACTGGTTTGGAGCTTGTTGTTGATTTTGCGGGGGGTATTGCTGCTGTGGTCGTGAATGCTGTTGCTGGGATGGCATTTGCGGCATCGGGGGCCTTTGTCCATGCTGGATCGGTGGCCCATTCTGTCTCACTCCACCGGCAGTCGAAGGCCTGGGCGGGACATAGGTTGGCGAACCAGGACCATAGTAGCCAGGCGCAGCACCAGGATTAGCAAAGTCCTGGTAGCCGTCGTAACCGCCTGCTTGACCTCCGTTTGGCAGAGACTGGGGCATCGTCACTGAACGTTGTGTGTTGGGACCAAAGGCTCGCCGTGAAGGAGACATGGGATCGGAAACGCGGTGCGGAAGCTGTCCTCGGCTAGTATCAACGTTTGCCGGAGATGGCCGCTGACCTGGTGGCATCCGGTTCGAGGCCTGGCGCTGATTCTGGCTCTCAAAGTTGCCTGAATCCTGGCGGGCATTGACACCTGGCCTTGGCTGCGGCATAGCCCGATTCTGTTGTGCTATGGGTTGCCCACGCCCTGGCGGACCCCTAGTTGCCGCCTGCGGCCCGTTGTCGCTGATGTTCATCTGTGCCATGCCCTGGTCGATGGCGGTTTGGTGGGCTCCTTGGTTGGGTTTTTGCGTGGGGAAAGTCGGGAAAGGGTTGTCTTGAGGAAGGCTTTTGGGGGCTGGCATGTTCAGTAACGAACGGTCCAGGCCTGTGTAGCAGATGGTTAGCATTTCGTTGTCTTGTCTCCACATGCTCGTTGAGACATACCTGGAGCTCTCATTCCCCCTCGTCCTTGGTGTGGAGGCCCATCTCCTCGACCTGCTCCTCTGCCCCGTGGGTCTTGTCGCTGCTGTGGTGGCTCATTGTAGGCCTGCTGCTGAGCGCGTGGGTTCTGAGGAGGCGGACGTCTTGCTTGATTCTGCGGCGGTGGTGATTGTTCGTAGTATGGGTTGTTGTATGCGTCTTCCTGGTAATATTGCTGTTGCTGTGAAAGTTGCTGCGGTGGCGGCGCACGACGCTGATTCGGTGGGGCTTGTCTGTAACCGGCGTTCATGTCTTGGTACCCGTCATGTTGCTGTCCATTTCCCCAATTTCCTTGTTGGTCATAATGGCCGTTGCCCCATTGCTCCTGGCCCTGCTGGTCATAACCATGATCATAATATTGCTGGTCATAGTGGTCGTCGTAGCCCTGATACTGCTGCTGCTGCTGTCGCTGACTTGGTCGACCGGCGGCCTGGTACTGCTGTTGCGGGTGCGCGTAGTTGCTGGCTTGCTGTTGCTGTTGATACGCCATACCGGCGGCTCTATCGGGGAACACGTGGGTCCGCTGCCCGGGCAGGTGCGTCGTCTATGGAGAGACTAGTGAGCGACTGTCGACTGTCGTTGGCGTCCGAGGGCGGCCGCCTGGGCATGTACGCTCTCTATATGTACGATGGGACCGGTGCTCGTTCGGCGTGTCTGTCGCGTCTTATGCTGGCCGTTGCGGTGGGTAATTTGGTAGTGATTGACTGGGAACAAGGCTGAGTGGTCCTGGGCCAGGGGCGTACAAAATTAAAGAATCGTCATACGTTCATCGAGAACAGGGAACTCGCTGCCACGCCTATACGCGGTTCTGGTGAAGAAATGAAGACGATAGGTACACCTGCAATTGTACATGGTCGCGTACCGACGCCGATTGGAGACGGCCGCTGCCGTCCTCAAACACGGGGTGAAGTCCAATCGCACACCAGTTCAATCTCGTGTTTCAACTTAGAACTACCAAAAGCGTCGTATCAAGCAGAAAGGCGTCCCTTTTGAGCTTTCCGAGGCCCTGAAACACCGCCACAAGCAACGTGTTCTCGGCAAAAGACGCGTCGGTGTCTCTAATTCGCAAGTACAGACACGCAAGTAAATTACTTGAGGCTGTGCGCATTACTGCAGCATCAAGTCTTGTCAAATTGATGACAGATGGCCATTGGTTTCAGCCTTGCACAGTGCAAGACAATTAACATCGAGTCGCGCAATCCCTATACAGACAAGGTCGCAGAGCCGCTGAAGATCATACAGATCATGCAGTTCCAACATAGTCTACCAATCAACGCAAAGTCGTCAAAGCTTCCTTGGGCTCGGGAAACCTGTCCGCCGTGGAGTCGGTCGCATTTCTGGAGCACCGAGCCAAGTCCTTTGCCGCACTTAGCTAATCATGGGCGGTGCAACTACATCACGTGCTGCCAGTTGTGGCGCAAGACCTGCGACTAGCTTCTTTTGCTATTGGCACACTGCATCGTCGACTTCACCACTTTGGCACGTCTCCACCATAACCACCATACCCGCACATCGTCCTGTTTCTGCCGACCTGTAATCATCATATTACAGTCCAGTTACCGAGAAACGGAAGCAAGTGCGATAGACAGAAAATGCCGTCAGCACGCACATATCTCAAAGCTATCTCAGGGTACGATGGTTTTAGCACGTACTGCATTGCATTGGCCGATATCTGACATTATCACAGAGGCGCCATCCTCTGCATAGGTGGTCCAGCGCTCGTCATGTGGGTGACACCAACAGAAGAGGAAATCTTCAAGGTAATTTTGCTTTCCCATGTGGATGCACCCTACAGATGCTCATATTTCATGCAGCGATATAGCCCAGAATTGCAGAAGAAGGCTCTGGCGGGGAGGGAGCAACGCCAGAAGGACTTTGATGCCTTTGTTGGCCAGTTGAAGGAGGCTGCACGGTCTGATAAACCCAGTAAGCTCTTTCTCGGCACCAATCCCCCACCAGTCCGCTAATGGAAAACAGTCTGGACTGCACAAAAGGAAATCGATGCAAAGAGGTCAGAGGAAGAACAGCAGACCCGCAGAGATGAGCGGGACGCATATGCTGCTGAGGGCCGGAGAAGACAGGCCGAGATCAGGGCCAGCACTCAATAGCCGTACCTGGCTGAAAATGGCATCTCCTTCGTCACTGTACATATATATCTGTATTACGAATCTACACTTCCATGCCAGGCTTCGGGGCCGTCGAGTACTCAGTCTATTCCAACATCAAATCTAGTATGGAAAATCACCGCCATGTCACCTAGACCATTATTTCAGGGCTTATATAAAGAAATTGCTTATATGTACTTAAAGTACTCATGCGTGTGTGCATGTGCTGTAACAAGGGCGCTGGTCTCGTGACATGGAGTGGGTTTCGCGCAACCCCAGAATAGAGCGCGCCGCACAGCAAGCCCCAACATCCTCCATCCGCCCCCACCACGACTGACGGGGCTGTATCCAATGCCCGGCGATGCGCAAGCCCCTGTGAAGCTCTCATTGCCCCTCGTTTGTTACCCCGTCTTCAATCAACCACAGTGTGCTGATGACATCATAGGAATTCCAGCAGGACATCTTCAACCAGCTGCGCGAGGAAGATGAGCTGGTCATCCTCGCTCGGGGCCTCGGCCTTTTGCGACTAGTCACAAATCTTCTCCATTCGTACGATGCCGCTGGAAACAACCTCATACTACTTGTCGGGGCCGACGACCGCGAAAATGTGTGGGTTGGCGAGGCATTGGCAGAGCATGCGGCTGTCAGTAATGCGCCCAAGTGTCGCGGCCTAAGCCTGGTCAACACGGATCTGATGAGCGTCGGCACACGAGAGAAGCTTTACGCGCAAGGAGGAATATTCAGCATAACTTCGCGCATTCTGATTGTCGACTTTCTGTCTGGCCTCTTGAATCCGGAGACGGTGACGGGCATTGTAGTGCTGCATGCTGAAAGAGTCGTTGCCACGTCGCTAGAAGCCTTCATCCTGAGGATCTACCGGCAGAAGAACAAGACTGGCTTCCTAAAGGCTTTCTCTGACACACCGGAGCCCTTTACAACTGGCTTCTCTCCCCTCACGAACATGATGAAGAATTTATTCCTGACAAAACCGGCGCTTTACCCGAGATTCCACGTCGCAGTCGCCAATTCGCTCGAGGGACGCAAGAAAGCAGAGGTAATCGAGCTAGAAGTGCCTATGACAGACGCTATGCAGGATATACAGAATGCAGTCTTATCTTGTGTCGAAGCCAGTATTGGCGAGCTCAAGAAGGCCAACCCAGGCTTGGAAGTCGAGGACTGGACCGTGGACAGTGCCCTACACAAGAACTTTGATCAAATCATCCGACGACAGTTGGATCCTGTCTGGCACCGAACCACGTTCAAAACACGACAGGTTGTTCGGGACTTGTCACTGCTTCGGACTATTCTGCATGCGCTCCTCACATATGATGCCGTAAACTTCAACAAGTACCTTGACACCGTTTTGGCAGCCTCGCAACCACCGCCAGGGTCGACAAAGCAGAACCAGTCGCCGTGGCTGTTCCTAGATGCAGCGGACACAATTTTTACCACAGCCAAGCGGAGAGTATACACGGGCAAGGTGTCCAATGCCGAATTAGCCAATGCTTCCAACGCTGTACCGGAGTCCCTACAGCCTGTTCTTGAAGAATTCCCCAAATGGGCTCAGTTGGCAGAGATATTACAGGAGATTGAGCAGGACGCATATTTCAATCCAACGCCACAAGACTCTTCCAATGGCTCCATACTGATCATGTGTGGTGATCAGGGCACAGCGTCGCAATTGAGAGAGTATCTGCAGACCATGTACGTCAAGCCAGAGGGAATTGCCGATGAGGATGAAGAAGAGTACGAGCCATCGGGGAAATTTATGATGCGACGCAAGCTGCGTAACTATTTGACTTGGAAACGGGATTTCAGCAAAGTCAGCGCTGCCCTATTCTCGGAAAACCAAAAAGCCATCAATACGAGCACGGACAAGAATGCTCAGAGTGGCATGCGTCAAACCTCTGGTAGACCTCCACCCAACAAGCGGCGTCGAGTAAGAGGAGGCGGTAACGCAGCCGCGGGTCCTGCTCGCTCAGATACAGGAGCTGTCCGTACAGCAGGAGATCGAGACGCCCATATCGCAAGCCTCATGGCCGAACTAGAGCCCACTGAGATCGAAGCAGCACAAAAGCCTGGCGAAGTAGGTTTCGATCCTCTTGACAACATGGAGAGCTACTACGAGCTCTTCGACATGAATTCTTTGATCGTCGTGCATCCCTACTCCGGTGACCTAGACGAGCACATTCTCGACGAAACGAAGCCCCGATATGTCGTCATGTATGAACCGGACGCCGCGTTCATTCGGCGCATAGAAGTCTATCGATCCTCACATACAGACCGGACAGTTAAAGTCTTCTTCATGTACTACGGTGGCAGTGTCGAAGAGCAGCGCTATCTCTCCGCTGTGCGCCGTGAAAAAGATGCCTTTACTCGCTTGATTAAAGAGCGTGCAAACATGGCCTTGACCATGAATTCTGCTGCTAACCTCGCCCCCGAGGAATCTTTCCTTCGGACCATCAATACCAGGATAGCGGGAGGAGGTCGTCTTGCGGCAACTGCGGAACCACCTCGTGTAGTAGTTGACGTACGAGAATTTCGATCCTCGTTACCATCTCTACTGCATGGAAGATCAATGGTCATCGTACCTTGTATGTTAACCGTGGGCGACTACGTAGTAACACCTCATATTTGCATTGAGCGAAAGTCGATCCGCGATCTCATCCAATCCTTTGCCAACGGGCGGTTGTTCAATCAAGTAGAATCGATGATGGAACACTACAAGCACCCTATGCTGCTCATTGAGTTTGACCAGAACAAATCCTTCACGCTGGAACCGTTCACCGATTTTTCTGCCCCGAGCGGTGGTGGTGCGAGTGCGAGTGGGTTGGCTTCTTCACCAGATCTCCAGGCGAAGCTGGTCATGCTTACTTTGGCGTTTCCTCGCTTGAGAATAATTTGGAGCAGCAGCCCATATCAGACGGCAGAGATCTTCTCTGAGCTCAAGAAACAGCAGGACGAACCGGACCCACTCAAGGCAGTGCAGATTGGTCTCGATCCGAATCAAAGTGGAGATGAGATGCGGAGTTTTAATCAGACGAGCCAAGATATGTTGTGTGCGCTGCCTGGAATAAATGAGAAAGCTGTCACGACGCTAATGCTCAAGAGCGAGTCAATCCAGGAGGTTGCAAACATGGAAGAAAGGGAAGTTTGTTGGTTGGTCGGAACTGATATAGGGAGAAGAGTGCATCGCTTCTTCAACAGGAGTGTGTATGAAGAGGTGCCGTTGCAGAAATTCTCCTAGAGAAAAGATGGATGAAGATTTTGCATGCATGCATTATTTCTCTATCCCACAATGCTCTGAAATATACGGTGACTAAAGAAACTTGACCACCTCAGCCGTCAAACCATCCGCCCGCTCGCAAGAAGCAGCATTTGAGCAGCCCGACCCCTGCCACAGCAGAGCAGCAGCCGCAAAGCAAGAGCCGAGACAGCATGGCGGACCTCTTTATCCCCACCCTCTCAAATGTCGTCGATGTCAATTTCCTTCTTGCCCGTACCATCAGCCTCATCTGAATCGCTGTCGTCGCGATCCTCATCGAACTCGAAACCGATACCCTCGTCGCCTTGGTCGCCGTATGTGTCGGTCTCGTTGATCTTTGCGTTTTCGGGGAGTTCACCGTAGGCTTTTAATGAACGGGCTTCGTCGGCTACAAAAAGAATACACGTCAGCGGCTTGCACAATGGGGGGGTTTTCGCTGTATCTATAATGTAGCACTTACCAGAGTACTTCATGATGACGTCGCCCTTCTCGTCCTGGTAGTCTCGGAGCGACAGGAGGATGATATCACCCTGGTTGATCCAGACCTTCTTCCTCAGCTTGCCGCGGATATGCGCAAGACGGCGAGCGCCATCGAAACACTGGGCCTCTAGACGTCCGTTTCCAAGCATCTTGACGACTTGGGCGTATTCTTGGCCTTCCTCTTTGAAGACGAGTTCGCGCTTTTCATTGTCGTTCTCGTTCTTACCCCTACGTCGGTTCTTGCCTCCCTGTGCTATGTGTTAGCAAGTATTGTAGCTTAGATTTAAAATACAAATATCAAGAAGCGCCACTTTTTGCACGCCAAAGCAGCGGTCGAGGACTTCTGCCGCCTGGATATTGGGTTGGGCGGCATAGCATCGTGACATGTGGCGGGGCTGCCCCTCTAAGAGATGGTTGACGTACTTTTCCCTTGTTCTTAGGCATATTGAGTGGTGGTTGAAGACTTTGTTTTGGGGTGAGAGGTTGTAGAGCAAGGAGTCGTAAAAAGCGCAGCAGGCGCGAGTTTCTTATGTGGAGTGGCGGTCCGGTGTTTAACCTGTGATTCCAAACTCACTGTGGGAGCCTTGTCAGGACAGAGCGCTAAAGCCCGCACCAGCCTTAGTTCGGTCTAGCTTTACCCTCACCCGAATATCAACCCATGGTTTCTCTTGGAAATTTCACCCCACCCGCTTCACTGCGCAACGTCACCGTGCATAGCCGCTCGAGGCAAGGAGAATGAAGGGGTTATTTTCTTTCATCGCGAAGAACCGGCCAAAGACCTTCACCGTCAGCTACTCGCCCGACTACAAGAACTTGATCCTCAACCACGTCGCAAGCGACCCATCGCACCCTCTCCACGAAACCCAGGTACGGAGACAGCGGGAACGGAAGAAAGAGGGGCTTTGGTGGCATGCAACCACGAGTGTTGATCTGAACAAATCGAGTTGTGTAAGAGCATGGGCCAGACGGCGACTACGAAACGCGATAAGAGAGGAGTTAAAGCTGCGCGGATACAATGAGAATGGCATCTTAGTCCAACCGAAGGCAACATCAGATAGGGCATTGTCCACGAACTCGCTACATGCGGGCAGACAGCTGAATCTAACGGGTAGCTTGAGGTTACATGTTCAGTCACCGTTGCTTCCTGCAAAGTATGCAGACATTCGCGCCGAGACGAGGGACATCATTGGGGCTTTGATACATGCGGTGAGGAGTGGCACTACGAGGAGCAGAATTGAAGAACAGAAACACCCCTCGTTGAAGCCAATGCAAAATCGTCCGCCATGGAATCCTCGTGTTGAGGCACAACGGTCACAAGTTCGCAGAATGGGTCGCTCGCCAAACCCACGCGCAGGGTAACAACTATCTCTCAAGTCACATAGAAGCTGTCAAGGTTGGTTCCAACTCATGGCTGCTCAAAGCCTTGTATGCATGATACAGATGTTGCGACGGTTCGTGACAATCAGGTATGTAATGGCAGTGTGCCCGAGTCCGACCCGAACGAATACCCATAGCTCACAGTCCGCTTCTTCTGTAGGTAACAGTTTCATTAGACGTCTCCGGTCTAAGCAGAAGAGTGTTTACCTTAATTTGCGCATTGGCTATTTTCCCAAATCACATCTAGGCTTTTCATTCTCCGATTCTCTTGCAGGATTTACAACTAGATAAGCCGCGCATCTAAAGTTCAGTCGCAGCCGAACAAGCGCCAGCTCTTAGCCGTATCGCAAAACTCGATGTGCACTCGCCACGCCAGTATTTGTCCAATGAACCATAGCGCAAAGACTACTATTGTCAGTAGTACACAAATACATGCACTGCGAAAAGAGAATGCCTCAGTCCACCGGTCTTCTTCTCTGTATTACATAGGCACCTTATAAACAAGTGTAGCATTTTCTTTCCACCGCTCCCTGTTCTGTCGTGTCATATGACGCTCTGAAAGCCCCACTTGTTCGACACGGAAATATCATACGATGTTATTTCCCACGTGGCATGGGCCTGCATCGGCATAAAACTCCGACCACACGCCCAAACCCGTCCCTCCCTTGCAACACTATTCCCACCAACGTCGCAGTTGTCTCCTTACTCGCGATGAATCACCGTCTACAAAACATGCCATTTTAAGTGGCTGGAGTAAAACGCCGCCCTGTTCCACTGCAATCGATGGCTCCTTGACCCTCTTATCGCTTTCTACCCTTTAAGGCAATGATGCAGTGTTGCTGCCCGGGGCCATTGGTTGGAGCACCGGACCGAGACATGCTACTTGCATGGGGAGTGACTCGGGGGGTCTATGGTAGTGGGAAGACGGTTGGTCTGAGAGAGGTATGCCATGGCCATGGTGACCCTAGGGGTTTATCCAAGTCGAGTATGAGGGCATAGGGTGTTGATTGTTGTCGGTCGTTAGACCGGACCAATGATGAAGGCTCTCCTTTTCTTTCGCATGTTGCAGAGGCTAAGTTACTGGTTTTGGTAGCATGGCTTGTTACGGAAAGTTTGTATTATCCGGGGAAAGAGATGGCTGTATCAACTGTCAAGATGCTCTTATGCCTTCTTCGATATGCCTTCTTCCAAAATATCAATATCACTGAATGATATCTAACATATCCGAGAAAATATTGATAATCAATAGATGCTCCTATTGGGGCATATGCATTGACATTTGCCCACCAAGAGTATGTACCACGAAGCAGACATGTGTCATATCTTTCGCAAAGCATACCACATGTCTACTTCACATCAGAGGTCACTTCTCACGCATGTCAAGTTGTGGTACAAGTTCAAAGATAGCTCGACGAACTAGTCCAATGTAGGCAACGTTAAGAATTCCAAGGCACTCCAGCCATGCATGTGGAAAATGTGGGTATGAATAACTTTTCGTTTTTTTATATGATAACAAAATCCTGTACCAGCCACCTTCGCCGCCTGACTAATGGCGCGCTGCCAAATAGGCATAGGAGGTTTTTTCTAGCTTGGGCGTCAATGTGGTATTGATATCGTCGTCAGTCGGCAGTTAAGTATATGCTATTCGAGCAGCTGGAGCAGGAAGTCAATCACTTTGATTGAAATTCAAGGTATCGAAGAAGCCTGTTACGTACAAAACACCCTATGAATGCATCAAGGACATGACCGTCCAAGCAAATCATTACAAAACACTCCTCCTCTTCGCCAAAGTCCGGAAATTCCGTTGTAACCTCGTGTGGCCTTCTTGCATTTCATAATCCGAGGCCATAGTACCCGTTCTTGGTGTTGCAGAAGACCGGAAGTTTTCCACAGCACTTGCTGATCGAAGTCTCGTTGGCGCATAGCGTTCTTTCATTCCCAAGCCTCTCCTGATCGTTTCCGTTATCGAAGCGAAAAAGCCACCACTATTGTTCGAGTTTTGTAGTGAATTTTCCTGAGACTTATCGTGGGGATGGGCATGTGTATGAGGTTGGCCGTGGCCGCTTAGAAGATGTGACTTCTCACCAGGTTCCATGTACAAGTGGTCACCCTCGTGGTTGACGAACCAATTAACCATGTACTGTTTGCCCTCTGGTCCACCTCCACATGATCCAGCAAGGACATGAGAGGGGGGTGAATTGACGGCAAGCGCGAAAAGATTGGGTGGTTCGGTGAAGTCTGTTACTAAGCCGCGGTGAAAGATGAAGTATACGAGGACGAAGATATTCATGAAGAACACAAGTGCTAATATGATGATCCAAGCTTTTCCAGCGCCAGACATGCCTCCGGAAGCGTATTGTTGGGCTTTTAGAGATGCGTTGAAGTATTGTGTCTGGTATTCGTCGAGCGCAGGATGTGTATAATTCTACAGCGAACGTCAGCACATTGGCTATAAATATAACAGCCACGATTACATACCCAGAATGTCACGAATGGCGCATCTAACATGCTCAAGAGTAGCGTACAAGCGGACAAGACAGCCAGTGCTTCTGCTAGACTGGGTATAGCTTTACTCAGGTCCACCTGAAAGCTGGTCGGATCCGTATTGGAGGGCTTCAAAATCAGTTGCGTTAATAACCTAGAAGTACTCGCATTTGCGTCCATAAGGCCCGTTCCTAAGGAAAGACTGTTCGCCCAGTCAGTGCCTATGTCGCGCCAATTGGCGACGCCTTGGGCGTTGGTGCTAGGTTCCGTTCCCGTCTCAACAAAGGCCATCTTGTCGTGAGGATCGTCGCAAATTGCTTCCATAGTACCACCGGACCCACTAACATCGTGCCGCGTACTGCATCCTGCTTTTATAGATACATGTATCTTGCACAACGAATATATGCCGGTACCGTCAATGCCCATGTCGTCAGGTCCACCTTGTCCAAGTATATATATTGCAGGTCGTCCCCATCTGTTGCTTGTATGGTTCAAGACGGTGTTGAAAGGCGTAGGATATCTGCCAAATACGGGCGGCCAGTTCAGTGTAGTGGTATCGTTCACATCCCATCCGAATATGTCATCTACTACAGTTCTGTTAGTTGTGGTAGCCTTGTCTCGGATACTCGGAGATTCCCCCCACGTGGTGACGTTGATGGTATCGTTGTTAGGCCACGCATTGTAAATAATTGGCGCTAGCTCTGTCTTATTCATGTTGGCGCATAACACGTTTACGACTGGCGATGGCACCGAGGCACGCAGCGAGTATGTTCCTTCGGAATTCAGCTCCTCAGGTTGTAAAATCCCATTGCGCTGGTCGCGAGCAGCAGCGAAAACACCTGCGTGAGGCATTGCCATGGTTATATTGTTGATTGCTCTGCCATGCTTCTTCGATACTTCGGTCGTGTTGATCATGTTTATCCATTGTCCTGTGACTGTGGTATTTTGGTAAAGTAGTCCAAAGCCTTTAGGCCGCAAGTTAAGGTCGGATGTACCGTTTCCATTCCTTGCAGATACATCCCAGTCTGAAAGATACCGCTGGAAGTTATGGTAACCTGTGAATCAGGGTCAGTTCGAATCGACGACTTGTTAGTCGGACCAACCTTGGCCAGCATGCTCCATTTGTAAGCATGTCTCTCCCTGATGTTCACGGTCGGTACGGATAGGTGTTGGGCACGCGGCTTTGAGGTAATTGATGTTGGCAAAATCACTCTTAACACGACCTGCCAGTACTAAGCCCTTGTCCCAATTGCCGTCTCTTAGCATGGGTTGGACTGCCTCGCGTCAGTTCATGATGACACGCATTGCACAAGAGTACATACCAGTAGCAGCAGCAGCAGATGTGTACAACGTCGCCAAGACAGCGCTTAATAGACTCATAACGCCCAAAAAAGACAAACCAGCATACTTTGCCATGTCTGGATGCGTCACGAGTGTGCCCGGCTGAACAATCCATCTCCACATACTTAGTTCAGAAAGAGTGACACCGCGCCCTTGGTCTTTCATGAACGCTCTTCGACTGAGCACCTGCCCAAGAAAGGCAACGAAGGCGGTAACAAAGGACAATTCTATTAGCTTGGCCAAGACTGTTGTGAGCAGAATTGCATCAGCTGGAGTAATTGGGCCGTGACTGGTGATGAGTCTACCATAATGAGGTGCGCGGATGGCGAGGGCCAAGAAAATGCCCGAGAATACGCAGGAGAACAAACAAACGAAGATCAGGGACATATTGAGCCAAGTGATACTTGGCTGATAGAAGTCCCTCGTAGTTGCGCATTCATGCGTCGGGCGGAAGTCATTTTCGTAAGCAGATTTTATCGAAGGAGCAGCACCACCTCCTTGTAGTCTGTCGGTATCGGAGGTATGTATGTAGTTTTCGTATTCATTTATGCTCGTGTTGCTACGTTTTGCGTTCTTTAGTATTCCATGGCGGAATTCTTCATACGTGCCGATATCTGGACTTCCCCTGCCGACGTCGGGGCTGAATCTCTCTCGTCTTAGATCTGGAGTAGACTCGACGGAACTTCTGGGGAAGCTACCAAAATATGGATCAGTCGAGCCTGGGGAAGAGATAGCACCGGGACTTTTCGTAGGCGGGCTTTTGGGACCAGGACCGGAGACTCTGCGAGCAAAAGGTTGTATGCTGACACGCCTGGCAGTCTGCGGGATGGCACCAGAAGCCGCTATGCCCAAGCCGCTATCCTTGCCAGATCGGAAGCTGTCTGCAATGTGCTCCTCTTCCTCTTCTTCTGGCACGATGCTCGGAGTGTTTCGGCCGACAGCGGTTATGTCGCTCTGGTACTTTGTAAAGCTGGCTCGCCCAGATGACGGGCTACTGACATGTGGAGAGTGCGAGTTGTTCGAGTAGCCAAGCGACGGCAATGCGGGGGGATTTCCTGAGTTCTCTGAGACGTCTGGTGATTCCGGGATGAGTGGTCGTCGATCAGCCATGCTGCCTGGTGCGAAAGGGGTATTTTTTTGCTGTTGCCTAAGTTTCAGCCTTCTCTACTTATTGCAAATCCAGGAATTGCATTGGTGAAATGTTGCGGATGGTCGCGTTGGGGCGGTTCTGTACAACCGTGGGGCTGCAGATGTGCGGCTCAGCAACAAGGCGGCAAGGAGGATACAGAACAAGACTTGGGGAAAAGGACAGGCACGGAAAGAACAATCAATGTTGCGAGACCGACAGAGGAGAGACCTGAAAACTAATGCTAGTCACTAATGCTAGTCGTATTACTGCGGCCTACTGTACACCACGGTCTTGGGCACGTTCAGCTGTCGCCGGGCGTCGCAAGCTATTCGGTTGTGGCGTAGGGAAAACGGCCCCCAACATTCATCCAGACCATTCTGATGTGCCTCGCATGATCAATATAACCTTCTTTCGCCGGTTGTGGAAGCGCAGATGCAAATCACTGCTTCTTGCGCTTTGTGAGAATATCTATATCCGCCTGGTGGTCAGGCAGGCTAGCAAATGTCTGTCCCTCCTTCCAGTTTGCAGCCCGCCAAGGAACAAAGCAAACAACTAGCATCACGCTGTTGAGATAGGCGGCATAGTGGTATGACGGTAGCCTTTTGCATGCCGACTTGGGGCTGACAGACCATCAGGTGCCGCAAAGTTGTATGGATGAGGGATGTGATGTTCGGCCCCCCGAACATCCCCCACAAACTGCCTACCGTAGTTTCTAATACAAGCCCAAGCGCTACGCGCAAGAGAGAACGCAGACAATGCACGGAGTTTACTGCCATCATATATTCAATGGCTAAAATTACAATATTCGAACCTACGTAGAGAGTTACGAGGCGCTCGATGTAAGCCTGGTCTAGAACGATCTTGTCTCGTGCCAATGCACTGGTGCGCCTACGTACTTAGCTGTCATACCAATCGGCCCCCCTATCCGATAGCCTTGACATGTTCGTCAACCAAACATTTCCAATCCTCACTTCCATAATAAATCGTGAACCCATCGTCATGCGTCAACCGCCCCTCGCTCACGATTGTGTCCCCTAACTGCCAAAATAGGTCCACAGCCATACCCTGGTCCTTCAAGCCCAAGCTTGTCTTCTGCCAGTTACCTTCAACAGGGCAATGGTCCGCCTTATTCTTGACACCGTATTCTTCAAACAGACAAGGCTTGTTGAGCCGCTGACAGATCCTGGCATGCGCTTCGATCCAACCATCACCAGCAGCATTGCCAACGAGAAAACTATCGGGGTAGAAGTGAAATGTGCCAAAGGAGATGTTGGGGAGGGCAAGGTTAGTCTCCCAATCTAAGCCTTGGAGGAATAGGTAAGGGAAGGAAATGCCGCCCGTGAGGCCAAAGCCTTCATCGCCAATGGCGATCATGTGGTCCGAGTCGAGCGAGCGGATGTAATCGCTCGTTTTGCGGACCCAATCTGTCAGCACTGACGTTGGACACAGGGTGCAGCGCGGCTCGTTGGCTAGTTCCCATGCAAACACGGCATTCGAGGTGCGGTAGCGAGATATGACGGCTTCGATGTAGGCTTGGTACATAGCCTGACATTTGGCCGACGTGTACCATTGCACATGCAAGATGACGCCGCAGGCGGAAAAGTACGCTGCAGGTTATACTTAGTAAAAGTATTATTTCAGGTTGTCGTGTCTTACCTGCCTTTCATGCCCCCATAGTCATCCCAGTTATTCACAAAGTTAATGATGAGCTTGATGCCGTGCTTTTCAGCCGAGTTGACTACAGCGTCAAGTCGTTGAAGTCCATCAGCGCCTGTATTGATGGTGGCCGAAGAACCAGAGAAGGACTGGAAGTATATGGTGCCTGCGCTAGGAATAGTTTCCACGTCGTTAAATCCCCATATACGCAGTATGCGCTGACCAGAATTTGCAAGGTGGCCCATGATACTGTCTACATCGCTGTCGTTGGTCAAGAAAGGCATCCAGTAAGCGTTGGTTCCGCTGAAGTCTTGCGTTTGTGAGCAATGCAAGGGTACATTGGGACCAATACAGACTCACACTTTGTCACCCCGTCAATATTGAACTTGAGCCCATCAACCTTCGATACCGTGGCCCGTGACGCGACATCAACTGCAGCACGCAGTGCTGCCACAATTGCAGCCAGTGCAAGAAATAATGCTATCTTCATTGCGCTGTAAGTTACCCGAGTGACACTGTTGAACAACGCATACCAACAAACTTTGCAACAGCAGACTATTATAAGATGGCATCCCAACCACCTCGAACATCAGGACCTGCTCAAAGCAGAGCGGTACCATATACTCCGCTCCTCATTACATCATTGATGATTGCACGTTCAAGAAACTCTACAGATGTGGGGTTGTACATTAGCCGAGGTCTGGAAGTTGTTATGATTGGTCGCTGAATGCAGATAGGGGTGTCTTCGCAATCACATGTTTAGTACCACCACATCGGGACAAATCACTCCGAGGTACGCCGGGTGTTAACGATGATGCTTTTGCGGCAGCAGAAAACGGGAAGCGAAATGAAGGCCATTTTGCGACGCTTGTAAAAGTTCAGGCAATAAAGGCGGAGGAATGCTGATGCGATGCTCCGGGGCTAAGGTTTATTGATATTTATCCCGAACAGAAATTCCGGGAACCCGGGTCAGTATGGTGCACTGAACAATGTGGATATTGAACAGTTTTAGGATCCAATGATTCGTGGCAGCATGGTCAAGTAGGTTCGATACTGAAAGTCAATCCGGGATTGAGATGATCAGTGTCAGAGGTGGTGCTGATCGGGCCTCATCTGTCTCCAAAAGAGATTACACCAATTTAATCTCAAGTCTATAGCAGCCCCTATACGCTCACTTCCTGACAGCCTTGATCGCCCTTGACGCCCTTGTAAGCTTCGGGGTATCACTTGTTACCACGCCAAAGTGCACATATGATGTTAGTGACGAATAACAGAAGTAAAGTTTTTAGATTGTCAATGAGGATATAGAGCAGCTGCTGAGTGGTCCAAAGGACGAGAACAATAACATCGGAAAATTGGAGCAACGTACGGCAAGGGAGTGCGATAATAAGAAACTGGGAACACAAGAGAAGCGAGAGACTCGGTGGAGAGAACAAGCAAGGTGTGGCGTTCATGTCAAGCACAACGTTGCGGGGGCGTATGTGTTCGCTTTCAACGTCCGCACAGACGTCGGGGAACGAACGCATCAATGCTGAACATTTCTTTTCATATGCCGACAAACAGCACTCAGAGGTCAGTCTTCAATGTAGCACCAACCATTGTTTTGATAGGGTAATGTGTAACTGGAGTGTTCCGACATGTCGTATCAATATACCAAAGTATGGGGATAGACCCACGGCGTGATCCTGCCATCTCCGCCTTGACTTTGTTGCGTAAGATGTTCAGGAAGCCGCGCACCCGCTCCCTTGCAAACATTTGTTGCTTTCTTACACAAAAAACTCCCCAAATCGTCTCGTGTGACATGAAGAAAAAGATTTTGAATATGCCATTCGTGGGATTGCTACGATCGACGCCGCTACTGTAGTTGCGTGCTGTCACAGTCAGGTCCAACAAATGTGACATGGCAAGGCCTATCTCCAAGGAGGAATGCCGCGTCATGCTAGCGTGGGGGTTTCCTTGAGCTGCAACAGTGTGGTGGAGTATAGCAAAGGCGTATGAGGGTCAGCACGTCAGATGTCGATAGTGTGAGCAGCCACGGGCGAGTCGACCTAACGAGGGCGGTGAAGGACTGATATATTTGCGTCGATCCAATTGTCGGACAAAGAGTCGTGGTTCAAGGTGGTTTGGGCAGGCACAGGGCGGGGGCTTGGCACAATCGGAGTGCACACCCAGACAGTCGCGTGTTCGATGATGCAGTTGGGCTCGATCTGTCGCAAATCGCGCGTGGCTTCCCAGGCCGTACAAGGTGTATCTTGCTTATGGGTTGCAGCGCTGACATTGTGTAGCGAGGCACACACCTACAGTAAGATGTGGGCTAGCGTCGTCGCGTGGCGTACGGGCTGTAGTGGGCTTTCAAGGCCGATGAGGGCGGGTCTGGTGTTGACTGTGTCAGTACCACACGAGGCGTGGCGCAAATGGTCTACTAGATAGTAACTAGTAGGGTGAAAAGCAGCCAAATACGCACGGCGTCAAGTGCCGTGCCTGCCAATGCCCCGCAGTGTCGCCTTTTCGGGGCCCGGAACGGGGGCTACAGACGCAGGGAGGTTGTACTAAATTAAGCCAGGAAATTGTTCGCCTGAGAGAGGGGTTTCAGACCTGAATCTTCCAGTACGGCCGAAGGCGAAGGTTTGTGAGACAAGAGGGCAAAACAAAAGGCCATGGTGTACGACGACGGGCGCCCCAAGGCCCTCTCCAGGGTGCTCCTGGGACGTGCTGCACGTTGAGGCTCGGGCCGGTAAGGGCCGGAATTGTGACGTGGGCTGTCAAGCCTGACCCCGGGTCCGCGCACACGGTTGATCGACCAGGTAGCGGCCGAACGCATACAGTATCGAATTTTCCGCGCTCGGCTGCGGCAGGGCACGCTCGCTGACAAGGATGCTGCACCTCCTGGATGACCTCCGTGTTGGGTAGCCAAAGACCGTGCGTGGCCGGCTGCTGGGACGGTATCATGGTGTGCTCCAAGGCCATGTTCGCCCTTTGTATCTGGTGCTACGCGCGTGTGTGTCCGAGTCGGCGTGCTGCTACTTGACCCTGAGGAGGAAGACAACCGCCCTCCCTCATGAGACGATTGAGCGTCGTGTTGCCGAATACTACCGAATGTCCGTGCTTGGGCTTTCGAGTAGGTGTACGGCATGAAATTCGACAAGAAGAAGCTGACCTGGTACTGTCCGCACGCTCACCACCAGGGCGATATGACACGAGAAGCACCATCTCGCATGACAAAGTAGAAAAACAACAGGCATGGGGAATTGCCCTTCTTACCTGAAGTGCTCCCTACCAATGATATTCCTTCCAACATGACGCACAAGCATTTCAGCCACCGCCGGTTCCGATTCTCCAAGGCCCGAGCCCTGCGAGCACTGTCACAGTTCCTCACCTCAGCCTCTCCGAAAACAAAATCCCGCCAAGACTAGGCGGAAGCGGGTAGACCGCGGTGCCCTAAATTCTCTTGCTCCTCTTGCTTTCAGTGATTCCAGATCCTGGCTTTCTTCAATTGTCGCTGTCACAGTTCGTCCGGTCACTATGAGCATTCGGATAAATGCGACGGTCCAAGAGGCCCGAACAGCTGCAAACCACAGCCAGGAACAATGGGACCGATTCTACGTAAGTGCCCTCTGTTCGCAAGGGTATGCGTGGCTAAGGTGATTAGTTTATAACCAAAGACGAGGCCAGACAACTGGCAGAAGCGCATCCAGACTGGAAGAGATGGATCCTCATCCCCGCCAACGAGAAAGAACAGATGCTCGAAAGAATCAATGCTCGTCTGCGAGCTGAAGGTATCCCGCCCGTCGAGATGATCATCCTGAAGTGGCGCGTGTCGCAGCTCCTGCGGGACATCCAGCGGAAATACGGTATGTGCAGACGTACCTTTTGCTGAGCAGCGTGGCCTGGTGGAATAGGCATGCGGACGCTCTACAAACGTACATTAGCTGATTTATCCGATTGCGCAGAAGCAGGCACCATGCTACAAGGAATGCCCGGTACGAGCTCAGGGTCAGGGTCGGGGTCGCCAATACAAGTTCAGACAACCCAGCCACCTTCGGATAGCAGCCTTCAGTCATCGAGCCCACAACGGTCGGAATATTCACCCAGCGAAATTCGCCCATACGACCCAATACGAGATGTGTAGACGCCTAAGAAACCCGGGGGGATTTTTGTGTTTTTAACAGCGCGCGCTCCAAGATCGAGAGAGGAACTCGCGACTAATAACGGTATTCGATCCTGATACCTGAGTGTACATGACATAGTGTGGTCAAAGAGACGGAGCAAGCATGCAACCTATCTTACGGCAGGAGAGACTGTCATAAGGCTTGCCGAGCTGTTCTTCGTGCTACCATAACAGAAGGCTTCGGGAAATCCAGCGGTCATAAATGTCAAGCCGAGAGAGGCCACTCATGCAGCTGCAGAGTTCGAAGCGGTGACACCGAGCGGGGCCGGCGTTATGTTGTGTATAAAAGCTTGGTACGTAGCCGAGGCAGTGCTTCGTATGTGCGCTTCCTAACCCAGCTCTTGCATATTTTCGATTTCTTTCGCTGTTATCATGTACCTAGGATTTCCTCAAACGTCTCAATTACCCGATGAAGGCTGCCTATTGGTGGATAGTACGCAGCGTGCATCTGTTGCTTGGCATGGTTGCTTTTCACTCCCGGTGCATTGTGCATTTGGTCCATTCTCGAAAGAGCCGGAAATACCTGTGGCTAGACGCTATGTCGCATATTCTCCGATGCCATTTCACACGTGTCTCTTAATCCAGTCTTCTCACTTCTCTCATAAACTAAGAGGGTGTTTCCAAGTCATAGAAAGCTTTCACACAATGTGTTGTATACTGAACTGCTCCGCGGATACGGGTTGCATACGATGCTAATAACTCAGCATGCTAGTTGTGTACGTGTGTGGGTCGCGACAGCATGGCAAGGTAAGCGTCGTTGGCCACACAGACGCGGTACGTGGACTCGGCGCGAGCTTATATGACGCAACATGGAGCTGGATACGGGGCGGCGTCATCGATGGGGAACTCGACCGGTCGGGAGTGTTTCGAGATTCCTGCTGTCTACTGAGCCATTCATGGTGTTGGGAGACGAAATTTCTCTCGGGAAACAGACAGCCAACGCTCGCTTGGCAAGGAGTAGGAGTGGATGAGTTGTTGCCACACGGGCATCAAGCCATGTTCGTGAGAGCACCCTGTGCATTTGCATCGTGGACGGCCATGCTAGGTGACTGTTGTCGTCCTGTGGGCGCAGAGAATTGGGCAGGAACCTCCGGACATGCGGTATACTGCCCTGTGTGCGTCCACGGGGACGGCGCCAAGGCTATGGGCCTTCAGGAAGCTCACTATGTCGAACGTCGATGCCGTAGAGGACGAGGGAATGACGACGAGCGTGAAGTTGCGAGCAGCTTGAGGACGGACGTGACTGCCTCCTCCAGAGTATGGTACCCTAGCAACTAGTACTCCCCTCATCCATGTCATAGCTTAAGGGCAGCCACAACCGCACCCTCTACCTAATCTTCCAACTCTTTGTACACAGCAACGTCCCCTGGCGTCTACTACTACTACTACTACTACGCGTCGCCCTACAGAACTGGTTGCGATATCTTTTCAGCATTCTCGTGTAGTGTGGCAGCACGCAGGGTAAGCCGCGCCACAGTTGCCGCCAGTGTATCCAATCTGCCGCACTGGGTCTATCAGCAGCCTCTTCCCTGTAGCTGTTCCACCTGCTCGACTTGTTGTCGCTTCGCTAAGAAGACAAGCCTCGAATTGGCCGCCGAAAATTCTCTCTCAAAGAGTGCATCCATTCGAAAAGTATCTTCAGCAGCGGCATAAAGACGACTCTACTGCTTACAAGGAGACTTTGCAGACAGCCGTTCCTTAGCATCATGCCGGAGAGCCGTGACGCTCTATAGTGATGCGCGGCTGGTGCAGAAAGTCCTGTTCCTTGACGTTCACTCTGGTGAGCTGTTCACGCACGAGGCCCCACAGGGAACGAGCACTAGCCGCTGGCGGACAGCTGCTCGTCGCGGATAACACAACAGCAACTGCCCGACTGCAGGAGCAATACGCGGCATAGTCTTGCGAGCATGTCCTGGACTGCGTGTCCGTTGCTTTGGAGCGAACGTCCGGACTCGTCAAGGCCCAAGGAGGCGTCGCTGCCCAGGAGGCGATGCTGACTGTCTTCACACAAGGCATTTGCGCACATTGGCAGTAAGTAAGGCTCGCCAACTCATCATTCACATCTTGTGGGCCTCCCCACAGAGGCACAGTCAATCGGCATGACAGACTCGCGCCGAACGCGCCCTTTACCTCCATGGTAACTTCGAGCCGGACCGTCCAGTAACCGAGCCACGAAGCGGACCTATGTTCGCCACACAAAAGCCATACACGATCGACGAGTATCCACTGTCCACGTCTTCCGATACCGCTACATGCCTCTTCGAACGGCGATACCCGTCCTGCATCGCAACCGCGCGAAGCTCCCCGGCCGCCCGGCTTCGACCCGCAATACGGTTGATATACATGTCCTAAATTCACGGTCTGTCGGTGCCCTTAACAGAGGGCTGTAGCCTGACTATCGAACATGAGCATGTGTCTGATTGCTGCCATCCGTCTGGAGCTCCAGGTGTCTCTTGACCCATAACCTGCTGGCGAATCTGAAAACGCACTCACCCGTGAGGCGCGACATTACACAACAGGGGTTGCGAGCTTTCACAACCATAATAGCTTTGTAGTTACTTGATAGCACATTAGGGCAAAGGGTAGTATGAATTGACGTCCGCTTGTCGTCTGCTTGCGGCACAGGAATGACGCATAGAAGCTACTGTCATTCCTTGTACATACCGGTCCATCGTACCAAAAATTCCTTTTACCATTTCTGACATTCAACAGGGCGTTTACGCGGCTCCTGACGTCTCCTTAGGCCTTGGTAGGGTCTCTGGCCCGACCTTTAGCGTGAATTATACTAAGCGGTGGTCACCATCGCTATGTATGCATGCTTCGCTTATTCCTACACTCACACAATAACATGTTATGACTTCAGCGATGTATCGATTGAAGCTTGGCACCAAACTACGTTCGTTGGGTTGAGAAGATTCGCATTCAAGCACTTGTATATGGGGAAAAGAAGGAATTGGACGCTGAAGAGCCTTCACAATATTGATTTGAGAATGCTCTAATCTTTTTTTTACATGTTGAATCATCCAGGTCCAAGTTTGAACATGGTTTCGGTGAGGGTGGACAAAGCGTCCTGGTATCTTTGATATCATTACCAGCCAATGTAGCCATCCTGAGACCCCAACGATTTCTCCCATGCCGATCATACATGTTTATCATAATTCGTGTCTCTCTTGAATCTCCCGTCAATACCGAATCAGCCCTGCATACCGAAACCAGGTTCAATTCCGGCCTGCTTCAGCGCCTTGGCTTTCCGTGAATCTACCTCCTTCTTCTCCGCTTTTTGTGATGCGGCCAAGGATCTGACTTGGTCTTCTTCTGCGAACTTTGCGCCCTTGGGGTACTCTTCGCGGTCGAGATCAACTGTGGCGCATATGGTGACATTCTCGCCTCGTATGGTCATGACGCCAGGGAGCTTGACATCGTTTATCAGCCAGCGTGGAATAGAGGGGTCAGACGAGGGTTGGGCGTCGGGGTTGCGGGCTGCTATTCGCTCGTAGCACTCTGTGAGGACAAGGTTGGCTAGAGCATGTCAGTGGAAATATATGATGCAGGTGGGGGGATGGCAAATACCAAATTGGTCGTATGAGCGCAGTATGCCGATGTACTCTTTCTCGTCGCGAAGTAATACATCAACCTTTTCTACACCATGTCAACTCATACTCCCCGAGCATACCAAGGGGGAGTCCATACTGTCCACCATATCCAAGAGCATTGCCGATGTCAGGAAGGCTTGCGGTGGGAGATCGACGGGTAGTATAGGCTGCGGTGCCATCCCTCTGGCTCCACCGAGCACATTGGGACCATGTTGTGGTGGTGGTGTGGCACTGTATACACCTTCATACCCTAAATGCAATGTCAGCATTGCGCCACGATGCATCCTACATGGTGGTTGACCCTACCCATAGACGGCGACGGGCCTCGGGGAGGTTCTTGGACCTGGGCTTGTAGTTGGCCGGGTGCTTGCATGGAGCGCTGGAGCATGGCATTGAAGTCCGGGGCCATATTCGGGGCACCTCCAGCCGTCGCGGGGCCTCTGGGCGGGTGTTGATTGAAGGCCATTGTGTGTGACTCGTCGATCTGGCGGGTGCGGACTGTGAAGTTTGTTTAGCGATTGCGAGAGGGCGCCGAGTAGAGAGCTATCATGGCGAGGCAACAGGGCGGCGCATGTAGATTTGGTGCCTTCACTTGGCTCTCACGGCGTTGAAGCAACCCGAAATCGCCAATCGCTCGCGTATGCCAAGACCGCGCTAGTCATGATCCTGCTATCTTGAGTCTGCCTGCCAGCTTCGAGTGAACTTGTACTTTTGAATTTGAAATCCGACAGTTCTACAAGTCTGCAATGATCCAACAAGAAAGACCTGTGACATGTCTGGGAACTTGAACTCAATTTGCGGCCGAATCCGTGCAGAACATATCGACGTACACAAGGTGGTGCGCAACCCAAAGCTTGAGCACATACGGGCAGCCTATATCCTCCACCACTACAAGACTGGAAGATATGCGTTCCAAGGGTAGCGCATGGGTATTCTACTGTTAGTACACTCCTGTCTTGCAATTGAAGGCTGGGTTGTGAGAGCGGACGAATCGGAGTCGAGTTACGCCGCAAGATAGGTACAACATTGAGCTCCACCCACGTTACCCATCGCCTTCGGTTTTGACACGGTATCTTCATTGGGGCTACTATGGCTGGTCTATTCAAGGTGTTCAAAAACAAGTGGATCACTCCGCCAAAGGAAGTCCACGAGGACTATAGTGGGAGAAACATCATCGTTACAGGAGCAACATCCGGCGTTGGCAAAGAAGCAGTCTTCAAATTTGCGAAACTGGGTGCTGCAAAAGTCATCATTGCGGCGCGAGATGTAAAGAAAGGAGAGCTGACCAAGGCTTCTGTTGAAGCCAGGCTGGGCCGGAAGGGTCAGCTGCAGGTGTGGGAGCTGGATATGATGTCCTACGACAGCGTTGAAGCATTCGCCAGGCGTGCGACCGATCTCGACCACATCGACATCGCTATTCTCAATGCTGGCGCTCGTCGAGCCCGATACAACCAGTCGGTACATGGCTGGGAAGAAGATTTACAGGTCAACACCCTGTCTACAACGCTGCTGGCCATTCTGCTTTTACCGAAGTTGAAACAGTCCAAACAACATACTGGTATCATTCCAGTGCTTGAGTTTGTCAACTCTGGTCTTCATCAAAATGCTATTGTCGCCCCAGAAGTCCGCCAAGAGCCTAATCTGCTCAATTACTTCAACCAGGAAGAGAAACACAAAGAGGGCAGCCAGTACAAGTTCTCCAAACTCTTCCTCATGTATGCAGCGAACAAGCTTGCTGAGGAGACATGGTCTGGCGACGTCATCATAACCAGCATATGTCCAGGAATGGTCAACAGCGACTTGGGACGGGATCATTTCTTCCCTGGCGTACATATTCTAGCCTTCTTTCTTATTTTCCTGTTTATGCGGTCGGTGTCGCAGGGGGCGAATATGGTATTGAGTGGAACGACACAGGGGGAGAGAGCGCACGGGAGGTTTTGGCAACACGACAGAATCCAACCCACTCCACCGAGTCTTGCAGGGCCGGACATGAGAGAGGTTGGCATGAGGATATGGCAGGAGATTATTGATGCGTTGGAGAAGGATGTTCCGGGTATCAGGACAGCGGTGGACATGGCATTGTCGAAGCCACGTACACCCACCACAGGTTCTGTGTGAGGTGGCACACAAATGTAAACTTGCTTATGGTCTGGGCAATACCCATCACACTATCTAAAAGTACTATTGCCATGGGTGCCCGTGGTGAATTGGCAGCAGTGACGCTGGGTGTGGCTGCGTGGCTCAGCACGCGACTGGTGCATGGAAGCTCCGTGCACTGATGGCGGATGACGTAGGCTAGGCTAGGCTTACCTACGCATCAGCCGTGGCTAGAACATCGGCCTCGTGTTTGCAGCCTTACACGCATTAACCTTGGATCAATTGAGACAGCTGCGGCCGCTTCGTCGGCTGGATGCCCAAATTGCCTTTTCGCCGCAAGCCGTCCGCCCACGGCCCTGGAGCGCTTCTCCGCTTCCTTTTTCCCCGGACGCGAGCACGCGCGCGCTTTCACATCGACAAACTTCGCCACGACACGCTCCCCTTGCTCAAGCACCGGGCCCAGTCACGTATATACACATATATCCTTCATCGACAGGCCCTTAAGCTAAAGGGAAAGCAAAGCATTGCCCAGCGCCTGCGGGGCTACACTCGGAAACTAGGTGGTACCAGTTACCTTGAAGATGCGGCAAGAGCACGGCGGCAGCAGATAGCCAAGCGTACGGGAAAGAAAGAATTGGACGAGACAGCCATGACATACCAAGAGAGCTATGAGACACGGGAGCCGGGGTCCCGCAGGAGGAAGCTGGCCGGCTATCTCAAGGCTGCGAACGAGATCCGTCAGACGTATACGTCGCAATACACATCCAACTGGAGCAGCAAGGAAGCACAGTATGACTGCGACGACGACACCCCGGGTGCCTTTCCCGACGCGGCAATCGTTAGGAGCGGCCGTGAGGAGATGATCTTGTTCCCCAGCTATGCCCGGAGACATGTCAAGAGGAAACCCGAAGCACAGCCGGGGACCGTACAGGACGTCGGAGGCCAAGGACGCGATTCGCGGGACTCGACCGGTGCAGGCGACGCCGAATTCTGGAAGCAACAGTGGAACAATTATGAGGATGACAATGCAGTTGTGGACGTCGACGTCCGTGGGTGGATATACTCGCCGCACAAGGGGCAGATGTCGAGGAAACAGAGGTTATTCATCGGTCTCGCACGCCAACTTGTCGGCGTACAAGCACCACCTTCATCTTTGAGCTCATCTGCCAATAGCAGCCGTAACACCAGCCCCCAACGTCATGGTATCCGCGAGCGAACCCACATGCGTGACGCCCAACACGACGAAGCCATCGCGGCTAGAGAAGCCGAAGAGATCCTACGCAAGGGCGAGAGGGAGGCGAGAGCGGCTGCACGTGGCGCCTACAGCGAGAGACCTGCGCAAGACAACGATGATACCCAACTATACCGAACAGAGAGCGGGAACAATATGCGGCCCAATAACGCCAGGGCCCATCAACTAGCTCACAGGACGTCGAAAGACTCCATGCAGAGCGATGATGACATCAAGCCACTTCAGAAGCGCGCATCCTGGAATCAACCGTCTGACATGAGTCCAGCGGAACTTGCAGAAGCCAACGCTCGGCTGATGGCTAGGTTGCGACACTTCCTGGCAATACCCATGGCCAATACACCCATCAGTGTCTTTCTCTATAACGAGGACATCTCGAAACAAAGGACCGTGTATACTGATGCCGCCGGTCACTTCAGCGTGAGCGTGGCTTTGGACTTTGTTCCCACCCATGTTCGCATTTTGGCATCAGACAAGCTCTCGGCAACAGAGGAAGTCATTATTACAGCATCACAAGGCATCAGCGTCATCAGTGATATCGACGACACAATAAAACACTCGGCCATTGGTAGCGGTGCCCGCGAAATCTTCCGCAACGTCTTCATTCGTGATCTCGTCGACCTCACCATTGACGGTGTCCGAGAATGGTACAACAGGATGGCGGAGATGGGTGTCAAGTTTCACTACGTCTCGAATTCACCCTGGCAGTTGTATCCAGTCATCTCCAAATACTTTTCGCTAGCTGGGTTGCCACTAGGCTCGTTTCATCTGAAGCAGTACAGTGGTATGCTTCAAGGCATCTTCGAGCCTGTTGCAGAGAGAAAAAAGGTCACTCTTGACAAGATTGCACGAGACTTCCCGGAGCGTAATTTCATCTTGATTGGAGATAGTGGAGAGGCCGATTTGGAGGTTTACACAGACTTTGTCCTCGAGAACCCTGGGCGAGTTGTTGCTGTTTTCATTCGCGACGTTACCACGCCAAAAAGTCCCAGCTTTTTCGATCCCTCGACCGGCTTTACACCAAACAAGCGCTTCTCAACGTCGTCTTCACCACAACGCACCGGAGGTGAAAACTCAAATCCGTCAAGTAAGGCCCGACCGCCGTCTGAAGAGACGGACCCTGAGCTCAAAGCTGCAATTGCGGCTTCGTTACGTGATATGAATTCGGATAACACTACGCGCTCGGATTCAATGTTTCCCCAATTCGACCGAGAGCAAAGACCAAGACTTTCGGAAAGGAAAATCTCCCCCAAAAGTGGTTCTCAGCATGGTTCTTCCAAACTCATAGATTTATCATCTGAAGACGAGTTCGATGAATCGCCTATGCTGAGGCGATTCAATACCGATACCCAGGCTGATAACGAGAGGCATCGTGCCTCGGTCGCATCCGCTGCCAGTACGAAGTCTGTTCCTCCACCTCCCAAAAAACCCGTCGCCTTACGGAGCCCGTCAAGCGACGCTACATCTCTCAATACGCTATCCTCTACCAAGCCGCAGCCACCTAAACCTCGAAAACCTTCAAATATTGTCAATCAACCAAGTCCGCTTGCACAACAAGAAAGCGCTCCAAGAAACCCAGGTTCATCTACATGGCCAAGGCCTCCCGTTGGTCCCAAACCAGCCATGAGCTACCAGAGTCAGGCACCAGAAGACCAACAGTCATACGCTGGCATGGCCCGCGATAAGCTGTGGTCTGTCTACAATAATATGCCTGCATTGAGGTCAACAGAGGAACCTAGCTTTAATGCATCTACCTTGGAAGTCTCGGGCGTCCGAAAAGCCCCACCTCCGCCCCCACCCCGCCGTGGAAACCGCGACACGGCTGCGAGTGCAGCTTCCTACATGGGGTCCAAAGCATCATCAGCATGGCAGCACGCACCCTCAATGCCCTATACCAGCCGTCCACAGATTGCTTCTGCGCAAACATCACAGCCATTCTCTACTGCAACACCGCGCCAAGGCATCAATCGTAGCAGTACAGGCAGCACATTGGGCGGTTCTACAAATGAGCCCACCGGAACCAAGAAGGAACAACTTTGGCGTCAGAGATGGGCGCATGCCGAACGTGTTCTTCAGGAGCAAGGTGTGGTGTTGCGGTCGTGGAGGGTTGGAGAAGATATCATGGACGAGGCAGAACACATCATCAAGGAGGCGGAGAAGAAGTTCAAGAAGGATGAGCAGCAGAGCAATGACCGGAGAAGAAGTGAGAATGTCAGCAATGACGTGAAGAGGAGCGGGAATGAATGGACTATTAGACGGGTGAGCGATTAGAGCTGAGTGGCGCGAAGTTTGCTATAGCACAGTTATTCTTATATATTAGCGGGTGTTCTGATGGTATCATGCACACGTCCGAACTTCTGTTTGTATGTTATGTCCACATAGCCACATAATCTTCTCATAGATGGATTTGATGAGTGTTGTATGTGGTGCAACAGCCAAGATTAGAGTTCCCTTCGCCAAGCCGCTGCTCAATCACTCGTCAGGGAACAGGGGATGAGAAAGAGGGGGGTGCTGTTGAGGTAACGCAGCGCACGTTCCATAGTTAGCCCGCCCTCGTGCCGCGCCGTCCGTCCTTGGGGAGAACCCCCAAGTCAGAAGCAGGAGTCGTGATGTCATTCCACAAAACAAAGTCTCAGATTACGACGCGCTAGGTACCTTAGCTAAAGACGCGACCGCGATACCGCGACGTGTTATTTCTTCCAAACGCATCTTCTCGACATTGCAACATTGCTAGCATTTGGAAGAGACCAATTATCAAGATCACAAACAATCATCTAGCAGACGTAACGCGAAACCAAATATGTACGTTACTTTTCGCTTTTCGCACGCGACTTGCTCAATGGCAAAGATTATCAGGATAATCGCTGACTTTTGGACTTGTACAGGCCATCAAGCAAAGGCAAACCTACGGATCCCAAGCTCAGGGAGAAAGTCAAGGAAGAGGTGAAGAACGAGACGAACAAGGACGGTGGTGGAAAGGGACAATGGAGTGCTTGGAAGGTATGTGATCAATTTCAAGCACCTACAGACATGTGTTCTAGACGCGTAGGAGTTGACAAAACTCAACAGGCGAGCAAATTATCCAAAGAGTACGAGAAGAAGGGTGGCGGGTATGAAAATGAGGCTGGAAGTAAGAATGAACCCAAGAAGGGAGCGCCGAAGAAGAAGGCCGAGGGAAAGAAGAAGGCTGAGGAGAAGGAGGTAGAAGAGGGAAAGGCTGGGGAGAAAGAAGAAGACAAGAATGAGGCGAAGGACGATAAAAATAATGAGGACAAGGTAGACGCGAAGGAGCTTCAAACTGCGGATGCGAATAAAAAGGACGAAGCAAAGGAGGAGAAAGCAGATGCAAAGGAATCTTCGACCAAGGAAAAGCCGAAGAAAGATACAGCAAAGAAAGAGGCGCCAAAGAAGAAAGGACAGGGGAAGAAGACTGCGAAGGATGACAAAGAGGAAAGTAACGCAGACACTAAGGAGGCATCTGCCAAAGCGGACAAGATCGATGCTGAAGACGAGAAAGACAACAAAGAGGACGTTTCTAATGAAAAGGAGGAGGAGAAGGAGGAAGCGCCGCCGAGTGCGCAGAAACCGAAAGCCGATGCTGCGACGAAGAAAAGCGAGTCTAAAGCCGGTGCAAAGAGTAAAGCAAAGAAGGGCGAGACAAAGGCAAAGGAGAGGGCCGAGGGAACGAGGAAATCGTCAAGGGTTGCTGGAAAGAGAAAGACGTATGACGATGATGAAGATGACGACGAGGAAGACAAGCCGGCGAAGAAGACGAAGAAGACCAAGGCATGAGGGTGAAGAAAGTGTTACACGTTATTGTTCAACTGTTTTGGTCTAATTGGGTGATTTTGGAGTGCAACATGTTTGGAATTGATATGGAGCTGGAGCTGGAGCTCGTTCACTAGGTGTATTCTCACATTCTCACATAGTAGGTATACAAGGACGAAAGGGAGGTTTGTAGTTTAGTGTCTGGGTTTGTAGCTTTTCGCAGTAATTCTTTCCACGCTTTCCTCTTTTGCACCAAGGCTATCCATTCATCCCTGCTTTACTTGGAAGAAAGTTGCCAGGCCGAGAAAACAATGCGTACCGATGAGCTTGCCGTGAAGATCATCTCGCATTACGCCCTGGCTTTGTTGGTTGTTGGTTGTTCAGGATGACTGCAGATGATACACCGATGGTTGTGCTTAGTGCGAGATTGTCGGATTTTCCGAGAAGCTCATGGCCCCAGGGTGCCTGCATACTATACCTAGGTACTGTGGGGCAAGCGTATACCAATCCTGTAGTTGGTGTCTTAGGTCAGCTTCGTTTGCAGATATATTGGACCAGTCATCATACCAGAGCTCAAAGCCGGCGGCGCTTACAGCACCCTGTTGCAGCTGCTGCCCTATGGTCAAGTGCGCGTATCGGACGATATCCTGTTCCTGGAATCCGGCTTTGGACGCCACCTTGGCGCCGTGAGGTGTAGCGGATACTCCCTGGATGTTGTTAGCCGACCAGCGCTCTTCTCCGACATCAGTTGTGCGTGCGTACCAGAACGGCGTTATCCAAGTCTGCCAGCTGAGTGCAGAAGCTTACAAGTCTCCGCGCATGACCACGTCGCCAGTAAGCCGGAGCGACTGCCAAAGTACTGAGGCGCATATTGCCGTCGAGGTGCCTATGGTTTGTTGTCAATATGTCATTGGGAAAACGTGTCGGGCTGATATACTTGAGTTTTGCTGGACGCGTGACTTCATTGTAGATGGCGACAGCTTCAGCACTCTGGTCTCTTCGCAAGTCATTAACACCATGTTGATTAGCAGCAGGGCTGGTAAGTGTGGGTCTTTGTTGTAAGTGGTCAATATAGGAAGAATTAGGCTTGAGTTGGATACTGCATACGCCGACGATACCCTGGTCCGAAGGCTGGGAACTGAAGGCCCCCCGCAGCGCTTCGTAGACGTGCTTGGCCTCGTCTGCAACGAGGGTATCCTCTGCTACAAGAACTAGGCACAGCGGATCTCTGATAGCTGCTTCGTATTGCATAAAGTAAGAAGCTATGGTATCGGATGGAAATTTTTGATGAAAGGGACGTTGAAATTGGAAAGTTGGCGAAAAAAAGAAAGCGGCGGCGGCAACAGTCGAGATACGATGCAGATCGTCTGGGGTAGCTACGCGCACGCCGTGAACAGACGGGAGAGAAGCCATGAGAATTGAATGGAAATGGGACAGTGCGGCATCAGAGATGGAAATACATGTTGAAATGAAAGACGCATTCGCGTCTCTTATAAAGCCTGCGCATATGGCAAGAAAACATGCATACTCCTGGGAAGGTGGGAAAGAAAGAAGTCTCTTTTCAACAGCATAAGCTGGCAATGTCATAGGCAGTGCAGCGCATAAAGCTAACTGATATAAAGAAGATGATTGGCATTTTGCAGAGGTGTTTTGGTGGCAGCGATTGGGTGGGATAGAGATCCGGTGGCTAAGGCTTTGGTTTGCCATGTAGTGGGCCATTATCGGCCTGTTTTGAGAAGCTGATACATGGCGATTGCGAATCAAGTCGCCACCACGATATGGACGAGTTTGGAGTTGAGGATAGAAGAGAGTCGGGCGAAAAGAAAGGACGGTTGGGAGCGGAGAGTAAAATAAAACGAAAGTGGTGCGTCCGGTGCAGCGGCGAGTATGAGCAGGTTTGCGGGGAGATGCTGCCCTAACGGAAACTAAAACATGCATGGCACCGACAGGCTGAAGCAGAGTGGTTCTCGGCCAGGCCTTGGTGCCTCCTCGAGCCTTCTCTTCCCACTGATAGTGATAGCAGAAAAACGAGCGATCTACCGTTAGGCTTCGCTTTATGGCCCTGGCCGCCCTCGCACCCTGCTCCACGGAATCCCACTCAGCAACCATAGGCGAATGAGCGACTTGTCGTCTCGCGACCGCCCGTTTGAAGTCGTACGCAGTCAGCCGCAGCCCTCCATGTCTACCACGAGTTCGCAGTACAGGAATCCGGCCCAAACTCCCTCGCACTACCAGGACTTCCCCACCAGCAACCACGACAGTTTGTATGGGCTGGCGACGTGGCAGCAAGATGCGACTCACACCCACGACTCGTACGCAGTCGGCCCATCGACGGCGCCATTTCTCCACTACCCCCAACCCGGAGTCGACTCCGCTAGTCTACACGCTCCGTCGACGACGACGTGGACGAGTGGCTATGCCAGACAGGCAGGACCTCACGAGTGGCAGCAACAGGGCCAAAACTACACGTCGCGCCCTCAAGTCCCCTATTGCGATGCCGAAGAGGGGACGACGGCGCATGTGCCACACCAACTGCCCGCGGCCTCGCGCCACTACCAGCACCAGCACGCGCACCAGCACGCGCACCAGCACCACCAGCAACAGCACGCGCATCAACACCCGCATCCGCACCCGCGCCCGCAGCTCCACCACTATGAGGAGCACGAGCACCTACACCAGCACCAGCACCAGCACCAGCACCAGCACCATCAGCCCGCCCTCCTCCACCCAGCCCATGCACAGCCCTTAGGCTCAGAGGACTAGCATGCCTTTCGCAGTACAGACCGCTTCCACCAATTGCGCATGTCGCCGGTAAGTGCACACTACCAATGCTGTGCGAGACACTACATGTCAAGTTCGCCGACTGAAGTTTCCCAGGACTCCCCCGCCAACTCTGTAGACCCACCATACCCGAATCATGCTCAGAAGCTGCCTCCAGTCTCACAGCTGCCGCATTCCCAAGCCCAGACGGTATTGCTGCACGTCAACCCTGGTCCACCACAGCCGCCTTTGCACCATGCCGTCGCCTGGGACCCCCACCACCAGCCAGTCGCAAGACAACACAGCACCTCTCAAGCCCCTTGGTCCATGGTCGAGCCCGTTGAAACTCCAAATGCTGCCTCTGCCGTTTACCCTCCGCCCCAGGACATGGGCCAAGACTGGGCCGTCGTTGCCCGCGGCCCACCCGAACATGAACTCTATGTCCAACACCAGGTCCCGGCCGAGCATATGGACCGAACAACGGCCCAGCTCCTGGCCCAATCCCGGCCCCAGACTAAGAAGAAAGCAGCAAAGGTCCCGTCCTCGTTTGTCGAAAGGCAGGAGAAGCTGAAGGTATCCAAGCGAAAAGGCCCCCTGCAGGAGAGGCAGAGGGAGAAGACGCACACCATGCGCAAGACGAAGCGAATATGCGTCCGTTGCAGGTTTTACAAATCCGGCGTGAGTTTTCTATTCGTCGGCTCGACTGACTACTGATTGTACGCTGGCTGACCCAGGCAGTGTGATGAAGGAGACCCATGCGAGAAGTGCGAGAAGATCACCGGGCATGCCCGCTCCTTCCGCGAGCCATGTTTCCGAGAACACCTCGAAGACACTAGTCTCATCCGTCGCTGTATGTTCTCTTCACTACATGCTCTCTACCGTCGGCACTACGCTAACAATCACAACAGGCAATGGCCGTGAGCATCAGGAAGAGGCTGAATTCCTTGCCTACGACTGGATACAAAACAGCCAGCTCTACGAAATGGAAATCATTTGGAACCTCCCCGGCTACGGCCCCATACCAAATGCGCAACCCCTGCGTATTGCTTTTCGTCCCTACAGTCCCAAACGGGGCTCGCTCGATGTGGCGACGTCTGTTTGGTCAAACAGAGACGGTCAGGTTCCGTCGGTGGAGCAACCGGCATATGCCATCTATGATACTGCTAACCTCGTACTCGCCTTTGAACGCTACTTCTCCAGCCTTCAGCCTGCAATCGAGGAGTGGATCTTTGCTCGTATTCGCCAGGATGAGGTCGCTTATCATACCTACCAAGAGGTAGTGCGTATGCGTAGGGTAACTGGAAGTAGGGCTCTCGACCTCGCCATGCGGCTCCAATGCCTCTCGGTCGTATCCCAGGGTTATGGCTCCGTCTTCTCAAACAACATCCCTGGCATACGCGAATACGACTATCGAAGGCTGGGTCGTAGCGATTACGAGGCATACGATCGCAAGTCGTGCGATCGGCCCCTTCCCGGCGCTATAAACCACCAAATGGACGTCGCCGCTGTCAAGTACCTGAGAAAACTGGAAAAGCTCTTTGTCAAGGAATTGGCCGCCCTCATTTTCAAGCCCAAGATCAAGCCGTGGTACGAGCTGTTCTTGGCTTTCTACGTCATCTTCTGGAACCTCGAGTACATCCACCATGGCGCCCAAGATTACATCAAGTCCAAGAATGGTACCGTAAGTCCACACCGTTTTCCCTCCCACGTCGGGCGTGCTTTTTGCTGACACCGCCCCACTATAGTTGATTGAAAATCAGGTCAGCAATGTTGTCACAACGCAGATCAAAAAGTGGGAGTTTGCCTTCCCCGTCCTTCTCTATCACTGGCGCTGTATCCTCAGGGGTTATTCGCCCTTTAAGCTAGCGCGTGACAACCCCGACGAGTTGCGCGAGCGCGGCCACATTGACACTGAGGGGTTCCAATATGTCACGAGAATTGCCACATTGTTTGACCGAAATAATCCCGGTAAGTCGTCATCATCCGCCCGCTACTGCAAGTCATGGTGTTAATTAGTGTAGATCGCTTCCAGCCGCCGCTTACTGGGTTCGTCGCAACTCACTGGTCCACTTCAAGCGAATGGATCGTAAAGCTCTTCAAGGAAGCTGGAGCGTGAGGCGCACATTGAGTCACGATTCAAGTCACGCTCTAATTCGCTTTGAGTCATGTTGTTCCACTTGTGTTCTGATACCCAGCCATGACGAGAGTCATGGGCTAAACTCGTTCTCCACGGTTCTGGCGTTTGATGTGGACTGTTTGATAGGCAAAAATTGTGATTACTACTAGAGTATGTTCCCTTTTTTTTCGTCGCTCCAGTCTCACGAGGGAGAGAAGAGAGAGATGCTGAAACACGAATTTATGGGTACAGAAACGCCAGCCAGTCCTTCATCACATGCTTCAGCCGCACAAACCCCTCACTGAAAGCTACTTGTCAGTCTGCCAAGGTCCTTCTTACTATTCCCGTAGAGCGCTAATGCAGTCTTTCCTCTATCTCGCTCCCTAAACAGATTTTGTGCAGGTTTGGCTGTAAAACAAAACACAAAGAAGGCGTCTAGCCGTGGCTCTCGCGACCGCTAATGGTGCGCCATGGGTCCAGGTCAACGACAGGAATGTGCTGGCGCCTACCGGGCGTGAACGGGTCGTCGAAGTTGTTGCGGCAGCTAGCCGGTTTCTCCCAAGCATTTGTGGAGTCGCGCAGGAACATGCGCAACAGATGGCGGGTGCTAGCCTCGCCATGGATACCGCGGTACTCGGCGCGGGCGTGCATCATGTTCAAGTTGTGGAGAAACTGAATGTCGCCCTGCTGACGGTCGACCTTTGTGCAGAAGCGCTTGGCTAGCTCTTCAACTGCATGCATTGCGTGCAGCTGCTTAGCCGTCACCTTGGGCATGTCGGCATTGCGCGGGATGGTATCGGTACCAAGTAGTGGCGCTTTGACTAGCTGGCATATCGGCCTACCCTTGGAGAAGAAGAGCGTAGGTCCCAGCTCCAGGTAAGGCGTCCCGCCCCTAGAGCCATATTAGCACAAGACTCTAGCACCCGTATCAAACTTTGTGGTCAAATCTTAGTTTGCTACTCACTTCTGCTTCAGCTCAAATGGCCAGTCTGGTTCTGCCATGGTCTCCAGCACCTCTGGATCCTTTTCGAGGAGCTCATTGTAGATTTTGGAGAAGCTGACCACATACTGCTCTCCGCCCGCCCCGGGTCCGCCGTCATTGCGGACATAGAGAGCAATTACATCGCCAGAGAAGCGGTCACTGTGAAAGTCCATGGCCGCTGTAATCTTAGAGCCGGCAAGGCCAATGCCTTTGCATTCTTCGGGAACAGGCTTCTTGGTCGCGTCGCAGACATGGGTCAACGTCTGATTGGCATACGAATCTGTTGCTCGGTCTGGGCAAATGTACGAGCATACACCAGCAAAAGCGATGACGGCCTCTTCATCGTTGAGGTAAGCAGCATCTAGGCCTCGTAGGACGACGACACCTTTGCCATGGTGAAGCTCTGTGCTAATATTGAAGAGCTTGTTTGCCAGTTTTGCATTGCCGATGCGGAATGTGCTGGCATTGATATCTTCCCTTGCAAGTCCAGTGACTAAAGTGGCAAGTTAGTATTTTCTTTCGTCCTTGGATGATTATGATACGATCAAGGTGGCTGGCTACCTACGCTTAAACTTGATGATGGCTGCTCTAATATCCAGAACTTCTCGGTCATCGAGTTCAATCACGTACTCGGCTGGGTTGAGCTCGTCTCCTTGCCATACACTGGGGCCCACTACCGCCGGGGCAAGCTTATCCGGTGCACTGAAAATGCTGGAAGAGTTGCTCTGCAGACTCTCCATGGAGCTTCTCGAACTGAGTGTCGGGGCTGACATATTTGATGATTTTGCAGGATTTATGCTGGCTGTTGTTGATGTTTTTCTTGTGTTGTCGAGGTTTGGAATGCTCGGGTTTAAATAAGCTACTGTTTAGTTTGGGGTTGGTGGCCTTTTGTAGTTGTAAAAAGATGTTGGTGATTGTATTGTCTAGGAGTAAGCCTGCGGATGGGCGCTCTTATACCTCATGCTTATTCCATAGCCGACTCATTCAAAGGTGTGAGTCGAGCGGTCGCTGGCCGTTGTCGTCACAGCGTGTGAAATTTAGAGCTGACCGACCCGCACTTGTCAACGCAACACTTACATTAGATTGAGCCGCCAAAATAATGGAATCAGCGCCAACAGCCATTTCCACTAACCTCGTGCGGCAGGGAAGGGCCTATGTGTATCCGCCCGCCGTTAACTCGTGACCTGGCGCCCTCCCCGCTAATGCCTGTCAGTCAGCCGCGGCAAAGACCAAGCCATGACAGATTTCCTCCCTACAATTCGGGTCCAGAAGGAAAACTAGGCGCTGCGGAACGCATCGAAGCTTCGCCACACGGGCGGATTTGGCTCCCCCGTGCTCCACCACCAACCTGGTCACCCGTATTCCAGTCACCGCAGCTTGTCCAAGGCAAACGCCATGTGCTTCCAAGCCCTTTGACACTTTTTTTTCTTCTGTTCTGTTTTATTTTGGCATTGTTCATTTTTACTTTTACTTTGACTGCACATGTAGATCTTACCTTGGTAGTCACTCCGCCTGTGGATTCTTAGTGTGACTGTAATGCAACGACGTCGGCACAGACATGTGCGCAAGGCATGGAAGGTTCGATCTGTGCATGCGAAGCCTTCACGAGCACAAACCGATCATCACACCTGGCGCTGCTCATCGGCATCAGCCCTACGCCCGCCGTGTTTGCCGCCGATGGATTTCTCCAGGCAGTTACAATTTGCCCGAAAGCTGCGTCTGCACGTCGATGAATACAGAAATTCTCTTAGCTTCAGTTCTTGGGACTAGAATCTCATATTCCTTGACGACTTGGGAGAGGTCAGCGTGTGACCAGGGGGGTCAAGGGGGGGAAAGGCCGTCAGGACCGATCTGAGACCTATTCCGCGACTTGCAGACAGGTGGTTACAGGGGGAAGAGTCTACACCATCATCTACACTAGGCAATTTTTCTTATGTTGGAAGTGGCCTGTTAATGGGCCGCCCTGAATACCGGCCATAACACATGCTGTGGCTTACCGGATGTTCACTGCAACAAGGCGACGTGATAGTGTGCGTCTGGCCACCATGGTCGGCATGGACAACTGTGGTCCGAGCCAAGAATCCTCCTGCGAGAAACGTCGGATCCGGACTCTGCAACCACGTTCAGCTGCACAAGCTATCAAGGGTCTACTTCTACTCGCTACACTCTCTATTGGAGGACCGGGCAAACATGGACTCCCGAATTTCCAACTTACAAGTATCATTACCATGTTATTGGCTGCACTACTGTGTATACCAGCCTACCCCCCCTCCCATGCCAACACGTACCAGTATCGGATCGACTAGGGGGTCGCAGTAGTCCAAATTCGCGTGTAAAAGCGTCAATCGCCTCATCAACCGACGGCGATCACGGGTACGGGTAGCACTAGAGGTTGCTGCATCGTGCTCGTGCATCAAAATTTAGCTCACCGCCAGATGGCATTCACTTTCCCCCAATGGAGACTGACATGTTCACTACCGGCCCGCTCGCTCTCTCGCTCTCTCGCTCGTCACAAGCCTATGTTCGAGAGCTAAGGCACTTGCAGAAGGGCACACTCCACTATGCAGGGCTAAGGCGGCAACCTCGCCGTAGCCTCATGACATGCCTTAGTGAAGTCAACTTGACTGCATCTCGGCTCAACACTGTGCGTATGATCAGCTGGACCCCTATAAAAGCCGTTGTAAGGGTGTGGCGGGTATGCAGCTATGTACGGTGCGCGGCCCATGATGAGTTGGGATATGGCACAAGAGATACTCGATGGTCTGTAGCGCCTGTCTCGCCTCTAAGCAATCATGTCCCTCTTACTAACCCAGCCTTGGGGCGTCTGGTCTATCACATTCCTCGCATAAACGGTAATTTCCTGCTATCTCTTGGCTATGACAGTTCATGGAGCGTGATTGACGAAGACTTTGTCGTCGTACAGTTATACGGCCCGTATTTACACGAAGACATTTTCGGGGCGGATCAGTGACCAAATCGGGTTGCGGATACGTAGCCGTGTGGTAGGTCCTCGCGAGTGGCTTACGTGCCGGACAGGGTAGAGAGAGCATTTCATTACAGCCTTGTTCCCGATTCAGACCGGCTCTGGTTGGAGCAACTCAACCATTCTCATCGCGTGGCATGATGCGTGCATGAACATGTCCGTGTGTGTTGGTCAGAAAAGCTGCTCGCAGTATCATCTCAGCTGAGTGTGTGTTCGAAGTCATATGTAGCCGAACATGCCTAAGCACTCCTACAAAGTGGTCCCGAACATGTGTATACATGGGTTAGATTAGTCCGAATCCCGGGTGCGACACTGTAGACTGCGATGCTGCGGCACAAGCTTGGGGAAAGTTTCGCACCCCTTTCTTCACTAGTCTGTAGTCGGCGATGTGTAGGGCAATTCAGCGCTTAGGATGTGACGCATACGCCGGGCAAGATCGCCCAGTGATCATGGCTCATCTCGTCAATCCTGCCATGGTTGGGGTGGATCATACAGTCAAAACCATTCTGGGTTTGCGCATTACCCTCTTACGCTGTTATCATGACAAGTCGAACACTGTATAATGAATCGTGGGCAAGATTGTTCAGAAGTGTTGGAAGGTTTCTGGTGGAGGAATTTTTTGACTGTAGGCTGCGATGTCCGGGATAAGTGGCGTGCGGTCTACCAGGGCCCGAATCTTGGGGCGGAAACGTCACATGCACTGTGTGTTGGATCCATCTTCTTCCCATTCTGCCAGCACTGATAGCTTGAGGATGGATACTTGTGGGTTTCTGTATACCTGGACATGGTATCAGGACTGCTGCAAGATGTTATTGCTAGTTATCGCAGCGACGGCAGGTGTGTCCGAGTCGAACGGAGGCAGCTCCGCCGGCTTACAGTACATTGGACGTCTGAAACTGTCCCTCGTCGGCCTGCTCGGCGATACTACACGGACGAAGGCGCAGATAGCGAGTGTGGCGACAGGAGGTTCCAACAAGGAAGTGTCGGTCTCGAAAGATAGCAACCAGCAACGTTGGTTCGCACAACGCCACAGCGCGGCGTGATCGGTGAGCGGGCCCTTGAGCAAGACATGAGGCCGGGCAGGGATGACGCAAAGCTCCTTTGGGATTCGTTGTTGCACGGCGCCCTCTGCGAAAAACCCCATCGTCGATCAGATGAATGAGGAGTAGTTAGGTAAGAGGTTGGATTTCCTTACAGTCGTAGCGAGGGCGTCTAGTCCGAATTGGCCGTAGCCGGAAGCCGGCATCCAATTGGCAATTTGAGGATTTCAGGTGGCGACTCCACATATGCACGTCACATACATTGCAGGGTTAGCCCGGCGTGTACCCATAATTATCAGGGGAACTGTCTCAAAGCTTCGTTGCGGGAACATATCAAAAGAGCAAGGCGCCAACGCCAGCTCTCCTGGTTGTGACACTCTTCGCGTTGCTCGCGCCAAGATTTCAGTACCGCTGCGCCGGGATGATACTGAAGTAGTCCAGGGCGATACCTTTCTTGGCTTCAGCATGACTTGTTGTCAGCTTCCGGTCAGTGTCTTCACGAGGTCTTGTGAATGGAAAAAGAGTCGGTGACCAGCAAACTCACATGCTTGGCATCACAATTATCACTCCAACTGTGACAATATAGCCTGACGGTACGCCCCGAAACGATGCACTATGCAGGTGCTGAACAGACGCTAGGCTACTACGAACCGGGGCACGACCATTATACTTTCTTCATCGTGCATGTCACAGTACCTGAATCCTGGGTTTCTCGGTATTTCTCCAGTCTATCCTCGGCACCTTGCCCGTCTCGAGACGTCAGATTGTGGCGGTGTGTGGATCGACCGAGCACTAGGAAACCTTGGGTGGGACATGCGAAAGTCTAGACCGCTGTGAAAAGCCCCCAAAAGGAACCCTCACCTTCAAAAAGTACTAAAAGAGCGCAACGTGTGCTAGAGCCTACATGTACAGCGAGTATCATCCTAGTTGGCATTGCCTGGCCCTGGACATACAATTGTCGGCGAGAATTACTAACAGGGACTCTGTTGATATCTTACGTGTGACAGCCAAATAGCGAGTAAGTGAGCCCGCTGCCCGGGTAGCGAAACCGACGTCATGTATCCACATGTCCAATGTGACTGCCTCGTTGAATACCGTCTTCTCAACAAATCGCAAATTGCTTCGGCCTTATGGACAACTGGCGGAAGTTGTCTTTGCGAGCAAATTAAACGACGGTCGCATCTGACGTCATTTAATAAATACTCATCATAAGCCCACCGAGGTTAACTCCGTGTACAACCCAATGGCTCGTAGTAGATTTGCGAAGCAGATGTTATGGGTCAAGTATCCAATATACCGAAATGTCTGTATTACACCAAAGTCGCTATCCAAGACCAATTGTACATAGTAGAGCTAAACATAGCCTTACAATGCCGCCATCAGGTCTTGCCATCCTAATCGGCGCTGGCCCCGCAACTGTGAGCCCGCAACCCCTAAATCTCACCACGCACAAGCCCTCTGACATCGCATGTGTAGGAAACAGGTATCGCGCGTGTTCTCTCCTCGCCTACCCAGGGCAACTTTGCCGTCGCCCTCCTGTCCCGCCGCCCCGAGAACCTCCAAGCCGTCATCTCCAAAGTTCGCTCCGCTTCCCCAAACGCCGTGCTCGAGGCCTTTCCAGCCAATACTTCCAAATCTTCTCTAGAAAAAGCTTTGCGGATATCAAGGCCCACGATAGCTTCAAGGGTCTCAAATTGAAGCTAGCCATATACAGTATCAAGCATTCGAGCAAGAAGTCTTTCTTAGAGGAGACAAGGGTGGATTTTGAGAAGAGTCTGGAGACGTACGTTGGCGGTGCATTTACATTTGCGCAGGAGAGTTTGAAGAGATTCTTTGAGGATCATGGGGAGCAGGGATTGGTAGATGGAGCGGGAAAGAAAGGCGTGAGTGAAGACTGTGATACTGTCTTCATGGGATCAGAGTCTAACCATGATCTAGACGCTCATTTTTACGGGTACCCTTGGCGCTCTCCGATGCAGTGCGCAATTCGCCGCCTATGGTGCTAGTCGCGCATCTGTCCGTCAACTAGCGCAAACTTTGGCTCGCGAGATGAGCGAAAAAGGTGTATATGTCGCCCATACAATTGCTAACGGTGCGATTGTTGACCAAGATGGGGAAGATCAGAAGCTGGGCAAGAAGATGAGTGCTGATGCTGTTGGCGAAACATATCTTTGGCTGCATCAGCAGAAGCCTTGCTTGTGGACACATGAGTTGGATATGAGGCCTGCTTGTGAGAAGTTCTAGTTGTCTTCATGGTCTCAGGTATGACCAATGGCTGCATTGTCTGAGTGCATAAAGCCTTCGTCTCGATACACTCGGAAGAGGTGGCATTTTCACGGCACGCTCCGTCTTAGTATAGCTATATAAAACAACAAAGACATACTAGAACCCCAAAAGATTGGAGACCAAGAACGAAAAGAAGTGGAAAAAACGGAGGTCGACACCTGAGAACACTCGATATCTAATGAACCTAAGTGGTACAATTTATCGCATGAGAGCATAGACTGTTACAGCCACAGTCGGCGAAAGCCTAGACTGTCATAGCTACAGTGAACGGTGAGAAGAGCCGAAGACGAAGAGAACTGTAGTATAGATTGTCTAACGCGAAAAACCATGAGAATGAGTGTATCAACATAAAGCAAAGAAAAGTCCACAAAAAGACAAAACTCCAAGAGATCACCCCACTGTCCATACGCTAGGGGTCAACGCCAGCTTTCTAGCCGATACCCGTATGCTTATCTTGCCGGTGGTTGCGCCCAATGGCTCAGCATCTGGCCAAGAGCCCAGTTCCATTCTGCAGCAAAAGCATTTGTGAGCTGGGTGATCTGCTCAGCAGAAGGAGTATGGCCCGCCCACATTGTCGGTTGCGAAGCTTGATATCGTGCATAGTAAGGGATGAGTTGGCTATGTCCATTAGAAAAGCTCTTGTGCTAAACATGTGGCAGCAACCTACTCGGTCTGTATCTTGCTCAGAACCAGCCAACACAAGTTCCATGAGCGATTGCTCGCGGGATCAGAGTAAACACGTCTCTTTGCTTCATCTAGGCAATCTGAACTATAGCGCAATGACGATCAGATGGTTGATGCTTTTAGAAAAGACCCTTCCAGTAGCTTACCTGAACGGATAGTTTCGGGTCAGTCCGCGAAGCTCAGTTAGCAGACCATGTGAGTCGACGTAGTAAGACCCTGCGCATCGTCAGTTGATCGGGTTCGTATTAGTCGGTTCATCGGTAGAAACTACATACAAGACGACGTCATCGGTTCGCTGCAGTCTGGCGTACCGAGAACAGCGAATGCCTTTTCAATACGGCGGAGTTCTCCTATGGTGTTGACTTGATGGGTTCTCAACGCGTGAATATATTGGGTCTTCTCGACCTGTTAATTATCAGACATTACTGGACTTGATATCATGAAACCGGGAAATGCGTTCATGGGTTAAGGTGCAGTTTAGTACGTACAGAAGTGATCTTTCCGGAAGAAGACATGCTTGGAAATTGGGGCGCACGGTGTTTGCGTGCTGGTGGATAGTGATAATCGTAACTTTCTGTGTTAATCGATGTATTCCTGTCCGTTGGAATGCACAATCGGGTCGTTGGAGAGCTCAGATAAGCAGATTTCTGTTCGCTGCAGGTTATACTGAGTGAAGAAGAATAGAAGAATGACTGTTGGTCACGATATGATAAGATTGCTTTGCTGTGATATGCTACCATTACTGAGTGGGAGGCTATTTAGAAGTTATATAGACAGTCATTTGTAAACCACTATTCTAAAAAGGGTGAAACCTGGAACTGTACAACTCCTGTATACGGCGAAGGTATACTGAACTCTAGCTCAATCCTGTTGGAGATGGAAACATACGCAGTCAAAGACCAGTGAACCGTCAGCATTCCCGAAGCCACACTGTCATGAATCCATTTTGGAGTGTTATATGTCGGTGCTCAGACAGAATCCAGCTGGGTGATGTCAAATGTGGAGAGTGAAGTAAGAACTTTAGCCCTGTATAGACAGACATCATCAGCCACCTTGTTCAAACAGCCCTTGTGGATCGGAAAAGAATCCCATGACTATTTTAGTTACTGTTTGATAGGATAGCTAGCGCATAGAAACGGATATTTCGTATGTCGAATAGAAGTGCTTTGGTCAGATTATGGGATATAGACAAGGGCCATCTGACTCGATCTTAGGTCCAGCGGCCCGGTCGATCTAGTTTCGAGCTCCAGCATGAGAATTACCTCGAACCGTTAGTCGTAGAGATTCCGAGAGGGCGGGACAGTTGCTCATTTGCCAGGTTTCCGATGTGCCCCAAGCATGCGTGAGCAAGAGTGGGTCACTTGATCTTACACGACATCATCGCTGTTACAAATCAAAAACCAAGTGCCTGTATAGAATTAATAGCATAGTGCACGTTTACACAGCCGTGAATTGCGTTGTGGATCGAAGACCTGAGGCGATAGTAAGTGCAATCCCAACGGAAAGAGCGAAACACTTCCGGAACGTTGACTTCCCGTAGTATATATGGAATTGAAAATGCTGGGAGTAGGAAACTAAGCACAAGAAGTGGATTTGAGGCTTAGCCCGAGGCTGATGTTGAACGCTGATGTTGAACGCTGATGTTGAACGCTGATGTTAGAGAGTGGAGCAGATCGGGATAGCCGTGGTGTGGCTTCTCTAGCGTGTGGCTCAGCGACTTCGACCTTGACTTCACCACTGAACTGCAACAGACTGTGGTAGAATATGACCATATCGGGGAACACAACTCGAATAAACCTTGTTATCTCATGGGAAGCTGTGTAAAAAATATGGTGGTAGGTAAACTAGTAAGTTCCGGTCCACGGTGGGTAATGTACCTTACACCTCACAAACATCGTCGATTAGGTGTATCAGCCACAGACATCATTTCAATGAGATCCTGCCGGTCAGGTACATGTCTCAACTGGGAATGTTGCATGTAACATCATTGGTCTGCAGCTGCCAAATGCCATGAGGCTGAAAATGGGCTCGTCAGCAGTCCCACGTAAGAAAAGAGCCTCATTAGTCGTAAGCTTTGTACCCACGACCCGGCGATGCAATTCCGAATTTTTGCCTGAAGTGTATCGATTGGAAACAAAAACACTAAGCTTTAGACGATCTTCCGCAAGAAAGTATGCTTATTGGATCCTATCTCATCGGGTGTTGTCGGAAAGTAGTCACCAGTGCGTGATGTTTGGCAAAAATGCCGTTCAGTGAGGATCGGAAGTGGAGCAAAGATGACGATGTGAAGCCCCGTGTTCGTTTTAGGCGCGTTATTGTTAAGGTCCAGGACGTCATGCTCGCTATCGGAATAAGTGTTGTGGAGTTCATCGGCCCCCAAAACAAGTATCGGGGATCTGGATCCTGCTCAGCTGGCATGTCGCTCACTCACACTTTTTGCTGCTTGATAATAGCCTCTATTTATCTTACATTACATACCACATTGTGAGTATTTGAGGACTTTGGCCCAATCCAGCACCTGAGCGCTTACTTTAATTCGAAAGGGTTAGCGCATCGAGAGAGGATTCGGCAATACACAAGGACGGCCACAGCGATTTGAGTCGTGAAGATTCATGTTGGTAGATTCTTTTACATGAGCAGGCAGGTAGTCTTTCGACTCCGCAATGCCTTGGAAGTCATCATCCACCTTTTACACTCGGGCACCTGGACCGAAACAGCCTATATGCTCAGGGCCATGATGGAGTTTACGATATCGTTGTCGTTCTCCTTGAGAGCTTTGACAGCCTTCTTCCGCGAGACGCTGGCCTGCTGCATGACGAGCTCGATGTCTTTGGCCTCAAGACCAGAGTCGTCAACCTCCTCACCGTCATCCTCTTCCTCCTCGTCCTCCTTCTTGTCCTCGACAGCTTTGGCCTTGCCCTTGGTGGACTCGTCGCCGTGGTCGTGACCGGCGTGGTCACCGTGGGTTGCGGCCTCTGCTTGGGCGAGCTGCTGGGCGGCGGAGGCCTGGGCCTGGGAGTTCAAGTCCTCGATCTTGGCCTCACCGAAGATGCTGGTGCGGGGTCAGCAAGTGCCATGTGTCGCAATAGAGGGGCAGTCAACTCACATCCAGGTGTTGCTGGAAGGGGACTTGTATACGTCGGGCTGGCTGATGACGAAGAGGATCTAGCATCTGTGTTAGTCTAAATTTCTACAGGGTTGCTCCTGCCCCTCCCGCCTCTGCGTGTGTTTGTTGACTGCGGCGGGCCTCGACCAATTGCTCCAGGTGCACTCACGTTCTTGGGTCGGCGAAGAGTAACGCGGGTGATGCCGTCAATGTGCTTCAATCCGAGCTTGGCAATGGCCTTGCGAGCCTTCTTTTCGTTGCGCGAGTGGACAGCGACAGAGGTGCCGGCGGGGGCGTTGACCTCGCCCTCGTCGGCCTCAGACTCGTCGCTCGACTCATCCTCCTCAATCTGGACGTTCTTCTTCTCGGGCTCGTCGGGCAGCTCTTCAATGCGGGGGTTGGCCATTTTGTCGGGTTGTGGTGGTCGCAGGTGTGTGTGGTGCTGCAATTATCACAGTAGGGCGGAATTGGTGTCGGAGCTTCCAAAAATGATTTGTGGGCGGTTTAGCGCGGGCTGCTCTGCTCGCTGCTCACAACTCCCAATGACGAATTACCTAGGTACGACAAAGGACCATGGACTTGCAATATCATGTCACCGTTCACAGATTTGGTCATTTCAAAGGGGTATCAAATTGGCAGTTCTAGTTGCAGTCTTCGTGTTGTCATGAATTTGTGGATTGGACCCTCTTGCTACATGAAGAAAGCATGCGAGAGCCGAGTAAACCTTCCCATACCGAATTGCACCGTGCCAAACATTGGACTTATTCACCCGAAACCAGGTCTTGAATTTTTGAATGCCTTTGAGGTCGCCTTCGGAATGCTCATGAAAATGCACGTCATGCTTCTTCATCTCCTGCATGCAACCTCCTCCACAACGCCTGTCTCCCGACAGCATCTAGACTACCTATGCCTTTGCGCTGGCGCGGATCTTGGCGAAGGTCTTCTGAACCTCGAAACGAGCCTGTACACCTTGTTAGCCATCATGTCCGGGTGTAGCCTCTTGTCTACCGTGCATCATCGACATACCTGCTTCCTCATCTTCATGACCTTGAATCGCTCAAAGTCGTTGAGTCCTCGCCTCTTCTGAATAGCCGCACGCTTCTTCGCCCATGAGCTCTCGTCGAACTTCTGCTGGACCTTGTGCTCTTCCCACTTCTTCGCGACGTGGCCGACACCGCTGGCGCGGGGAAGCTTGGGGATGACGATAGGTGTGAGAGAGAGTTTCGCAAGCGCAATTTCCTGGCGAGGGACGGGGGCCTTCTCGGAAGGACCATCGAGGAGAACCTAAGTCTCTGTGAGCTGCTGAACAGCAACCAAATCGCGGGATATGCATACACGCTTGTGGTCAATGATCTCGACAATGACAGCCAGCCGACCCTCAAATGGGCCCTCGTTGAAGAGGACTACACGGCCGACCTCGACCAGCCTCCAGGCACTCGTTGTAATATCGGCGTCACCCATTTCGTCGGTATGTGCTGCGATTAAACGTTAGATCGAGAGAAGCGTGCACGATTGCTGCGACAAGAGCGTACCGGTCGGAAATAGGAGTCGGTGTTGATGTTCTGGTCGGGAGTAAGTAATATCGATGTTGCAGTTGCCGCGAAATTCAAGTGCGCAGCCGGGGCCGTGCACAAGCGAGGCGGCTTGGCGCTGGCCCATAAAGTTTTCGCGACCGCACGACTTCCATCATTACCCTCGCAGACTGCTACCAACACCCCCAGTTCTCCCTTGGACACCCGCCTTTACTTCTCATTTGCATCGCATCTTTGGATGCAGCTATTACATTCGCTATGTAATCAGTATCCTTGCTCGCGATGCGCAACTGCTCGCCATATTCGTAGACTAACAGCTACGGCTCAACAGCCATGCCTCCTGGTACGTTTTCTTCTGAAAAACCTCTCCTTTGCTAGGATGACATAATTTGCGATTGAGCTCGTCGTCGGAGACCCTCGCCGGGGTCTCTTAACGGCGTCGAGTTTATGATATTCAATTCTTACATATTCTGAGCTTGCTTCACACACCGACCTGTTTGACTTTTCACTGGGGTTGCGACACAAGCTAACTCCCAACAGACACTCCAGAGACACACCTTGAACCTTCCATCAGCTCACCCACTTCGATGAGCATCCTTTTGTGATGCGCATTATGTTGCGAAAGCATGTGACAAGCTGGTACATACTGGACAGTGTGGGCAAGTACCCAATAGACGTGTCTGGCGACTACAGTGGCTTTTTTACACTAGTATGTCCAGTATTTCATGACACCCGGGTGTTAGCAAACAGCTACACACCGGATCCACCAAGGTCAGTCTACTCTTTAGTCCACCCTTCCCCCTTCCAATGATTACAACATGCAATAGATAGTATATGATTTCCATGATTACTATTTTATCACCAAGATCACTGAGGAAGATCCAACACGCACCTGCTTTACTCAATTTTGTCTTTGTACAAGTCGCTAACATGCTTGCAGGTTCACGAGTGGTACATGTACACATTTCCATGAAATCACTCTGATGTTTTGGCTTGTCACCGAAACCTGGTCTTTGGCAGATTTGGCTTTGGATATCCATGAGGCAGCGAGCACGGCAGAAAATTGTACATTAACTAAGCGCAGATTCTATACTCCACGGGCAAACTATGTAGAAAAGAGAATCCTGATCAATCATCATCCGCATCATCTCCTGCAACCCTCTGTCCGTTCGTTGCTACCCTTCTACGTGTGATCTTTCTACCATAGTTTCGGTAAAGATTCATCAAGAGCTCCCTGACGACATCACTGAAAGCTGTTCTTGCATCGAACTTGCTTCCACCGTATGGGAAAGAAACAATCTTGGACCAGTCAGCATTGTCGTCGAAGTAGAACTCCAGATCGAAGGCCTCTGCGCGCTTCAACATGTCTTTGAGCGTCTCTCCCTTGTGGCCGTTGAGGTCGGCCCATGCCCACAGCGCAGGGTCGTAGAAGTCTAGCGTGCTAGTTGCCTCTCCAGCAAGAATTTGCGCATTGAATAGGAGGTGTCGAAGAATGTTAATATTGCAGCCGCAGTGAATGACAGCATGACGTAGAGTTTCGGTGGTGATGGCCTTTGTGATGCCCAACAATACTGCCAAGGCTGCAACCGCATGCTCATTCTCCTCCACAATCGCTTGTTGCATACCCGTCTTCGCCACCTCGCCCGCCATGCTACCCTCCCAGTCAATCTCCCCGTTGAAGCTCACCAAGACATATAGTAGCGATGCTTTATCTTTTGTCCACGGTCCGTGTAGCAGTTTCTCCGGGATATAGAAGCCTGGTGCGAAAGCCAGGTACGGGATTTTGGTAAACTTGAACGGCCATAGTCCGTCGAAATGTGACACGCCTGGGATAGAGACTCCAGTAGCTTCCCACGCTTTTCCGCGCAACTTGATCATTGCATCGTGCGCGCGCTGCACATATGCCAAGAAGAAATCGTAGGTGAAGAAACGACAGGATAGGATGTCAGATTGGAGAGAGGCGTCGCTGGTGACTAGGCGATCGCGGTAGTTTGTCCGGTGATCCACGGTGTGAAAGAAGGCCTGCATGGTAAAGTCCATTGTTACTGTTCGGGCGGACAACTTCCTGCCTAAAGCATGGGAGCATCGCGGCAGCGCCATGTTCATGCTGTACAAGAAGATGATTTCAAGCAACTCCTGAGGAAGGCTGCCTAATGCTGGTATTGCTGACATGACGGGTTTTGTGCGTTTGCTTTTGGATTTTGACTTTGCTTTCCGCTGTCGCTTTGGCTCAGGTGTTGAACTTGAAGAAATTTCTACCGGTCGTGGTGACGTTTTGGTCCTCGCGGCAGCAAGCTGTAGTACTGGGTGTAGGTGTTTCCGTTTCTTGCCGCGTACGAAGATGGGAGTGAGCTTCATTGGACTTTAAGTGGTAGTCATCAGCAGGCAGCAGCAATACGCGTCTGCATGCTGCCTGCCTGAAAGTAGAAGTAGAGTGGGTGGATTGGTCCGGGTCAGCGTCACCTAGTCGGAGGTGGTGTGGTGCGCCACACAGAGCGCATGGGCCGGTGTGGCTTTGCCGCGGCGTTGGCCCCGGGATGCTGGTCTAGTTTCGCTGTTTCCGCTCACCTTCTGTCGCATAAACAAAAGTGGACGCCAAAGCACTCACACGACGCGCCATTTCCACGATTCTGAGCGTGAAGACGCAAACATAGGCCAATCGAGTGCCACGTAGAGATGCAGGTCCACGCTGTGCCAGACTCTGAGCGCGCGTTCGATTCAACAGGGAAGAAGCTGCCGTGGGGGTACGAATCTGCCGAGTAAGTCACTTTTCACTGCTCTCGGTTCTCTGAGAACTTTCTCTGGAATCTATACATGGGAAGGCTGCACTGCAGAACTCAGTTGGCCTTGTTTTCCCCCCTGCAACACTATGGAGCATTTCAACTGGAGTCATCTCCTACCGCAGCGCGCACAACTAACAAGTGACCCGGATAGCTCAGATCAAAACCAGCGGCGCATCCCGGAAGAGAAGGGCCCATTCGGTAAAGCGAGAAAACGCGGAACGTCAAGAGCAAAGACGCCGTTAGGCGCCAACAGTGCAGCAGACGAAGCAAAGTTAATCAATGAACGCACAATTGACGACATCTTTACCCGCATCAAGAAAGACGAGGATAACAAACGATCGGTATCTTCGCGCCAGATTGCCACAATCCCGTCATCAGCTTCCGCACCGAACCTCATAGACGTAAGCAATGGGCTCAACAACTCGTTCGCACCAGGCGCATCCACAAACGCAACTTTCGCATCCGAGCCCAAGGAAGTTATACTGTACGGCTATGCGTCTGACGTACAATGGGCGGCAATAGCGTACTATGAGAAGGTGTCGGGCGGATTCATCTACGAGGAATACGACCGTGAGCCACACAACTCCAAATACGGCAAAGGCTTCACTTCACAACGCGTCTCGTGCTGGTCCCTGAACAAGTCAACACTAAGAAAGGTCAACGAGTACGTGGGTGGAGATCACTGGATCAAGGTCACGTTTGACAGTGCAGAGGCGGCGGAGCGCGCATGCCATTACACTGGGAAGAATATCCAAGGCTACAAGGTGCATGCAGAGATGTACAGGGGAACAGGACCACAAGGCGGTGACCGAGTGATACGTGCAGAAGGAGGAGGAATGTCGCAGACCACATCACCCAACACCTTGTCCTCAGGCACCGCAGGACCGCGCGGCGTCTTCGGAACCTCCACCACGGCCTCGTCAGCTACAGTTACGGCTTCTCAACCAACACGAACTGTCACCGAAACACCAGCATTCTTACGTACGACCGGCGCCTTCCCAAGCCATGTCGACGATATGCCTGTCCAGCCCCAACGCGAACAACACCAAGCCCTTGATCCCAACACGGTTCCCGCACGTATGACGACGACAGCGCTAAATCCCCGGTCCCAACGCGCGACGCTCCGTCTCAAAGGTGCAAATGTGAAGCCCGTTGTCTTCCTCCCACAAGAAAAAGCTTTCCTACCTGCAAAGCCTCTTTGGCAACAGACGTTTGGCTCGTTGCCCATCATCGGCTGGGTAATTGGGTCCGGACAGGGTATCATTGGTGATCATGTACCGAGGAAAGATGACGGAAGCTTTGATGCGAATAGTGCAAGTCTGTATTGGCGAGTATGGTACATGGTGGACAACTGCTTTGGAAGCGACTTTTGTGGAGTCCGGGATGCAGAGTATGATGAGTAATTGTTCACGCTTGGGGACACGGAAGCAGGGGAAGGATGTAAGATGGGGCGTGATGGACGAGCATTGGGCGGCGTTTAATCTGTATCATAACCATGTGGCTGAAGCATGTTTTGGAAAGTGGGTCTTCTGAATCCATGTTTGAGGGAATATGGCCGATTACCTTTCTACAGTACATTCATTCTCTAGACATTTTTTGTTGGCGCTGTGATTTTTCAAGTAGATTAGTCAGACATAATATTCCAACCCGGTCACCTGGATATCGTGAGTGACAATGGTTCACGTAGATAATGTGGAAGATGACAAAGAAAAGGGTCAAGTTTGATGTCTAGGATGCATTTCCACTCTCCGGAGCTATTCACAAATACGTAGGTAATACAGCCCAGATTGGGTACATTTTGGCCACATGGAAAGAAGATGCTTAGAGGACGGATAGATCGCCAAACTTCTCCTATGGGGGTGTTAGTCACCACTGTTCCTGCGCTCATGTCGTTCAAGTCACTTGCCTTGTAGCCGGGAACGGCCCAGCGACCCTTGGATACGAGTTGCTCGGTGCGCTTGTCAATCTCAGGCTGGGCAGCAGCGACTTCGTCAACGGTGAGGTCGTCAAATGGCCTGGCGTCCTCGATGTTCTTCAGTGTCTTCTGGAGGTCGCTCAATTCCTTGTCGACAACAGACTTGGTCTGCTCTGCGCTCTGGACGGCCTGAGCCTCGAAAGCCTCAATGGCCTTGATCTGCCTTCCTACATCGTATGTCTGGGGCTTGAAAGCGTTGAACTGCTTCTCGATGTCGTCGACGACTGCCTGGTTCTTGAGGATGCTGCGGTAGTGGCTGAAATCAACAGTCTGGGGCTGCTCCGAGAGGACGGTGACTTTGCGGCGCGCATCGTCATTGCGCTTCTTGAACGACTGGAGGGCGGCGGCGGTTTGACCCTTGAGGCCAAGCTGAGTGGCCAGCTTGGTCCAGTCGAGCTTGAGGGCTGCGCTGCGCTGTAGGAGGGCACTTGTTAGTTTTCAATATCCTCATTTCGGGGGTGCCATTGCGGGTGGGGGGCCGCTGCGAGCGCGGCAATTGGGCTGTCCAGCGCTTCGACAGGGCAATTGAGAGGGCTCTGACGTACTCCGACGGCCATTGTGATGGATTTAGACGGGGATGCGGTGGTTTCGGTATCGGAGGGTCAATGTCCAAGTTCTTCGCGAGAGCTCGGAACTGCCCGCCAAGGATATTGGCGCTCGGACCACGGGCTCACCTCGACCATTCCATCGTGCACCAAGTCCCAACTTGACCTGTCTCCTATACATAGCCCACCCTGCCGTATACATCCTACTCCAAACCTGCAATCACCCACTCCTCGCAATCATGTGGATTATTGACTGGTAAGTACTCCTGCCATGATTCTAGTCGAAGTCTCACTGACCCTTCCTCCGCCAGGTGTAAGTTACTACCCTGACTCTCAAACGCCATAACAACGAATGCGCCCCGGGATTTTGCGGATACATGGCTTGTTTGCAGTCGAGGAGACTATGCTGATGTAGATCAATAGTTTGGGATGTTCTGTCCTCGCTTGGACTCATGAACAAGGTAGGCTGCATCACCATACAAACATCATCGACCAAAGACTAATCTAACACCAACAGCATGCCAAACTGCTCTTCCTCGGACTGTATGCATCTTCCCCTCCAAGATTGTCAAAGTACACATAGCTAACTAGGCTCCAGTGACAATGCCGGAAAGACCACGTATGACAATCAGCACCCGCCACGCGAGCTACAACTAATGCATACAGGCTACTGCACATGCTCAAGAACGACAGAGTTGCCGTTCTGTAAGCACTATGCTGTTCTCTTCTCTAGACTTCCGCTGACCGCTCCTCCAGCCAGCCAACCCTGCACCCAACTTCTGAGGAGCTCTCGATAGGAAACGTCAAGTTCACAACCTTTGATCTCGGAGGCCACGCACAAGCCCGCCGACTATGGCGCGACTACTGTACGCCAAATCCACTTTCCCTCAGTATCCCTACTCCAAATTGACTTTGTTGCAGTCCCCGAAGTTTCCGGCATCGTCTTCCTCGTTGACGCCAAAGACCACGAGCGTCTCTCCGAATCCAAAGCCGAACTCGATGCGCTCCTAGCCATGGAGGAGCTCAAGAACACTCCCTTCGTCATTCTTGGTAACAAGATTGACCACCCAGATGCCATCTCCGAGGACCAGCTCCGCTCCGCTCTCGGCCTATATCAGACAACTGGCAAGGGCAAGGTGCCGCTTGAGGGAATTCGACCAGTCGAGGTCTTCATGTGCAGTGTGGTCATGAGGCAGGGATATGGAGAGGGTATTAGGTGGTTGAGCCAGTACGTCTAGGCGTCATACCATGACAACTACGATGTTGCAGCGAGGAGGGTGAGCGAGGCGTGGTATCTTCGACTGGTTAAGCTGGCACGCAAGCATGATTGTCACACGTGTCTTCAATGTACTCACACGGGCGTTGGCGTTAGCACTTGAAATAATATTACCTCACACATGCCAATACATACACATACTACTGGCACTAGGCTGAAGTGAACCCTGATAGTAAGCGGAACACAAATCCTGTCCTCTAATCAAAGAGCATGCGCATTTCAAATACCAATGTAGTTCGGGGACACGACTGTGCTTACTTGAAGATTCAACTTTTCTCAACGTTGTGGAGTTAATATACTAACAACATGTCGAGCGAATGGTGCTTCGGATATCAGCAACTGCCCGCCACGTAACCGCCCACTCTTGCATGAGCTAAGAAAGTAACAAAGAGAGTTCGCATCCACGCACTGCCACAACTAATTGTGAAGCTATTGTGTAGCCTAGCCAGCCCGCTAGGAGTCCTACGCGGCGTTTCCGCTTTCCGGTAGCTTGGCGGCTGGGTTGGCTAATCGATGACGGTTGGTTGAAAGCTAAACACAGTCAATCAGTCAGCTAAGAGTAAGCTAGAATGCCTTTGATATGTTTCTCCGTCTGCTTGGGATGTGAGATGCTTGCTAGGTTGATGATATGCAGGGCAGAGGTTTGGGCTGGGTTGGGGTTACAAGTGTACATGATAGTCCAGAAAGATGGGAGAGCATAGCAGAAGGATCATGATAAGACTGATGGGATTGTGGATATATGCAGTCTTCTTATCTTCACACGAAGAATCTCGCATGCGCAGGAATGACATTCACACATGAATATCGATAAATCGTGCATTCTCCATCTCTACACCCCAATTGCCGTATGTGCAGGAATCAATTGACCTCAGAACAGCTCATCGGTACAGTATTCCTTCTTAAGCTCGCTTCCCTATCAAGTTTGACATATGCGCGACACTGCATACGCACCTGCATGCGGGGAACAAACCGGACAAAGTACAAGATCGTCGGTGTATTCAGCATCACTTGTCACACAATAAAGGATGTAAGATCAGCATGTGAAGGCAGGGAAATGCGGTGTCGGCTGACATGTTTTTATGCGGGGTGTTGCTGCAGTAGCTTAGATGCATGCGATCGGGATCGTTTGTTGTGTACCCTGAGTGGAAGAAGAAAAAAAGTAAGGGCTCGTGGAGAAGAAGCTGGAATTTTGGGCAAGTATTTGGGAGGAGTAAGGAAAAAGCTGTGCAGAAAAGTCGAAACGACCAATGAAGTCAAGCTGGTGTATATTTTCATTTTCCATTAAATTGTCTTCGCACTGGAGATGCGGAACTAACTACTTATGAGAACTAGCTAGTGGAGTAAAAGCCGAAGCCTATTTACCCAAAGAAACCAAACACCATGCCGCCGCCTATGCACTAGGTATCTACATGGTAGTGTATGTCGTATATGCGTTTCAGTCGTTAAGGAACGTTGAAAGGAAAACATGTTATCCTCCATTAGGTGCTAACCATCATTACTTGGTCGTCAAAGCAAACCATGTATCCAAGGTGATATATGCGCTGGAGAAAGAAAGTGTGTGCTCTTACAAGAGGGCAAAGAGAGCGAAGAAACCAGCGGCGAGAGCACCGAAGCTGGCAGCGCCAGTGGCGGCGGCACCAGTGTACTCGGGCATCGACGGCATGGTAGCGTTGCCGGTGAGGTTGCCAGCAGGCGCAGAAGCTTGGGGTTGACCGTCAGAGATCTGGGTGACCAGAGGCGCGGAGGCCTGAGGTTGACCATCAGAAATCTGGGTGACAACAGGAGCGGAGGCTTGGGGCTGGCCGTCGGAGATTTGGGTGACGACGGGAGCAGAAGCCTGAGGCTGGCCGTCGGAGATCTGGGTAACAACAGGCTTAGAAGCTTGGGGCTGGCCATCAGAGATCTGGGTAACAACAGGCTTGGTGGCCTGCGGTTGACCATCAGAAATCTGAGAGACGGCTGGGCCGGCGGAGGTAGCCTGAGGTTGGCCGTCAGAGATCTGAGAGACTCCGCTAGAGCTGGCGCCGGCCATGGTAGCTTGGATGTGGATCGGTATGCACTGAGCACCGGTCGACTGGCTGTACAGGTTGTAGAAGTCACCAGACAGACACTGGTAGAAGACGGTGGAGCCCATAAGGGACATGGAGCCGTTGCTGCAGAGACCAAAGCCCTCAGTCTCCTTGGCATTCGCCTGGACAGGAGAGTCAAACTGGAATCTATTAAGGTGTTAACATCCACTCGCTAAACGATTCGATGTAGTGATAACTTACTGGTAGTTGCCAGCGATGTAACCAGTGCGGCCAGCCTGGTCGGTCAACTTGCCGTCCTTGAGTGAGATCTTGAGTGTGCCATCAAGCTGACGCCTCTCCAAGCTACGCTTGGTAGCAGTTTTGGTGGCATTGACAGTAGTGATGGCGAAGGTACTGGGCGCAGAAGAGGCGCACTGAGACCCGGAGGAGGCCTGTGGGATGGCAGTAACAGCGGCAGCAAGGCCGAGGACGACGAAGGACTTCATTTTAAGAAGCTTGGTCGAGGTGATCCGGACGGTATTAATGTATAGAGCGTACTTGACAGCGAGAGTGAAGTAACGACGCGGAGTAGACTGATGAACGAGGTATCAGCCACTTGATATATGATCGAAGAGTGTTGACGATGCGAGTAACCACGACAACGAAAGTGTGAGATAATGATGGCAGAATTGACGGGAGAATGAGACAGCTATATACCAACGCCCTGAGTCCTATGTCTAGTTCGTTCAAGCTACCTCATCGAGCACTGACACTGCAGATCGGACATGGAGAAAAGCCTCAACGCTCGAGCCAAGCCCATGGATCTACTCCGCGTGTTAAAGCAGCTCTACAACCGTTTAGCGTTGACGCTTCTGACTGCAGGAAAAGATGGCTGGAGAGTGCTCACTCGTGCCGCAACATGAACGCGGCCGAGCCATGCGGCTTGTAATTGGGCAACCGGTTCATCCGACCCCTCCTTTAGTTCCCCACATGCTTGGGAATTCGCGTGAACAAAGACCTTCCCGCCTCTTGTCTAAAATTGTCTCGTTCCCAGCCCTCTGTTCCGCACGCAGCTGTTGCAATTGCGTAAACAGTGGGAAAGTAGTGTCTCCAACCTCTTCAATTGGTATCCTAGTCGCCGTCATCATAGCCATCATTAGCCTCGATGGATGCTTTCTAATGGCAAATGCGGCATGTTGAGCTCTTTCCGCTGCATGCAACATCCAAGACAGAGTTGCTGAACCGAAACTCGGTATCAGCGGGAAGAGAAGATCGCTCCCGGCTTATCCTAGCGTCTCACTTGGGGCAATATGTGTGCGTTCCTTCAACCATTCTCGGCGAGTGTGGCGTGGTCCTTCTTGAAGACTTCTGTGGGCCTCATTCGTCGACACGCAATTCGACTGCAGGGTGGTCTATGGTGAGGAAGTAGCTCGCTGAATTTGACTATTGAGAGGCAAAGCGCTAGGATGTGGGTTGATGGGATTGGTCTTGAGGCCACAAATGCGCGAGTGATGTCAAAGATCCGATCCCAATTCGGCACGACGCTTACGTGCACTAGTGTAAAACTTGTGGGGTACATGTGGCTTTCGCCTTCTACAGTCGACTTCAGCCGCCCGACTCAGCGTCCCTCAGTGGAACCATTGCTTGGGAACGCTTAGGACGGCTTGGGGCCGCTGGCATGCTGGCTATGTGGTTGCATATCGATATTGTGCCGCTTGCAGCACAGCACATTTGCCCCGCGGCAGACCCTAGCACTCCCTGGCCGCATTGTTGAGTAAGACGTGTCGAATTTGTATGAAAACGGTGTCATAGAAACATGGTAATTTGAAACATCAGAGAATGCCTGGCCCAGAAGGTTGTGTGTATGCAAACGTGTTGTTGATGGCTTTTACGACGTGCGATGCGCATGCCAGAGATATGACTGACGTCATTATAGATTCACTCTTCGAGACGGGTATTTTATGCCGCGACATCTTTGGCGCTAGACTGCTGCATTGACTGGACAACGAATCGTCAATAGTCATTCCTATTGTAGCCGTTCGAGCGGTCAGTGTGACTGGGAGGCTCCGAAGATGTGACGAAATCCGATCATCATCTGACCCCGCAAAGCTCATGCCCTTTACCGGCACGCATATGTAGGATGAGCATGGCAACAGGCGCATCAGTGAACCGTGCCAGTGTTGGTGAGGTTATTCGGCCTAGGCGATCACGATGCCGCGATAGACCCTTTGGTTGATCCGCGGAATAGTGACACGCCAGCCGATGATTTAGTCGGTCCAGGGACTCTGTTATCATCTTCGCTCTACATTAGGCTGGTACCAAAACAAAGCAGAGCCGCCCGGTCAACATCGGACGACGTTTGCTCCGCGCACCCTGTGTGGAATGTCAGGAAACTGCGCTACGCAATGCGTACCTCGGTTTGAGACATCCGAGATGAGCGACGTATTCTGGAGATGCATCCAAGTTGAACGACGTAGAAAGCCACTGCGCATCGCTCAGGCAACGCGCAGACTCCAATGCTGCTCATGTCAGGCCTGTACACTGGTCAGAGGTATTCAGTGACAGACACGGGTATGCGGCAAGAAATGCACCGCCCGATTGAGCGCCAATGCTACACCAGATGAAAACATTTGTGTCTATTAAAATATTCTTTTCATCTTTCAGATATAGCAAGCAATCATGGTGGATCAATATGGTAGAATCCTTGACTTCTGCAGTACCACTCCTCCCCCTTCTTCACAAGTCAGCCTTCCATTTACTTTCCCTCGCCAGCTCGTTTGACCCCTCCCGCTACATCGTTTGCGCCTTTCTCAATGCTCGTGGCCACATCAGAAACGCCCCTAGCGACTGGCCGGCCAGCACTGCCCGTAGCGCCTTCGACCTAAGCAAACGGGTCTAAAGTCAGTAATGCCTCATATCCAGTCAGTGCAGCCTAAATTACCGTCTCACCAACGCCTCTTCCAAGTGCGCCAACAACACCTCCAAGGGTGTTGGTGACTCCTCCGACTGTATTTCCTACAGTGGATGTGACAAACTTCACGCCAGACGTGACGCCGCTTTCTTGCTGGCCAATAGGCATAATGTAGGTTGGTTTCTGGACCGTATTTCGAGTTGTTTGTATGCTTCGCGATGACAGGTGATGCTGGCCAGTACCATGAAAGCTTAATCTGTGATGGCTAACGTAATGTGAGCTCGGGGTACAGTCCGTCGCTCCTGGTGCATTTATGGCTCGGTGGTTGGGGTGACGTCATGGGGCTTTGCACGAGACGCGCGGTATGTCCGCAAAATCCTGTAAGAATTCACCTACGGCCCTGAATCCTGCACTGAGATTCCGAACTAGACTAGGATCCTGTCTGCTTATGAATGAGGCTGTTGCCCTGGAGGACATGTCGACACCGGCACCGCTAATACGGCAAGGTACCCCAAGTCCGCCGGAGCATCCATCGGAGGAGCATCCACAAGAACCTCATTGGAAATCACTGCATCCTCACGGGATTTGCCCAACCATCAAAAGGTCCCTACCTCTTTGTTACGGAGGTCTTTCGCCCGATTCCATGCCAACCGCCGGAAGTCTCCTGTACTACCCAGCCTCTCTACCTATGCTTGGCTAATTAAGTGCACACCGATATCCTGGCTTCATGGCCTATGAGATTTTAATCCTCTTTCGCATGTCTCGAGTGTCGTTGTTACACAGCCTCATTCCGTGGTAAGTGCTTATGGGCGAAACAACGTCGTCGGGTTAGCTTCTTTTTGCCGAGCCTTTGTGGTCTCAAGAACCTAGGTACATGCCGCGAAATGCCAGCTCACTCGCTCGATTTTATGTAATTGGTTGAAGATCGCAGGGAATTTCAACGCGCGCTCGGAGTAAGGCGAACCCTTTAATGAAGATGTGGGATATGTCTGATCCCAAGGCAAAACATTTACGGCCGTACTAGAACACTACTCAGACATACCATCTTCAATTATACGCCTATGATCAACTCTACACGCACTATCACAACCCTAGCGGCACGCACCATCAACACCAAATATACAGGGCAACAGGAGCTCAGCAATCGCGGTCAATGTTTGGACTAAAATGATAGATGTGGGCCAGCTTTGATGCTTGTGGTCGGTACTCTTTCATGTGTAGTTGAAACTGGGTGCGTATACCTAGGTAATATAGTATCATAATATGCAGCTAAAGCTGCAATAAGGCAGTCAAATCGTGTTTTGGTACTGATACGAGTGTAAGTGTTTTGCCTATCTTAAAGCAAGACAATCACGAGCGATCTTCTCATCTCTGCCTCGGGCAATGTGTTCTCTTTTCGCAAACTCCCATAACCTATTCCAAACTTGTCTATCTCTTCGACCACACTACGGTTGCCGAAGCATACACTTGCTTAGCAAACTACCCCAGAGCGCAGAAGATCTG